AAAAAGCTAGCTTTATTCAGATGATAACTGGTAGACAGTATGGGCACTGAGGTTTTTGAAGTATGTGAATGGAAGGCTGGGGTGGGGGGGAATGAAAACATTGTTCAGAGTCAGATTGTAAGTGGGGCAATATAGTAGGAAGTTGAAGGAGAGAACTTGGGTAAATTCTCTCTCTGCTTCAGTATGTGCCTGCCTTTCAGCAAGTTGTTTCATCTTTCTACAGTTTATTTCTCCAAGTGGTAAAATGGGAATAATAATGCCCACTTCACATAATTAAAAGAAGAAATGTGTAAAAAGCTTTGGGCACAATAAAAATGATCAATAGGTATAAGTTTTTCAAGGTTCCATACTAGCTTCTGTTTCTGACAACTGGGAAAAGAATAATGCAGGCAGACCTAGTTTTGAGTTCACCCTAGCCAGTTACAAAATCTTTGATCTGAGTGAAATCACTTAACTTTTGAATCTTCTATTTATTTACCTGCAAAATGCAATGAATCATGCTTGCCATGCAGAATTACTGTAAATGTCGTAAATGTATGCTAAGCACCCAATGATACCTGTTAAATAGGGGAAAGGCAATAAAAAAAAGGTAAAAGGTAAAGGCCCTCCCGTTGATCGTCGATTTGCTCGAGCGGGCCCAGTAACGTCTCCATTGGAGACTTTGTTGTTACTGTGTCTGGCATATCGAATACTCTCGGTAGCTTGCCGGGCTCTCCGAGAGGGGCGGAGGAATCGAAATCGGGGGGGAAAGGCAATAGTTTCCAATAAATAATAATGATGGGAGAAATTATGGGAGAAAGAAATAGTTATTATTGAGATCTCTTTAATTATTGGCCAAGTAACCTAGGGTTTATATCTTATAGGCATGAGAGATCTTTAAAGGTTGCATTTGTTTTGTCAGATCGGGCATTAGAAGGGGAAATGTGAAGAGAATGTTAACATTGGTGGAAAAAGAATTAAAATGGCAAGTGTATGTATAGAATGGGAGAGAACACCCAAGAGGAGAGCCACCAACCTACTAAATACAAAATCCTTATTATCAAATGGAGTTTTTAAGAATTCAACAATTATAAATATATGAGAGAAACATGGAAATGGAAATGTCTAACTGGACACAAAAATGCAAAGAGTGAGAGGAAAGAGACCCAGAGGGAGGGAGAGAGGCAGAGAGAGGGGTAGAAAGATGCTGATCCAGAGAAATGAGAAGAGAGGATGCTGTCTTCAAAGACCTTCTTGTTTGTTGTACAGGCACCTGGTACATAGCTATACAGGCTGAAAGCGAGAAAGCTTGCGTCTCAGTAAATAGGGTATCAGTGAGCTTAAGCTTTCTGTTGACGTGTGGGCTACTTCCACTTAAACATTGGGTAATTAGTAAGGTGAAAAATGCCATCACCCATGTGTCACCCATTTCCACTTAGCTGTACCTAACAGTTGCCTCCCTGCTTCCTCCACATCATGCCACTTTGACCCACTCTTTCTGGCTCAGGAGATTTTTGGTCAACAGGATTCCCTGCTCTCCCTTTCTATCTTTCCCTTCAGCTCCATTTTTTAATCCATCTGTTTGCTTTTATGAGAAAGGAGTTGACTTCACTTATTCTGAGCTGAATATCTGTAAATTAACTTTGGCTTTTGGTTTTTGTTTTTGGGCCACACCATGGTTCTCAGGGTTTACTCCTCACTCTGTGCTCAGAGGGATTGAACCTGGGTCAGACATCTCTCTAGGTCCTTACTTTGTTTTAAGTCCTCCTTCCTTCCTTCCTTCCTTCCTTCCTTCCTTCCTTCCTTCCTTCCTTCCTTCCTTCCTTCCTTCCACCTGCCCACTTGCCTGTAATCCAAGCTTCCTCTTAACCAATCATCTATACACTGGATGTCTTATACTTAAATGGGTCTCAGCAACGGAAAAAAAGTTATGTTGTCAGAATTGTTACTGCCTTAAAGATTAGCGTTTGATGTGCCTCACTCAGAGAAGGCACCTGGTACCTGTACTTGCTGAAACCACTGTGGAGAGATGGGGAGAGGATGGCTATGGAGAAGCACTTTGAAAGGTTCTCACAATCCTGAGGAGTGCTTCCTGTGCTGAACCTAAGTCAGGCCTGATGGCAATCAGCAGATTTACTGAATGACAAGTGAATGAAAATGTGAATCTGACCTTTCCCCAAATGATGGCACAATGAGTGTTTCCAAATTCACTTTCTAGTTCTGAAAGATCTCACTGTCCTACTAAAACGGGTAGGTCACCAAATTACCACAAAAACCTCTTTTCTTTCTTTTTTTTCCTTTTTTGTATGTAGGAGTGCTTATTACAATGACTTTTGTTTTAAAGAACTTTTAATGAGATATGATACACATCAAAAGTACATATGTAAATATGTAACAGAGAAAAAAATGTGAACAGTAGCATGTTCTTATTACATCTGTGGCTCAGTTTCCCAAAGATCACCAAGGAACCGACTCCAATGCAAACACGGGAGGGTTTTTTCTTTTTAATTTTTTATTAGTGAATCACCATGAGGTATAGTTACAGACTTAAAAACTTTCATGCTTGGGTTTGAGTTATACAATGCTTGAGTACCCATCCCTCCACCAGTGCCCATTCTCCACCACCAATGATCCGAGTATCCCTCCCCCCCCCCCCCCCCCCCCCCCGCCTCTGTGGCAGGGCATTCCCTTTTGTTCTCTCTCTCCTTTTGGGTGTTGTGGTTTGCAAAAGAGGCATTGAGTGGCCATCATGTTCGATTATAGTCTACTTTCAGCACCCATCTCCCATCCCTAGCAGGTCCTCCAACCACACTTTACTTGGTGTTCCTTTCTCTATCTGAGCTGCCTTTTTCCCCAGCATGTGAGGCCGGCTTCCAAGCCATGGAGCAAACTTCCTGGTACTTATCTCAACTATTCTTGGGTGTCAGTCTCCCATTCTGTCTTTATTGCAAGCTCGAGCTTGGTGTCCCACACAGAGGATTGAGGCCAATAGCCCTGAGCCCTTAAGGAGCAAGTTTTATATAGGGTTTACAATGGGAAGAGGAGAACTTATACAGCATTATTACAGGATTGATTTATCTTTACAATTTGAAGAGTGTGGCATTACTAGCTTGTGCATGTGATCTAGGGAGACCACCTGTGCTGAGGACTTTTGGCAAGGCACTCCTGATTAGCTGTCCTGGGAGGTTCAAGTTTTAGACACCCTGTGGTATCTCTAGCTAAGGGCCCTTTGTTCTTGGAATGGACTGTTAAAGTCCCAGTTATAGGTGCCCTGGGTGTTTCTAGATAAGGGCTTTTAGTTCCTGGAATGGACTGCTGAATTCCAGTGAATTCAGGCCTATGCTCTCTTTTCACTAGAGAAACCTATCATGGGGTCACTTTGTTTCCTCAGTTCCCAGCACTTTTTTTTTTATAGAAATAGGGTGTCATGAAGGCCTCTGTGCCACACCTCATTCATATCCTTTTCTTCACACCTCTTCAAGGTTTTTTATTTGTCTGTCTTGCTTTTATTATAAGTTTAAACTATGTATATATATACTCCTAAATAAAATATAAAAGCTTTGGCTTTTATATAAATGACACTAAGTTGCATGTATTTCTTGACATTATATTTATTTTGTGTGGCTGCAATCATGTGAGATTAAGACATGTAGAAGAATTCAACACTTATTTCCACACCACATAGAATTTCACTCCATAATATCTGCTAGAACTCATTTATCTGTTCTCTGTTGATGTATTTGTGGAGAATTACTTGTTATTGTAAATAGAATATCTGGGTCTTTGGACAATATTATAATATACTTGTAGATAGAATATCTGGGTGATTTTTTTTTACTGTTAAAAGCACCAGTTATGGGGCTAGAGAGATAGCACAGCGGGTAGGGCATTTGCCCTGCACCAGCCGACCTGGATTCAATTCCCAGCATCCCATATGGTCCCCTGAGCACTGCCAGGAGTAATTCCTGAGTGTGGAGCCAGGAATAACACCTGTGCATCGCTGGTGTGACCCAAAGAACAACAATAAAAAGCACCAGATGTTCTATTTATAATACCAAGCATCACAAATCCTGATACTATGAACTGTTATTCACAAGTCTCCTGATATCAACGTGGAAGAGTTTCTACATATTTTGCAAGTTGGTATGAGTCAATCACAATCACAACCATCCTGTTATTCATCGATTGCCTCGAGCAGGCCCCAGTAACGTCTCCTTCATCCTAGCCCTGAGATTTTTTTTTAGAAAGTGCCATATGCAAGACTCTTTCAGATTTAGGAGAATAAGACCCTTCATTGTTACTGGTATTTGGCATATTGGGTACGCCACGGGGAGTTTGCCAGACTCTGCCGTGTGGGCCAGTTACATTCGGTAGCCTGCCAGTTTGTCCAAAGTAGGAATGAGATGATAATGAGATGAGTCAAAGGGTGAATGTTTATATTTTATTAAATTTTTCCAAGTCTTTTTCTGTTTGCCCTTTTTTTTGGGGGGGGGGGGCGGGGGCGAGGGGCAATCCCAAAATGGTGGTATTCAGGTGCTACTCCTGGTTTTGTTCTCTGGGGTTATTCCTGGCAGTGCTCAGGAGGCCATTTGTGGTGCCAAAAATTGGACATATGTCTGCCACATGCAAAGCAAGCACTATAACCCCTACACTTCTTTTTGACCCCTGAAATCTGTTTTACAAAGTGATTCTACCAGTTTCTGTATCTAACATCAGCATTTAATAGTCCCAATGAGCCTGTTGTCCTATTGTCCCTTAGCAATATTTTTATTGCCTAAATTTAATTTTTTTACCAAACCATTAGTATAAAATGCCAACTTTTTCTTATTTTTATTTTAATTTCCTCAATTCTTTATAAGATGACATATGTTTTATATTTCTTTATGGGTATGTCTTCCTCATTATGGAATCTGATGTGTTTGCCAGGATGCTGATCCACCTGGTACAGCTCTGTATGTGGCTAGATTAGGATAGCAGAAGGCCTGAAGGCTTCTGCTAATTTTGATTTTTTTTCTGCAAAGGTGATGAGGAAGCAGGAAGTGGCAATTATGGACCTGATTATACAAATGGCACAGGGGTTGGTGAGGACGATGAAGATTTTGAAGACGACTTAGATTCGGATATTTCCTTTGAGGAGGTAACAAAACACGACTCTTAGACCCCCTGTGTTTTGCTAAACAAGGCAATTTAACCACCGGGCCATAATCAGGTTATTAATAAACTTAGTTAGATTTAATTCATCTGACTATGAGGGCCCACGTGATGATAAATTAGTAGTAACTGAGAGTCAGCCTTGCTGCTGTCCTTCAGGCACCTACCTGCTGGTTTCACTGTCTGGCAAAGCAATTTTGGATTTTCCACCAAGTGAAATATTTATAATATCAGGTTATTATATGGGGAAAAATTCCTTGAAAGAGCAATGCATTTTTGTAATATTCAAATAACCCATTGTGTAATCTCAGATTTGCAGTGATTTTTTTTCAGAGTAATTCAGGACAAGATACTTAAAATCCCGATTCTCGAGTTCTTCACTCCTAACCTAGGGTCAGTACTGTTTACCCCATTTACACTGCAGGGTTTGGAGAAAGACTGCCAAATGACCCTATTTTCAAACATTAGGTTTCAGCCTAAAAGTAAGGCAGTTTAGTGTTGTTACTTCTGGATCCATTAGGTTAAACCACTTCTTGCTATCCCAAGAGAGAATAAGAAAATTTGGGTGGATTCTCAGATGGCACCTATATCCAATCCAGAGACCTTATCTATGCTTGTTCCCCCTGCCCTCCAATCTCTCTGTTCTGCTATGGCGGCTCCCAAGGCCACTGCAGCAGAGCTAAGAGGTCTGGACCCTGCCCCACAGGTACCGCAGCTCATTGACACTGTTTGTGACCGGCAATGTCCCTCTGGCAGCTTTTGTGTGGAAGACTTCTCCTCGGGATTCAGCAGATGCAAATGCCATCTGGGCAAAGGTGGAAAAGACTGCGTAGAAGGTAGATCCTTGGGGGAAATGTGTGTGGTAATATGAGCACTGGAGTAATGGGGGTGGTACTGTACATACTATTCGAAAAGGAGAGTCACACAATTGTAAACCATGTTACACCAAAAATAACTTAAAATGTACAAGAGAAATATGAATGTATGTGTATATATCCATACATATACAGATACATATATATGGTAATTAAATGGAACCATCAAAAACAAATAAGAAGGTAGGTTGTTGGAGTGTGGGGAGAGGACAATATGGTCGTGGCTTGAGAGAGAACATTTTTATGGTTCATGCCCAGTTCATTATAGCCCCTTTTCTAAGATAACCCCCTTGATGGCTAATTAATTGGCCATTAAATTAGCCAAGCAAGACAGAGTGTAGGGCAGCCTTCATTGCTTCTGCCTAAGTTGCAGAGTTAATGTAATGCATCAACTGGATGAAACACTGGGGGAAAAGAAATCAATCAAAAAAATCATCCTGATGGGCTAGACCATAGCAGGTAGGGCATTTGCCTTGCACACAGCCGACCCGGGTTTGGTTCTCAATATCCCATATGGTCCCCTGAGCACCACCAGGAGTAATCCCCGAGTGCAGAGCTAGGACTAAACCCTGTGCATTGCTGGGTGTAACTCAAAAGCAAAAAAAAAAATTATCCTGACAATTCCAAGGGGAGGTGAACTTTATTGTCATTACTTCTGGATTGAAGAAATTCAGTGAAGATTCTTATAGGAAGGACAGTAATGTGCCTCTAAATAATTATTTATGCTACTCGATATATAACTGGAAGTGGTCAATGGGCCAGTGACAACTTTCTTTTAATTTAAAAAAATGTATTGGTTCCTCCTCCTCTTCCCTTAGTCATTATTGGTGATGGTGGTATTATTGTTGTGAAGGTGAGGTTGGCACCCCCCCAAGGGTGGTGCTGACACATTTCAGCAGTCGTATGGCTTAGGGTTGCACATCATGCTGTGATGCTTGTACACTGGCTGAGATGCTCCCTGAGTTTTGCACTCCTAACTGATCTCTTTTTAGGATAGAAAGTAAAAAGGCCCTCCCGTTGATCGTCGATTTGCTCGAGCGGGCCCAGTAACGTCTCCATTGGAGACTTTGTTGTTACTGTGTCTGGCATATCGAATACTCTCGGTAGCTTGCCGGGCTCTCCGAGAGGGGCGGAGGAATCGAACTATAGAAAGTAACCATCTTTAAAATTTCAATTTCATCTTTAGAAATTCAAAAAAGCAATGGTCCCCTTAATGAGCATGATAAGAGTAAGATAAGGAGGTAGTCAGTGAGGGTAAACAGATTAGTGGTGGTTTTTGCCTAGATATTCAGTTGACTGTATATTTTGATTTTGCCCTTGAAGATAAAATATCCTTTGGTGATGTCTTTTTCTCTCTTCAGATATTACTATAGAGTATCCTCGTTTCTATGGTTACTCTTATTTAGCCTTGAGCTCTCTGAAGAACTCCCACAAGTCATTTCAAATTACTCTTCAATTTAAGGTAAGAGGATGAATTATTTGATGAGTGCTTATTGAACATATTCATCCAACAATATGCTGCATCAAGGGGGAATAGAAGAGGGTGGAGGAGGCAAGAGATAAATATCCAAAGTAATTACTACAAGAGCCTTTTTTTAACCAGTTCCCAGGATAGTAAGAATGATGGACACATTCACGCTTTCAAAGACACCAACAAGGAAGATACATTCACACTTTCAAGGGTACCAGAAAGGGAGAGAGGATTCTGTTTATAATTGAACACTGGGAGTGGTAGGCTAAAATGCTGCCAACCTAGTCAATGCTTCCAATGATCCTTTGGGGTCTAGACAGATTTCAGGAAACCTAGTCATGCTTCCTATGATCCCGCTGAGTCTAGACTGGTTGCAGGAAACCTAGTCATGCTTCCTCTGATACTTCTGGGTCAAGACTGATTTCAGAAAATATTGTGCCTTCTCCATTCCAAAATCCCTTCTAAAGGGAGCCCATTTCTCTGTCTTTATTGCTTTTCAGCTACCCTTTGCACAACCATGACATGTAGGGGAAACCCAACAGACACTTTCTGATCTGAATCAACTGGCAGCTCAGAATTCAGTCAGCAACATCACCTTAGTGTGATTCTTTAGGATATCTCAGAGACATGGAAAGGTTTAGAGATCTGGTAAATAGGTCCCTTTTGAGGTTACAGTGATAGAAGTCTCTGAAAGATAAGTCTAGGACCAGTGTGGGAACCATACTAGTCTGTGCTTATGGACTCTTTTGTGTTCTCTTCTTCAGAGAGAAGAAAACAATAAAATTGTCATACTTCCCCCAAAGTGAGAGAGGGAGAAGTGAAGGGGAAACAGGATTCTTTTAGGCAGGAATAGAATTTTATATACACAGAAACATCTCTGTGAGCTCAGTCTGCGCACATAGTTTTCCTGGAGCTCTGATGGGAGATACACACGCCAACTACAGAGCAGGTTAAATGTGGGCCACCTTAATATCACCCCATTGCCACTCCTCGTCAATTGCCTCGAGCAGGCCCCAGTAACGTCTCCTTCATCCTGGCCCTGAGGTTATATTCAAGGCTCTTTAGGAGAATGAGACCCATCATTGTTACTGGTATTTGGCATATTGGGTACGCCACGGGGAGTTTGCCAGACTCTGCCGTGTGGGCAGGCTACATTCGGTAGCCTGCCAGTTTGTCAAAGTAGGAATGAGATGTCATAATAAGATGTCGGTTCCGGGAGCTGGTTTTTATAGTCTCAGAGTCTTGGTCGCTGATGGGATTACACGGCGCCAGGGGGCCAGTTGGTGGGTGTGACCCCCGCCTACTGGAATTTGGAGGATCTGGGTGGAGGATGCTCGACTCCAATCCGAGTAGGCTTGGAGATCTCGGCCCCGGAACCCACGTGGCTTTGTCCCTCTGCCAGTACCTTCATGTGTGCGGAGAGTGGTCTCAGCATGGTGTTGGCTGGTCCTGGAGGTCTTCGGCTGCCGGGGCCCTGGTCAGGATGGGGAGGAAAGCTCAACCCGCTCCCCTCCAAGGGGCCCCGGCGAGGAATAGCCAGGCGCGGGTGATTTGTGATTTGTGATTTGTGATTTGCCACTCCTCACAGGCTATTTCTGGCACTGTAAGTTACTTATTGAAAAGGAACTAGGCACAGATACCTGGGAATTAATTGGAATCTAGAGATTTTTTCCCTTCGTAATTAGGACCACCTAGAGTGATAGTCACATCTTATACTCCTAAATTTCCAAGAGGCACTTAATATGGAAAACGTGGTACTTATTGTCCATGTAATTCAGTGGGAGTCACTGTCACTATCCTCCCGTTGTTCATTGATTTGCTCAAACGGGTTCAGTAACGTCTCCATTGTGACAGTTGTTACTGTGTTTGGCATATCGAATACATCATGGGTAGCTTGCCAGGCTTTGCCATGCGGGCGAGATACTCTTGGTAGCTTACCCGGCTCTCTGAGAGGGGTGGAATCAAACTCGGGTCAGCCATGTTGGCCGCTTGCAAAGCAAAGACCCTACCTGCTGCGATAGCACAGCGGTAGGGCGTTTGCCTTGCACGCAGCCAACATGGCTGACCCGAGTTCGATTCCTCCGCCCCTCTCGGAGAGCCCGGCAAGCTACCAAGACTATCTCGCCCGCACAGCAGAGCCTGGCAAGCTCCCTGTGACGTATTTGATATGCCAAACACGGTAATAACAAAGTCTCCAATGGAGATGTTACTGGGCCCGCTCGAGCAAATCGATGATCAACGGGAGGGCCTTTACTTACTTACTTACTTACTTACTTATTGTCCATGTGGCTTTTGTTTGGATAATGACAGGCAGATACTAAGGATGGTTTACTGCTGTACTGTGGAGAGAATGAGTATGGAAAAGGTGACTTCATGTCTCTGATGATCAGTGATGGCGCACTCAAGTTCAGGTAATTGTCACCATAATCCATTAATTTTCTTTTAATGGCTTGATTTATTCATTTATTCATTTTCATCATTGTTTTATAATGTCATGGGAATTCAGGGAGTTAGCCTCACTTCTTTCTGTCTATGATAGACTCAGCACTCCACCACAAAGTTCCAATGCCATCCCTCATCCCAAAATCCCCATGTTCACTTTTTCCAATCACCTACCTCTTCCCTTCATAGTATCATAGTAGCACTCACAGTTATTGGCTAGTTATTTTCTCTCCGTCTCTGCAAATCCTACTGAGTGTTTCTGATATTCCCATTAAGTTAGCCAGTCAGCAATGCCTCTCAACCCATCCTACTCCATTAAGAGTCAGAAGACTAAGGAGCCCAGGAAAATGTGCTGTAATTTGTTAAAAATCTACTAAATACAAGTCCAGTCATGCTTCATTCCCCATTGGCAACTGTAAGATCCTTGGGCACATGGCATAAATTCTGTCATGGTGGCATTTGACTGGGAGGAGTCAAAAGTCATGATGTTAGGCATAGTGGTGAGTAGACATTGCAGGATATAAGAAGGTTGTGGGGAATTAGACAAAACAATAATACAGAGAGCTGAAAATGACCCTGTTCCTCACTTCTCAGCCAGAGTCTCTGTTCACACCAGGGCATGGCTCATCCAGATGGCAATGTTTGAATGAATATGAAGAATATGAAGAATAGGTTTTCTTCTATTTTATTACTACCTTTTGTGAATAGGGGTAAATCCCCAGAGAAATCCCTGGAAGAAAAATTATTCAAGATCTAACTATCTGAAGTTTGAATTTATTTTAGGTATTTGGTAAATTCCAAGAAAGAAAAGAATTTCATTTGTTCATCATTTTCCCTAAGTTTCTGAGGGAAAACAAATATTTTTAAAAGCTCCCTAATAAAGATTCTGTGCACAGATTAAAGAGAAATAGGCAGATAATTCCGGAGAGGAGATATTTAGTTATTTAGGAGATATTTAGTTTTTTAAGCTGTCTTGCAGTTTTTTCTTAAAGTTCATACATAAAAATGAAAATAAACAACTCTGTAAATAAAGAGCTAGCTAGGATCAAAACTATCATTCAGGGAAGCAAGCAAAAATATCTTATAAAGAAACTCGTTTGGAATGTTTCTGCCAAACATTCCAAATATTGGAAGTCCAAAGTGGTTGGTGAGTTATGAGAGAGTGAGCAAGTTGTGATTTGGGAGGTATGGAGAAGTCATATTCTGAGAGTCCTTATACATTATAGGAGATATGTATTCGAACTGAGACTTGCCATTCCTATGGTGAAATATATTCACGTTGCGTTAGCACTCTTGCAGAACTGAACAAAGTTTGAACAAAAAACAGGCTACACTTATTTGAAGTCATTGAATGTACAGAAAGCCAGGCAGATTTTAGACTTAGAAGAGAAGCAGAATATGTAGAATTTCCATTGTGTGCTAAAAGAGTTCTTGGTATTCATAAATATAACTGAGCAATTTGACAGGCCCTCACTTCTGGAAGTGAAGTCCTTGGAATTCAAAGCATGATGCGTCTGTATATCAAAGACTCTTTGTTTCTTTTTCTTCCTCCATAGATTTAACTGTGGATCTGGGGTTACTACCCTCATCAGTGGGTCCAACATAAAAGTTGGGGTCTGGCACACAGTCACCATCTACAAAAATGGACGGAATGGGATGCTGAAGCTGGACAATGGTACTGCCTTGATAAGTGAATCCCCGGTGAGTGAGAACCCTGCTCCCTGCTGGCCCACCTCATACCACCCCAGGGCATCCTCTGAGGGTCTCACTGCAGAGAGCTGGACAGCCTCAGCAGGATGCAAGTTCATGGCGAATTCTTACAGTTGAACTCTGATATGCTCCTGTGGGGTCTCCGCCCTGGAGGTGGGCTTTGAATACACACTCCCATTCCCCCTCTAACAAGAATTGAGTTGGCAAGGATCATCACTGGGGGCTGCATGGGGACATGCAGTAGTTTTTTTGTCTAGGGATGCATTCTCTTTCCACAAGGACATCAAAGCCAGTGGCAGAGAAAAACTAATATTAGAAGAATAGAAATCATCATTAGTGCCAAACCCCAAGCTTGCTCCTAAGGCAAAGATGTTGCAATCTTGTGGCTTCAGAAAATAGTCCCAAAAGGTTCACTTGGTTCAACAGGCAGGAATAATCCATTCATCAACTTTTTAGGAGGGGATATGTTTATAGGAAGTGGTAAAACAATTTAACCGTTGGGGTACTCAGCAAATCACTGAGATATTCACATGTCTGTCATGCTTTGGGCAATGTTAGGGTGGTTTAGGGTAAGTAGTTTGAGTTAGCAACCTGCCAAGGATCCAAGCCTGTAATTATAATTAGTTATGTGTCCCTATGCTCTTAGGAAGAATGTAGCGAGAAACCTTCTGTGTATGGTTTCCTCTATGCCTGCACTCTTCATTCTTTTTTTTTTACAGGCAAGATGTGTCATAGAAAGAATATGCCTTACTGTTTCAAAAGGGGGAGGGGAATCTCATTAATTTTGACCACCATTGTTCCAAAGGAGCAAATACCCAACAGCCAATGTGCATGTAAGGCGACCACTTTTGATTTTGTTTGAAAGAAGAATGAGGCAGCATAAAGGAACTCCAGAGTTACATAAATGCTAGAACAATGGACTCAATTTGTAGGAATGAAGTTTGATAGTAATAAAAATGCTTTGAATTTGTCTCCAAAATATAAAGCAGAGAATAGACTGGAGAAACGATAGTGGAAGAAACAATTATGAAAACGTCTGCTAAAACAAGATAGTTCAGTAAAAAGTTAAAAACTTATGGATTATGTTACTAAAGGCATCAAGCATCTATAAAGGGAGAGATAATAATTCTATTCTAGTTATTAAGTGTATCTTCAGATACATAATACCCGCTGTGCTTCAATGGTCAACTGTAATGCTCTAAGGTGGTAATTCTCTAAAGAATTGCACTCATAGCTCTGTAAATGTATTTTAAGAGAGACACAAACTGGAGCATGTTCAAGGGGCAGTTCCCAAATCAGATGATTTAAACTTCCCGGAATGATTGATGGAAGGATCACTGATTAAATTGAAGAGAAGTTGAAGACTTGGATGATGGTTTCAACACAGAGTCAAAAGAAGAATCTTGAAGAGGAAAGGTTCCAGTGTAGACACCATGGTTGAAGCCAAATGGGGACACCCTCAGGGAGCCAACTAGCTCCACTTAATCTTACAGAGCTGTCTAAAAGTGGGGTGGATGGTTTCAGCAGTTGATCTCTGTTCTCAGGGGTATTTATTTTTATAAGTGAGTGTTCTAGGGCCCAAGAGTGGGTAGGGCACTTGCCTTGATGTGGCGACCTTGGTTCAGTCCCCTGCATGTATGATCCTCTGAGCACCACCAAGAGTGATCCTTAGTCACAGAGCCAGGGATAAACCTTGAGCACCACTATGCATGCCCCAACCATACCCCGTTCTCTACTCCCCCACAAAAAGGGCTCTAAAGTTCTGGTGTAGGCCTAGATATTACACCACTCATAGAGGACTTCTGCATGGTCTCCACCACTGGGTCTAGTCCTGATGGTCCCTGAGAATCACAAGGGATATCTCCTATTAGAAAGTTGCTGAGGGATATATTGGTAACAGAGGGGAGAATATGGACAGGAAAAGGCAGAAGTCAGCAAGGGTGAGATCCCAGGCACTGTTCCTGAGAGTTTGGCTTCAGTTTCTACAAAAAGGAGTTCTGGGGTTTAAATTAGGTATCAGAGTTGTCTCAACCCTAAGCAAGGGAATCCAGTTTTCACAAGTCAGCTCCCATCTGAATCTGTGAAGGGATTCCCTGAGGAAAAGCAAACCTAGGGCACTGCCAGTCTCCACACAGACCAGTAAGCAGCAGGCTATGTGGACCCAAAGGCAGCCCTCTTCACACTCCAAGCCTTCTCGAGCTGAGATATTGTGAAGGGAACACGGAACTCAGAAAAACCACATCTTTAGGAAAAGTGGAGGAGGAGAAAGGGATTGAGCATTCAGCCCCAGGCACAAACTTGGATCAGGAACAGCAACAGAGGAGTGAAGATAGATTTAGAGAGGGTGACTTCTAAGGATCTTTATGAGTAAGATAGCAGCTCCACCAAAGAAAGCAGTAGGCACCATGCTGGCAAGCCATAAATGAATTCCTAAAATCCATGTAAGCACTTTAAAGAGATTTGGATCTAGTCAATATGCTATTTACAAATGATTTTGGGTTATTCATTTATGGTTGGGGTTTTTTTTTTGGTTTTGTTTTTATCTTTGGGAAACAAAAATGCAAAGGATAAAAATTACATTTCTGGTTATTCTAAATTTTTTAAATCTGCCTTTCTCTTGCCCCTTCTTTACTATTTATTTTAGATAAATAAGATTTCTCTACAACAGCTCTAACAACTGAAAGCAGCTTGATCTTCATCTCATGTTCAGCTCTGTATTTTATCACCCTAAAACTTGCAACCCAAATTGTGGTTTGGCTGAAGACTATGAATGTCCCAACTAACAATTTTTTTAGATGGCTAATACGTTAAAAGTATTTTTATTTTAATTTTTTGGTTTTGGGCCACACTTGCATATGCAGGCCTTACTCCTTGCTCTGTGTTCGGGGATCGTAACTTGCAGTGCTCAGGAGGTCATATGAAGTACTTGGGATTGAATAGTGGTTAGCTAAATGAAGGCAAGTGGTGTACCCCTTGTACTATCATTCTGTTCCTTATAAAAAATTTTTACCATCATATAATAGTATGATACTTGTAGTGGTTCTGTACCAAGTTCACCACTGATATGCTTTAATCAACACTTTAAAAAAGTTACAACCCTGAACATATTACAAAATAATTTGCCAATCTCTTTGACAATTTTCCCACTGACAGTGCTTCTTGCAGGATATAGTATAAAGGTGATGAGGACAGTGAGAGGTAAATGTTAGGCCATATCTATCCAAAAGTAATGCCATTTCCATCTGAAGCACAGAAGGACCTTTTAACCCATCCAAGGTTCACACTAAACTGGTATCAGAACTGGAAAGAAATTTTTTTTTCTGGATACTCAATATAACCCTCTCGGAGAGCCCGGCAAGCTACCGAGAGTATCTTGCCCGCACGACAGAGCCTGGCAAGCTCCCCGTGACGTATTCGATATGCCAAACACAGTAACAACAAAATCTCCAATGGAGACGTTACTGGGCCCGCTCGAGCAAATCGATGATCAACGGGAGGGCCTTTACTTTACTTACTTTACTCAATATAACATATTGTTTGGTTGTTCTTGGCTACCTACCTTCCCTTTCCTACTAGACATTCTAAATCACCCCTCTGGAAACACAGTCCTTTGAGAAATTTGCTGAGTTTCCTGTGGTAACTCTCTCTCTCTCTCTCTCTCTCTCTCTCTCTCTCTCTCTCTTTTCTTTTTTTTTCCTTTTTTTTATTAGTGAAACACCATGAGGTACAGTTGTAGATTTACTATTTTTTGTGCTTGGGTTTCGATTATACAATGATCAGATACCCATCCCTCCACCAGTGCCCATTTTCCACCACCATGGATAATATCCCCCCTACCCCCATCCCCCCATCCCCCCGCCTCTGTGGCAGGGCAATCCCCTGTGTTCTCTCTCTCGTTTTGGGTGTTGTGGTCTGCAAAAGAGGCATTGAGTGGCAAACCTGTTCAGTCCATAGTCTACTTTCAACATGCATCTCCCCTCCTGGGAGGATCCTCCTAACACCCTTTATTTGGTGCTCCCTTCTCTATCTGAACTGCACTTTCCCCTAGAATACCCGGCTGGCCTCTAAGTTATGGAGTAATCCTCCTGGTGCTGATCTCAGCTATTCTTGGGTATTAACCTCATATTTTGTTACTTTATATCCCCCAGATGAATGCAATCTTTCTATGTCTATCCCTCTCTTTCTGACTCATTTCACTTAGCATGATACTTTCCATGTTGTACCACTTGTATGTAAATTTCATGACTTCATCTTTTCTAACAGCTACATAGTACTCCATTGTGTAGATGTACCAAAGTTTCTTTAACCTCTCTGTCTCTTTTTATACAGTTGAAATATTATTTTAAAGAAGCACATATATAAGCTGTATTATAGCTACCATCAGAATTTTAATTATGGACATCACAAATTGCTGGCTCTTCAGATTCACACACCTCTCTTTGTCTTCCCCCCACAAATCAATGTCTTGAAAAACACTTAGTGACTGGTAGATAGCCTCTTGACAAGTACAGCAGAAAAGGCACTTGTCTTGCATATGGCTGACCCAGATTCAATTCCAGCACCCAATGGTGCCCCTGAATTCCACCAGGTGTTCTGCCACCCTGCCACCCTGAACTTCACCAGGTGTGACCCAACCCAAAAACCAAAATAAAAATAAACTTGGGTGGAAGAAAACATTGTGGAAGTAAACCACATTTTAATCATATCCCTAATCAAAATCTATTGTGTTTTGTTTAGTAAGTTACCATTTTTATTTTTCTTAAAGGGTGGCTATGATAGGATTACCTTCCGAACACCTCTCTATATTGGTGGAACCCCCCGTGCTTACTGGTTATTCCCAGAAATAGGAGCAAGTCTAAGCTTTCGAGGATGTGTGCAATCACTCATTATCAATGGAAAGAAAATTGATCTGAGACCCCAGCCCCTGGGGAATGCCATCAGCGGGGCTGATGTGGGTAAGTAGTTATGAAGTGGACTGGTCTTTTCTTGTGGGATTGTTCCTATGGCTGGACAAAGAAGGCGAACATCTTGATGAGTTGCAATCCTACCAAAGCAGGGGTATGCATAGACAAGCTGCAAGGATAAAGCAATTGCTCCAACCTGAAATAATGGTGGTCAGGTCCAAGATGGCCTTGGTAGAGATGTGGACTAATTTGGGGTGGAGGGAGGGTTGCCTTGGGTTGGGAGATGAGGGTTGGGGAGGTTCTCATTGCCCTTCAACATGATTCACTCCACCCCACACCATTCCATCTTCACTTGCACCTTAGTTTTGCCCCCTTTTCTTCCTGGTGTTGTGATGTCTGGAGGTGGTGCTGGTGCTGGGGTTGCAGTGAACACCTGGTTACAGTGCTCACATGCTTGACTTCACTGACGTCACACTTGTGATTTGTTACCAGGAATCCCAAGGACAGTGTCAGCAACCACCCTCAGACATTAGGGTGGTATCAAACATGTGGTTTCATAAATCCAAGTCAGGTGCACCAGCATTGAGCCATATCCTGGGCCCCTCACTTCATTCTCCTGAATTACAGAAGCTGACATAGTAGACATATGTGTTGATTTATCAAGTTCATTTGTCAAGACCAGAGAGAGCTCATTGAACAGGGGTCATACCATCCTACCCTGGCACCACATGTCTACCTGGTACCTCTGGGTATAGCCCTTGAGACCCCTGAACACTACCAGGTCCATTGAACCATCAGGCCCAATTAGCCATATACCACAGAGATTGGGAAGGCTGGTTAGGGCCCCCACCAAAGCCCATTATCTTAAATAAGGGATGTGAGCTCTAACTCAGTGGTAAAGCACATATTATATCTGTGAAATCTTGGGTTTTACCCTGGCTTTAAAAATCAAAGCAACAAACTTTTTCTATGTTGATGATGAGACCCTGTCAGCAGTCTTATTCCTCCCACTCTACTTGAAGGTTTTTGTTGTCTCTAAAACTAACCTTTTCAGCCATACTCTCATTGCCTCACTGGGGGCTTGCTGCCAGGATTCTGTCTTCTCAGTTACCCAAAGATTCCCCACCTTCTGTGTACCATAGACTCCTCTGCAGTCATTGAAGCTACTGGATTTGTTTGTAATAAAGACTATAATATACACAGGGAACAATAATAGAATTCTATTATAGTTTTTAGACTTTGATATTATAGTTTTATATATATATCTATAGATATATATACTTCTTTACAAAGAATTGGACATGATAATTTTATTGTAACACAGTTGCCATCATGATCTCCAGGGGTGAAGAGATGAGTGATATTTTGAGGTACATGCCACAAACAGAATAGGCTCTGGCAATGACACGACTCTGTCAGTGACAAGTCCCCACCACTGCTGCTAATAGAGGCTTGGAGCCTATAAGCTAACTGAAGTCAATACTCAGGTACTCAGCTCATATTAGAGGTGAGGGGAAATGCTTGAACTTATTTGCACTCACTCAGGACTTCTCATCCTTCCCACAAAAGCCAGTGTCCTGCTTCCCATGGTCTCACATCTCTTCTCTGGGGACTCTTTTCCTCTCTTTCTTGGATTCCAACAGCAGTTCCAGGTCTCCCATGTCTGAATCTCTTCTGAAACGCCCAGCAGATGAGCATTCTGGAAGCTCTCCTTTCCTCTCTTAACAAATCCTGAAGCACATCCTCATCTTCTTTGCCAAGCCATATCGATTGAGTTCTCTCCTTGCTCATGTTCCTCTCCCAGACCTCCCATGAAGTTGCCCCACCTATGTTCACTGGACCACTATCTGTTTTGTGTCTTTGTCACTCTGCAATGTTCTTTCATACCCTGTCCCCTCTCATGGATTCCATCTTGGTGTCCAAGGTTACTGCTGCTGGCCCTCCAGCCCCTCTCTGGTCCCTAGGCCTCACTTTGTGCTTCCACTGAGCAAAGTCCAAACCCCTGCCCCCAGAAAACCACTCACAAAAACTCACTTCTTCACTCTCACGACTGTTCTTTCCATCATCCAAACCAGAAAACCTTGATAGCTGGCTGAATTCTTCTGTCCTTTTCAATCTCTGGAATGAACTATCTAACACTATGTCCCTTTGATCCTTCCCATTCTTTCCATATCCTGGGCTAGCACCTTCTCCAGCCTTGACTTTCCTCTCCCCTGATGGATTGCATTCCCTTTTCCTGCCCGAGTCACTCTCAATTCATCATGCCTCCCACAGACAGAATAATCTTGCTGAAATGTGGCTCCAATTGAGTAAACAAGGCTGGCTGCTGTTCACAGCCTCTGTGCCTCCACCCCTTTCCCATCTCTTAAAAAAAATAGTTACACTGAAAATTTAGGAAATAATTATTTCCATGTGTATCTGAAAGAACCCAAGGCTCCCATTTCTTCCTGTGGGACCAGCCATTCTCTGGGAAAGAGACTCAGTCCGTAGTCATGGGTAGGGCTCAAGACCCGTGAGAGAGTTGGACTCTCAGTGCCAACCTGGTTAAGGTAAGCAGGGGTCATTCATGCCTGAGCTTCTAGGGTCAGGCTCTGTGAAAATGGAAAGGCCAGAGCTGCTCACATACAGGTGATGAGACAAAGGGTGCCCAGATGGTGTCTTAGAGGGGCCAATGAGGGCTTCTGACTTCATATGGGAAGGTGGACTCTGCTTTCTCCACTGATAAAGGAGGCTGCGGGGGCAAATCTGGTCTCCTCTGGTGCCATCACACATGCATCTTTTGGCCTCCATCCTAAGAGAAGAATTTTGTCCTCACGTAGGAGGCTGTGGGCTGGCTTGTGGTTTGTCTTTCTGGTTAACTCTGAATAGGAAAAGTAGGGTGGCAGCCACTTGGGAGAAAATCCATTTGTTTTCACATCCTCTGTTGATCTTCATTGGAAAATGACGATATTCCTCCTTCATGAGTCTCTGACTGACATGTGTTTAGGTAAGAGAACTGCCCATTCTGAGGCTGACCACTCAGAAATTCTCATCCCAAACTACCTCCTGTCTCTCATGAGATTATAACTCATGAGAAGTAGAAATAGAATTTTTGGAACCCATATTTCAAGGTGTCTGGAACCCTCCTTCTACTCCCACCCCAGAGGAGATGGCCATGCAGGTCAGTTATCAAACTCAGACACAGTTCCTTAACTCTTTCACCACTCATCTTGTTGGCTTCAACTTTCAACCAACAAGGCTGCACCACTTAAGGTAATTGGGGCTACACAAATTAGGACACTTTTACCATAAACACTGTTGGCATTGGAGGAATTGGAATGTCCTCTGGGAGGAACAGCAGAGAGATGAATTATAGTGGAAACAGCACAGTCATCCCTGTCAGTGATCATAAAATTGCCCAACAATCTGTTGCTCAATTTATTGTGTCCACCAAGTTTTAAAGAGTCTCTCTGGCTTGCCATCAAAGTCAAATGAAAGTGAAGGCTCACTTATCCTGAAACTTGGATCATGATTGTGCAGGAGTGCTAAGCAGCAAGACTAGGAGTTATTTAAAACTTTGGGCTGTTGGCTTAGTCAGCTCAGGTCTGGGACCAGTGTGCAATTCATGGACAACTTTGTAACCTGCGCTCTGTATTTAGGGGAATGCAGCCGAGGGATCTGTGACAGAACCTACTGCATCAATGATGGCATCTGCATACCATCCAGCGCTGACTCCTACATTTGTCTTTGTCCCCTGGGATTTAAGGGTCGACACTGTGAAGAAGGTGAGGAAGAAGTGAAGGGCAGGACTGTTTCTCTTTGCAGCTAATTCACATTGATGTCATTTTTCACTGGTCTTTAGCAGAGCCCCATACACTTTTATGGGATTAACATTGCTTGGTTGGGAGTGATGGAGAATTTTTTCCCCAACCAGTTCCAAGTGCTTTGAATGTCAAAGTGTTAAACAACCAAAGTTATGTTCCTCTGAAGATGCTCCTCAGCAGGACATCAGTGGGCTCTACTTGGCCCTCAAATAACATTGACCACTTTTATTAACAGTGAGGTCACATCAGACTGGATCCTTAAATTTTATTTTTGTTATTGGGTCATACCTGGTTATACTCGAGGCTTATTCCTGGCTGCACAAAGGGATTCCTGGGAGGGCTTGGGAAACCTTAGGGTTGCTGGAGATGGAGCCCTAGTTGGTTGCCTGCAAGACAAATGCCCTACCTGCTATACTATTGCTCTGGCTCCAAATCCTTAAAGTTCTGACTGTTTCAAAGGAGAGGTTGGAAAAACAGGCAAGAAATAGTAAGAATGAGATGGACAAACATGATCTTGTTTCTTTTGTCTGCCATTCTACTGAGTTAGTCTCCCACTTAGTATATCATAGAACAAGGACAGCTGTAGTCTATAAATATATATGCAAACACCTGGGCATTAAGTACACATGTATACACAAACACACACTCATCTAATAATGCAAAATTGGGGGCTGGAGAGATAGTCCAGTGGGTAGGGCACTTGCTTTGCAGGTGAGTGACCCAGGTTAATCCCTGGTACATATGTGGTTCGCCCAAGTCCAACGAGGAGTGATCATTGAGCACAGATTCAAGAATCAGCCATGAACACAGCTGGTTGTCTGCCCCACCCCTCCCCCCAACCCTATATACAAATGAAAACAAATTTATAAAAAGGAAAGTTTGAAAGATAAAAGTCTTTGGGAATCCAGGAGACCAAGCATGTAGTTTAGTTTTTAGGCCATGCCCAATGGGAAACCATATGTGCCCAGGAAATAAAATTAAGGTTACCACATGCAAGGTAAGTGCCTTCACCCCTGTACTATCTTTCTGGCCTCGCTAACTTTTCTACCAGTCATTCAGATTTTAAACCCAAGATACCATGCTGGGGAAACCCATTTTTAGCCCAAGCTATAATCTCAAATCTCCTATCACCTAGCAGAGAATGTATGAGTCAGAGTTAGGCTACATTGTGTCTGATCTTCCCCTTGCTCCCTGCCTGATGCAATGGAGGCTGATCCCCTTTCACATTGTACCTCACTATGATGGAGGGTCAATGAAGGTCTGGGGTGCAGTCAGATAATACCACACAAATTCCATTGGCAAGAATTTACCTAGCAGCAAAGAAGCTGAGACATGCATTTTGTTTTATGATTTAAAAATCATTTTTTAAAATTTAATCACCATGAGATACATAGTCACAAAGCTTTCATGATTAGGTTCCAGTCATATAATATTCCAACACCCATCCCTTCCTGAGTGTACATTTCCCACGACAAATGTATTCAGTTTTCCTCCCACCACCACCATTACCCTTCCCTTCACCCTACCCCATCCCACCCTGTCTGTCTCTCTGGCAGGCACTTTTCTTCTTATTCTCTACTTTGGGACATTATGGTATGCAATACAGATACTGAGAGGTCATCATGTTTGGTCCTTTACCCACTTTCAACACGCATCTCCCATCCTGAGTAATCCCTTGAACCATCATTGTCATAGTGGTCCCTTCTTTATCCCAACTGCCTTCTCTCCCAGCACTTGAGGCAGATGTCCAACCGTGGACCAGTCTTCCTGGCCTTTGTTTCTACTGGCCTTGGGTGTTAGTAATTTACTATGTAATTTTTATGTCCCACAAATGAATGCAATTATTCGATGTCTGTCCCTCTCCTTCTGAATCATTTCACTTAGGATGATACTCTTCATATCCATCCATTTATAAGCGAATGTCATGACTTCATTTTTCCTGCATAGTATTCCACTGTGTAGCTATACTGTAGTTTCCTAGTGTGTAAACACAAAAAGACAGCCATTTTCTCTCCCTCCGCCTGCGTTCAGTCGTCTCAGGCCCTTTCCCCACTCCAGGGAGGTCGATGGCGATAGGTAGGCGAAGGAAGGAAACGAGGGCCAGGCTGGTTGGTCTTAGTAGCAGTTTATTACAAGGAAGTTTATCCCATAAAAGAAATTTATGTCATGGAGGGCCCAAGTTCTCTCAGACCATCACATCCAGGTTCTCTCAAGCACATGTTCCTCCAGAGAACCGCGAAAATCTCCTTATATAGATGATGGTACCTCTAAAGGGTGCAATACAGTGATGTCATCAAAAGGAGTTACAGAAAAAAAAAAAAAAAAAAAGGAGTTACAGAAAGAACATTGAGGCGGCAAAACATACATTGTTTCTTTACATCTGCAGGTCAGTAATTTTGGCCTCTGGAAAGAAGATACAAAATCAAGACTGAAACCTTTCACAAGCATTTTCACAAGCTACAAGCACTTAGGTAAAGGTAGACACAGTAACAACAAAGTCTCCAATGGAGACGTTACTGGGCCCGCTCGAGCAAATCGACAAGCACTTAGAATTGTATCCCAAAGACCAATCTGCTAGAGCTTGGAATCTACATCTCAAAGATCAGGCCTGGCTAGCACCTGAGATATGCATATCTAAGACCAGCTAGGTTTCTGTGAGAAAAGGAAAGCTGCCTCTTACAATATTCTGAAATTATTTACTGAAGGCAGTTTGAGAGGGAAAAATGTTCAGCCTCATCCAAACTAGTCAGGACACATGGGAAAGCTGCTTCTAGGACAGATTCTCATTTAGCAGATCAACCCACCCTAGAATGGAATCCCCTGAGTGGGTTTCTCCTCTCCTTGTCCAACAAACATATAAGCATACATAATATAAATCATTTTGTATTAACACAGTAAGAAATACTTTAAGCTTATAGAATTGCTCTCCTAGGGCCATCTCGATCTCAGAATACAGTGCTCAGGCCAGATAGTCTTTCCTATCCCTAGCAGGGTCCTAGTCTCATCGTTACTTTTGGACCATGACAGCATTTGTCTATGATCAAACTCCTAATTTATAGTTAAGAATCGTGGCACTTTGGCCTGGCCCATCTCGATGCCAGGGTAGCACATAACTTACCGCTTGCCCCGGTTCCATCCAGTCCCTCATCGGGGCCCTGCTTTTGGGGGTGCTAGGAAGTGAGGGCAACTGAGGCTTAAGTTAAGAAAGCAGATGCCCGGGAGTGAATAATATTCAAAGCCAATTAAATCCTAAGTTACAAAGTATAATATTAACAGTCTTCCTGTATGTATACAAAAAGGACATTGCATTAAAGTAAACTATTCAAAAGACAAAAGGAGAGGAGAAAGGCAATATTAACTTACAAGTTCAGTGTCCTAGAAGGATCTGACCTCAAAAATTAACAGATTCTGATTAGGGGAAAAAGCTGATTAACTAGCTGGGGAAGAGAGCACAAAGAAGTGGTTACAGACAAGCAAGGAATGGGAGTGACTCAGGAGCACTGTGATGGGTGCCACCTGATAAACCTAAGCTCCTTGTATTCCAACACCTAGCTCTGTGCCTACAAACAAAAGAACATAGGTCTGTGCTAAGGGGGTAGCTCAGCAGTGGAGCACTTGCCTTGTATGTGTGCAATCCCTGCCACAGCCTCAAAAGTAAACTGTACTTCATGGTGTCTCTCTAATAAAAATTTTAAAAAAAGAAATTTAAAAACTTTAAAAAAATTAAAAATAAAAAAATTTAAAAAATGTAAAAACCGTGGTTCCACCATGGAAGGATTTCTAAACTCCTGCTTCTGCTTTCAGCTTTCACCTTGGTCATCCCACAGTTCAGAGAGTCGCTAAGATCCTTCGCAGCAACGCCGTGGCCACTGGGGCCTGAGCGTTACCTTTCCTACATGAAGTTTGAGATCATATTTCAGCCAGAGTCGACAGATGGTGTCCTGCTGTACAGCCATGACAATAGCAGCAAGGACTTCGTGTCCATCACCTTGGCAGGTGGCCATGTGGAGTTCCGCTTCAACTGTGGTTCTGGCACTGCCATTCTAAGGTACATGCTGTCGGGTGGTCATCGACCAGCACATTGCCTGGGTCAATCCTAAGGTGGATGCACAGCAAGTGGCTAACAACTGGTTCAAAGCATTAGCAGTTATTGAGTAGAGAGAACTGTCCTGAGAGACCTCACTTTATTTTATTTGGAGAGAGGGTGGTTTGGGTCACACTCAGGTATGTTCAGGCTTACTTCTGACTCTGACCAGGGATCACACCTGGCAGTGCTGGTGATACCATATGAAGTACCAGAAATAACATCCAGGTCAGCTGCTTGCAAGGGAAGCTGCATAGCCCCTATACTATCTTTCTGGCCCCAAGGGAACCACATTTTAAAGATCAGCCTTCATCTTTCTTTCCCATATGCTTATTTCTTTGTGGTTGATTTCTTTGCAATCAAAACTATTTCTTTGTTATTTAACAAGTCTCTCCCAATTCGTTGTATAAAGAACCTGACCGTGAGTGAATCATCACCCACTGCAAACCCTCAGTCCCTACCTGTGTGCTTGGTGTGACTGTGTGAGGAAGGAGCAGTTTCAACCGGACAACAAACCATTGCATCTAAAGTACTAACTGAAATCTATAGAATTGGTTCTAAGTGGTGAAATCATCCCTCTGTGTAGTATTTGGTCCTCTCCACTGACTCAGCACATCGGTTATTCCCATTCGGCATGATCTGGACATCTCTGTAAATCACTTAGGGCTTCTGCTTAAAGGCAGATATTTTTCTGATGGGTATATGCCTGGCTCTTCTTGCTGTGTTCATGGTATCTCTTACCTTCCACCCTGAGGCCAACTAATCTAAAGCAGATGTTGTTCTTGTTTCAACATTTGTCAAATTCATCTTTTGAAACTCAGGGATGTTTTGTTCCATTGTGCCCTGAAGCAGAAAATCAGCTCATTTGTTGTTTTGAAGGAAATTGCAAACTATATTCAATCATTATTCCTATTGCTCAGTTGTCATGTTTAGTGGGAGTAGGTGGGTGAGGCGTTCCAAGTCCTGAACTGCTGGTCCTTTGTCATGGCTGATGGAAAGTGCTTGCTGCATGAGGTCGAAACTGTCCTTAAAAGAATCAGTTCATGTTTGTCCCTGTGGCAGAATCGCTCACATCAGTGTGACAGCTTCCACCTTAGGGAATGGATGAGCAATTGGGTGCTGCTAGTGATGCAAAAACATCCTATGTCTCAAGAAAACTTGGGTGGGTATTTATTTGGTGCAATTTGCATATGATTATGCAAACCAACCTGAGCAATTCCCTTAGAACTATTTGTCAGACTGAGAGGAAGACACCTTGAAAGTCCCTTTGTATTTTCACAGGGGGCAAAAGGAGAGAAGGAAGAACGGGACTCATTCCCCTCCCCTACCTTTGCAGTGACTGAGGGTCACAGGCACAAGGAACCTCTGAAAACCCAGAATCTTTATTTCTGTAATTCTGTGACTACTTTTGGCAGAATGTGTATTTTGATAAATAACAGCACTAGAGAGATAGTACAGCACATAAGATACTTGCTTTGCATGTAGCTAACCCAGGTTACATCCCTGACATTAAATATTACCCCACAAGTTCTGGAGTGATCCCTGAGTACAGAACCCATGGTAAACCCTGAGCACAGCCAGGTGTGGCCCCAAAAAACAAAAGCAAAACTTTAAAATATAGGTTAGTTGTTTTCCTGCATGCCAGGAAGAGGCCCTGGGAGAAATTTCTTGTGCAGTAGGTGTGATGAAAAGAAGACAAGTGCTCTGGGGCCCCACAGCCATCTTCTCCACTGCCCCATCTCCCCTCTACTGGGACCAGAACGCATAATCACCCTGGAGGCTGCAGACTCCCTTTGGAAGATGTTGATTTTTGAAAAGATTTCAAAGGCTTCCTGCTTAATTAAGAAATTTAATAGAAGTCTGAACTTCAAGAAGTCATGTGGTTGGTCAGAATCATTTTGATTTTTGATCTGGAGAGATAGTACAAGGGTTAGGGCACTTACCTTGCTTGTTACCAACCCAATTTTGATCCCTACATAGTATATGTTTCCCTGAGCACTGCCAGGAATGATCCCTGAGCACAGAGACAGTAGTAACCCCTGAGCATCGCCAAGTGTGGCCCCCAAACAAGCAAACAAAATATCTTAACTTAGAGAAATGATAAGGTTGCCACATCTATTAATGAATTTGATTTTAAAATAAAAAAGAGCAGTGAACCGAGTGCTGGGTGGCAGTGATCAATAGAACTGTCAGAAGAAGGTAGCATATTGACAGGAAATGGCCTCGAAGGATGAGAACAGGTCTCAGGCACTGTTCGTTATGGTGGAGATGGACCCGTTGAAAAAGCAATACTCATTTCTTTATAGCATATTGATTTAGCCAAGGTGATTAAATTCTAATTGCTAAGGACAAATCACAAAAGCATTTGCCAGAGCAAAAAATCAAGTGAGGGGGTGGAGACCTTTCTGTAATTGGTATTCCTGATGGTTTTCTAAAGATGATCCAGGACCAAAAAAGTAATTGGGAGGTTCAGTGAAGGCCAGCAAGCAGATATCATTAGAAATACAAATGCAGTAATTCTATTTTTGCACACTCCACTTTAGAAAGTTAAAAAAAAGAAAAGAAAGAAATATGTAAAGATCCTATTGATATCATTTAATGGTAAGTAGTTTCCACCTTGAATTAATAACTAAATTTTTAAAGTGCTTTTATCTTTTCAGTGTAATTGACAGCAGCACAGAATCTTTCTTTTACCATAAAAACTTTAACATATAAAAGACTTTAAAAATATGATCAGTAGACATCCTTATATCCGCTACCTAGAATTTGCACTTGAAACTGGCTCCATTTATTTCTTACTTATCAAACCATCCTTAGATCTCTGTCGATGCACCTATCATAATCTGTCTTATTTTTCATACCTTTCAAAGGGTGCCGCTAGCATCAATATACTGAGGAATATTTTTTCATGCCATACTCTGCAATATTTTCTCCTCTTCAAAGCTTGTATGCAATTAAAATCACATTTACCCTCCTGTCACTTCTCATCTCACAAACCAGGCTAATCTGACCTGCAATTATTTATTTCGAGAATAGATAAAAGAATAAATACAACACTTTACCAATTAGTGAAGCTAGTTCGGCTGTGTTTTCTGAGCAGGATATGTTCTGTCTCTCCCCCCACCCGCCACCCCCCACTTCCCGTAGGGGGACACATCTGGCAAATACTCAGGAGCTACTCCCAAGTCATTGTTCAGGGTTTGCTCCCAGTAGTGCTCAGGAGACCAGGTTGTGCCAGGGGTTTAACCCTGGCCTTCCACATGCAAAGCCTGCACTCTAGCCTTTTAAACCACCTGACTCAGATTATCCTCTTTCTATCAAAGGGCCTGAGGCATCCCTGTTTCCAACCATTTCACCAGTGCTGTACCAGTGAAGCTAATCTCCTTGGTTTCCTTCTTTCAACAGGAGTGAAGCACCCATCACCCTGAATGAATGGCATGAGCTACGTGTATCCCGCACAGCAAGGAAAGGCACTTTAGAGGTGGACAAGCAGAAAAAAGTGGAAAAATTGGCAGCGGTAGGATACCCTTTGCTCTTGGTGCTTAATGTGAACTGTGCAGCTATTTTTTTCCTGTCCCGGAGGGATGGAAGAGCAGCAGGGTAGCAGGGAAGCACGTGCATTCCAGGTTGACCGCCTGACTCTAAACCCAGCTCCCCTCGGAGCAAACTACTTCTTTCTCAACTGTGAACTGAGTTTCCACCAGTGGTATGGTTGCTGCAGGGTTAAAGTGAACCAATACAAGAGCAGCACTTAAAATCCCTCCTGCTGTCCGCAGCCCCGGCCTCAAGATCATGCTAGTATGGATCATCTTGGGCTGGAGATAAAAGCTTCAGTAGGGCCAGTGGTCTGGGGGGAGGGGGTCCCACATCCACAAAAGAACACAAACTCTGAAACCAGACAGTTGGGTTCAAAATCCAGCTCTGTTTACTTACCAGGCATGAGAAGTCAGACTGGTCCCTTGACCTTCAAGATTGCATTTTCTTATTTATAGATGGGAATGATAGCGATAAAATAACAGCACCTCTTGCAGAGTGGTGAGAATTAGAACAACTACACAGCACTGCCTGGCAAAGGGTCAGGGTGATATGTATTATTAGCTGCTAGTTGTACTGCTCTGGCCTCAAAAGCACAGAATTTCTACTCGTTTTTAAGAGTCTTGATTTTATTTCCAAGGTCATGTTCAAAAACATTCCAACATTTTTAAGATAAGAGATACTTACGTTCGACAGTGACCTACTCGAATTCTACACACACACACACACACACACACACACACACACACACACACACACACACACTTTACAGTTTCATAAAATCCGGAAGGGCTCTGGTTTGCCAGAACAGACTGGTGGGGTCTATTTGCTTCTCTCTTGAGGCACACTGCTGGCATGGTGGCTGTGGCTCTGATTCTGATCAGTAAGAGAGTGACCACCAAGGATTATCATGGGCTACTGAAGGCAGCCCTCAGCTCAGGAGATCCAGCCACGCTCCCTGGATACGACCTTGACTCCGTGTCTTTTTGGTCAAAATTCTCTGAAACTGCTTTGACCCTGCACATCCCCTTTCCCTTATTCTCTTATTTTAACTTCCCCGAAGAGTGAAGAGCTAAACTAAGTGGTCTCTGGCCTTGTGTGCTGTCATTCCCAGCCTGCTTGGGAACTCTATCAGGCTCCAAGGACCATATTTTACTGCATATTGTCACAACCGCCTCTTCTTTTTTTTTTTTTCAGTCCAAAAATGTCCCTATGACTTTTTTTTTTTAATACTTCACATCTGGTCATACTCACTTTCTTGGCGGGGGTTGGGGGAGGAAACATTGATAAAAATCTATGGTGATTATATGATAAAATATATTATTTTCCTTCCTGAAAGTCTTTCTTCTTTGAAAAGCCTCCTCCCCCCACCTTCCACAACTCTGAACTGCTAATTTTATCTAGCTGGCCCACGGCTTCCTTCCTAAAACACAGGCCTGACTAGTCTCTCTGTTGTATAAAACCTTGGGGGTGAAATATAAATTCCTGTCCAAGAATAATCCAGGCTTTTCTGACCTCTGCCTTTGCCTACATTCCTTCCTCGCCCCAACTTTACCCCTTTATCTGGCCGCTACATTTCTAGCTTCCTTGTCTGCTCTTCCCCTCTGCATGAGCCCCAGCCCCCACCAAGCCCACCCCTGTGTCCATCCACCCCCACATTGCCAAGCCTCCCTGTAACCCCTTCCCAGTGGAAGCTTTGCAGGGCAGGAACTGGGCGATATTTACTGTTATTCATCCAGCACTTAATGCCTGTGTATTAGTAGCTGCCCAATCGTATTTTGTAAATCAATGAGAAAGTGCTCTCATGATGTATTTGTTTTACTGATGATTGAAGCAAACAATAATTTTTGTGAAAGTATATTTATTCCCACAGATCTCAAGTTATAATTGGTCTTTGCCTGTTATTTGGGGATATTGGAACATTTTGAATGCCTGCTCATGTCTGAAGCATTTTAGTCACAAAATAGTATACAACTTGTCATCTTCCAGCCATGGATGCTTGCAGTACTCTGGGGATCAATAATAAGAAATTCTCCCCAAATCTGGAAAATGAAAGTTTACCGGCTTCCTTGATTAAGGGGGATGCCTCCCACCCGCTAGGTTTTCGCTTTCTTGGAAGGCCGTTCGATTCCCAGCATCCCATATGGTCCCCCAAGCACTACCAGGGGTAATTCCTGAGTGCAGAGCCAGGAGTAACACCTGAGCATCATCGGGTGTGACCCCCCCCAAAAAAAGTAAAGAGACTGTCTCTTCCTTGCTGTTTCTAACCACAACCTGAGATCTGAACAATAGTCACAAACAAATCCTGCACCTTTCTCACTCACACTCAGTTCAGATTGCTCTAAGATCTGAGCTGCAGGACCAGAAGATTAGAGCGCTGAATAAGCCTGCCAGCTTCTGTCCTAACACCATTCTTTAATCTTCTGACTTTCGAGGACCTCAGAGGATTATAAGGGACTGATTTCGTGGAGCTGGTCCTCTTTTCTAAGCTATACTTTCCCCCCCACCCCCTATCTCTCGGCAGGGAAGCTTCACGCAGATAAAATGTAGCTCCAACATTTTTATTGGCGGAGTTCCTGATTATGACGAGGTGAAGAACAACTCTGGTGTCCTCAAGCCCTTCACGGGAAGCATCCAGAAGGTACTGGTGTCATGGACTCTTGTTTCTGGTGGGACTCTGATTGCAGAACCTGGTGCTTCTTCCTGCAGCCTATAAAGCAGCTTTGGAAAAGGGCTGGGGTTTGACTTGCAAATGATCGTTCATCATCCAGCTTCCCAGTCCCACTTTCTATAACCCCTGCCCCTGGGTCTGTACTTAGCAGGCGCTGGATGAATGAAACTCAGGGAACAGGCATTTTCTCAGCAAATCTACCAACATATGTGAAGGCTGCTGCAAAGCCGGGGCTGTGGGTCACTGTAGATATTCTACAAAACAGAAGCAACCTCTGGAGGCCCAAAGCACTCTTGTCTCTGGACCTTCCTGTGGGGTCACTTTACAGGAGCCACAGCAATGATATAGCAGGTAAAGAGGCACTTGCCTGTAAGCCAACCTGACTTCTATCACCTGATACTCTCAAAGGTCTCCCAAGCACCACCAGGAGTGATCCCTGAGCACAGAGCCAAGGGGAAGCCCTGAGCACCACTGGGTTAATCTACAAAGCAAAACAAACATTCTGCTAGTAAAAGCTTGCCTCCCCTCCTGCTCTCCTCTCATTCTTCTCTCGGGGCTTCAGAGAAAGACTATGGAAAAGACTATGTTCTGCCGGCAGCAGGTGTGCAGGTGGCCCCATAGCCCAGATTTCTATAGGAACAGCAGTGGTAGAAGGTGAATTTTCAAAAGGCTTTGGTTCCTGGATGCTAATCTCATCCTGTCTCTTTTGACAGCCAAGCCAAGAATAGAATGTGGACTATTGATCCTTTCCAGTGAGATCGACAAAGATGAGAGAGAGGAGACAGTGCTAGCACTCTGCACAGTGGGTGCTGGAAAGAGCCATGGGACTTTCCCAGTCAATCCAAGTTCTCCCAAAGGGACTGAGCCCTAATCAAGGGGCTGAATGAAGGTTTTCCTGGTGGCTATACGCTGATGTCAGCCATGCAGGTCAGACCACTGACCATCCCTGAGGGAGAGATGCCCCATTGAACCATGGTTTTGGATTCTCACTTGAAAGCAGGCTCCACCCTGCCTCCCATCCCCCACTTCATATAGCATGCACTTCCCTCTTTCCTTCTCACTTTCTGGAAAAGCCCCCCCCCCCCCCCCGCCCCCCTCGAGTCATTGGCTGCTCTGGATCCTGCCTGCCCTAATGGTGCATTCTGAGCTGCTCCCAAGCACACATGACTCACTTTCATGGTCCTTTCACTCACAGTGTGACAAGGGGTGAGAAAGGCTGATCTAGAAAAATCCTGGTAACTTTCCAGGAACTTCTGAGATTCAGGACTGGGGCAATTTCAGCCCTACCCTCCAGACACCTTCCCAAATAATCAAGCCTTTGGAAACAGGATCCCAGTGGCAGGAGGGGCAACTGCTCACGTTTCAGTCCCCCTGTAGGGGGCCTAGGAGGTGCTCTTTTATCCTCAGTTCTGTAAAGCCTGAGGACATGAAGACACCAACAGTCCTTGGGCAAGGGCGAAAAATGATGCATCCATTCATGTGGGTTTGGGGAACCTGAAAATCTCTTCTGGTAATTCACTGGCTTTGCTGAAATTCCATCTCAGGGAATTGGGGCAAAGAAACTGCTCAGTACTGCTCAGTGGGTGGAAATATGCACATCAGGCATAGAATGTTTTCTCAGTTCTTAGTGGGAGAGATCATGAAGGGGATAGCATGCTTGCCTTGCATGTTGTCAATCCAAATTTGATGCCTGGTTCCCCCAAGCACTACCAAGAATGATCCCTGAGCAAAGAGCCAGGCCTGAGCCCTGAGCGCAGTCACCTGTGGCCCAAAAAGCAAATTTAAACAAAAATAAAAGAATGTGTTCTCAGTTCCATTTGATTTTGTTGTTTTAATGGGAATGAGGGAAAGAGAAGAGAAGTGAGGGGGTCATGGAGAATGGCAGGAGTATCAGGACTAGCTGGGTCATGGCGCTGGAAGAAGGAAGATAGATGGATAGCCAGAACACACCAAGCTTCTCTTATGCCACCAAGACCAATCACTCCCTCATAGGTTCTTATAGCCTAACTTGGGGGATTGTTTCCTTCCAGCTGGGTTTGACAGCAGAGTTCTGAGCCATAGCTGCATCTTTGCATCTTCTGGAAAGCTTTGTCAAGTGACCAGGGATGGAATCCCAGCCTCTCAAGCAGATCTCAGTAGGGTGGGGCTATTAGTGTGTGTGGTGGGAGGGTGGGGGACTGGATCACACCCTGCATTGCTACTGGTTGCTACTTGGGGGATGATGGTGCCAGGGACCCTATGAACACTGGGCCTCCTTCATGCAAAGCACGTGCTAAAGCCCTTTGAGCCCTTTCAATATTCCCATCAGTATATTTCTTCTCTCCTCCCCATCTTTTCCCTCCTCTATTTTCTTTTTTTTTGTCTTTCCAGCCATCCCCTGTAGTGCTCAGAGCTTACTCCTAGTTCTGCACTCAAGTATCACTCCTGGTTGGGTTCACAGAACCATCTGGGGTGCTGGTGATTGACCCCATTCCTGTACTCTGCCACTATCTCCAGGCCCCTACCCCTATTAGTATACTATTCTTGATACTTCCCAGGTAGACTGCAACATGCTGCAAGGTTGATAACCCTCTTTTTGTAGTCATTGGACCTTCTTTAGGAGCTCCCCACCAGAGTGAGCAGGTCTTCCTGATCCAGAAACTGTTTCTCTCCTAATTCCTCCCCCACCTGCAAGCACCAAAGCCGTCACCTCCAGTCCTGCATCACTTACCAGACTGTAATAACAGGAGCCAGACCTTTCTCCTTTTTAAAGCGCCCTCACGCCACAGAATTCCTGCAAGCATCAGGCTCAGGAAGGTTTCAGAAGACTTCAGTGACGTTTTCTGAACGCCTGAATTTCTTTCCATTTTCTGTCCTTCAGCTCATCATCAATGACCTAACCATCAACCTGATGCATGACCTGACAAGGGGTGTGAACTTGGAGAACGCAGCGCACACCTGTGTGGTGAATCCCTGCCACAATGGAGCCAGTTGTCAGCCCAGGAAGGAGAGATATGACTGTGACTGTCCCTTGGGCTTTGAGGGAAAACACTGCCAGAAAGGTACCTGGGGAGCTGCTGTAAGGACCGCCCTTTCCGGGAGGGAGGGCGGGGCCATCACTCTTAAAGGTGTACCAGCACCGTTCTTTTTAATCAATAATTTTAATCACGTACGAGGTGTTTAATTATATATACATCGCTATAAGTATTTACTCATTAAAATAACTTCAGTACTTCTGTAACAGGAAATAAATAGCTTCTCCATCCCTCACCCCCACCCTCCTGACTCCTTCCTAAGAGTCCCTCAATGATCTAACACATATAAATGGTAATTTGTGTTATCTGTTATCCCACACGTTCCCAGGACCCCTTCCAACCCCCATCTGAGCCAGGACTTCTCCAGACAGGTGGACACCGGACACTGGTGCTTAAGTAGCTGAAGAGAGGAAAATAGGAGACAAATATTTTTACAATGCTTTTATCCTCTTTCTGTGTGTACTGTCAAAAACAAAAACAAAAAACAAAACAAAAAAAAGAAAAAATGGAAAATCTTGTACAAAGCCAGAAGATATTCACTATACCTTAGTTACTCCCAACACTAGTATGGTAATAACCTTTGAATAGTGTGACTTTCCATGCAACCTAAGGTTTCTTTAAAACTCTGTTTTTACATTTGTAAAATGGGAATCAAAAACAGATGTAAACTCTAACAGATTTTTACATGTCAATAAAAAGAAAAATAAGGTGACATATGTCAGGCCTTTATGAGAAGGCCTGTTAGGTAATTGATCAAGATTCATCATCATTGCCATTGGTGTATAAAGAAAACTGCCTTTGCAGGTGCTGTGAGCTACTCAGCTTCCAACGTGCCCTGGTCTGAGAGAGGGCAGGTTGCAGGCCAGGAGCCCTGCAGGGCTGAGCTGTCAGCTTGAGCTCTTGGGAGGCAAAGGTCAAGGGATCTGCTGTCTAGAAGGGTTTTCTCATGATCCCTTTTGGCAGGGCCACACAAACTACCTACTTCAGGATATCAAGTTGAATGAGTCAAAAAAGGAAGACAGGCTGAGAGAGAACAAACAGCGAGCCTTAATGAAGGAATGTGCTTTTTCTCTTTCCTATGTTTTCAGGTTCCTGATTTGTATCCGTCTTAGAAAAAATGAAAGATGCCAATTTGCCACTTGGAAGCCTGAGTAGTCTTCTATTTAAATGAATTTTGAAATCTGCCTGACAAATCATGTGACATGTGATTTACATGACATTCACTTACCTCACTCTTGTGATGATACCCCCACCCCCCACCTGTGATCTAACCTGATGACAATTTTCATGGTTTGGTTTATAGCGTGTCCTTGGGGAGATTTTGTTCTAGAGAGACCCGTTCGCTTAGAAAATTTGGTTTAGGTTTCCTAACGCTCCTCTTTGACCACAGATCAAGGCCATTCAGTCTTGCTCCAGCCTTCCAATGCTCACGCTAATAGTCTAAAGTTCAGGATTAAATAAGCGCTTAGCTTTAGGGGTGTAAGGAAGAAGGAAAGGGTCATTTGTGATCGTATTAGCCTTCATTTCCTTCTACAGAACATCAGGCAGAAGATATAAAGTGCCCTCATTTAAAGCTTCCTAAGTCTAGGCTCAAGGTCAATGTGCAACCAAGCAGAGTGAAGGGGCAGTTTCTGTGAAGAGCTTGGGCTTCCTGCCAAGATCCAAGGGATGGTTGGTGGTAGTGGTGGTGGGGTTTGGGGGAAGAGGCTGGACCTTTAGGCTTCTTTTCTTGCAACTTATTAAGCCAGAGCCAAGATTTTATACCCAGGAGATCTTTGTGCTATGGTCAGAACTCTAGTACTTTGGGATAAAAACAGTGCTCACTGCAAACCATCAGCCTTTGTTCATCCCGAAGAGTCTTTGTGAGAGGAATAGCTTTATCGCCTCTGATCCTGTCCTGGGTCGGACCAAAGAAGATGAATGGGGCTCAGAATCTAGGGATGAGCTCTCAAACAGGGCAGTGGCCATGCAGACTGCTGTCACATCCGGGGAGAGAATCCGGACCTGGGGCAGGGAGGGGAAGAAAGGCAGAGAGGTGGGATCTACATAATTCAACAAAGATGCAAAAGTATATTCCAAAAATTGTGGTAAATTCTTCATGGGAAACACTAGGGATGTTAGAAGCCGCCCTTCACTGCCAGAATCCTATCTAATCCAGCAAGGTTTTTTTTCTTTTATTTCTTCTTTCTTTCTTTCTTTCTTTCTTTCTTTCTTTCTTTCTTTCCTTCCTTCCTTCCTTCCTTCCTTCTTTCTTCTTTCTTCTCTTTTTTTTTGGGAGACAGGAGACTCCCAAGACATGTTAGGAGATACTTAGCTAACCAGGTTCTTCTTGGACCCACAGTGTCAAGGGTCATCGGACCAGCCAGCCTGCTTTTGCTTGAACTGGGGTTGGTTGCAGGCAAGACACAGGTCCTAACTCCTGTTCTAGCTCCTTGACCCCTTTGTGTCTTGATAACCAGATCATGCTTCCAAAGCAAGATGCCATCCCTAATATCCTCCCTGGAGGTACAATTTATCCCTTTGCATTGAATGACATGTTGTAGAAATCCCAGCACCACTTTCATTTAATCCATACTGAGGGACACCTCCACTAGAAATTTGGTTTTCGAGTTCTCACTGGCTCTAATTTTCTTTCAGTGTGCTAGAGAATTATGGGCAAGCAGACAAATTCCATTAAAGCTTTAGTTAGAAGATTTGATCCTTGTCCTTATTTAGGTGGCACAAGAAGTCTAAGGCTAGAAGCCCAGACAACTCCTGGGTGGATTTGTCTCAAGGCTCCCTAACCATTGTGATTTCAGGACTCCTTATTTGGCAGGGTCAGAGACAGGAGAGCCTGAGCCCAGACAGGAGTGGGCATCAGAGTACTCATGGGTTCTGGAGCAATTCTCAGGACCCTGCAAATCCCCTATGGCCACAGAAGTTACAAAAATCAACAAGTCTCTCTGTTCTAGCCACTGGAACCAGATAGGCCGGGGGAACAGAACAGCAGGGTCTTCTAATTCCCAACCAAATTTTCTTTAGTTGGGGGCATAGCCAGCAGTGCCTTGGGGGCTATTCTCAGCTCTGTCCTCAGCTCTGTGCTTGGGGTGTGCATGGGACCATGAGGAACTACAGCTTGACTCCAGGACACCCATGTGCACTCAGCTGATTGAACTCTATCTCCAGCCCCCAACAAAAATCTGCAGTCTCTCATCCACTTGGGCAGTCTTTCTGGTGCTTTCTTCCTCTTTAAGCCTCAGCGTCCCACAAAGCACCCTAATATCTACTCATCTCTTCTCAAAAAGGTATGCTATCCTTAGAGACTTCTTTCTGCTTCTCTCTGCTCATTCAAATCCCCCCTGGGTATCTCAGTTCTGGAGAGCTTTTGTATCAAAGTGAGTTACTAACAGGCTAAAGCAAAATTTCACAACACATACGTAAAGAGGGTGATACTTCACAGTCAAATAGCTCGTATGCTCTGTCCTTGAAGCCTGTATAGGCTTTGTGTCTAAGAATCTAGGATGCTGTTCCTAGAGCTTCTCCCAGTTTATAAGGACTCAGGATAATCAGGGGAAGAATTAAGGTCCTTTTTTTTCTGACCTGGGAACATCGTGGATGTGGCTGGTATAGGACTGGATAGGACGCTAGGTGGCGGTGTTTCTCCATAATTGGCCTCACTAGTGACACTAATTGCTGCTGGCACACATCTGGGATGAGGGTGCTGAAAGATGAGATCTGGTGCGATCAATCGGTATCTACCACACAGGCAACGTCTGGGATGTTTTAGATCTCATCTAGTAGAATCATATCATATTTCTGGATGGGAATTGGGTGCCACTTTTTTTTGTCCACTAAATGGAAATATAGCTTCCGTACATGAAGGCTCTCCTTTCTGAACATTCAGATTATTAACAAACACAAGTGGAGAAGAAAGAGTGTATGTGTTTCAGGCATTTCTCTTCTTTGCCTGGTACAGCAGTAAACAATGGTCCACATGTGGGTGTTCAGGCAAGATGTTGGTCTGAAGATAGTCAAAGTTTTCCAGTGTGTCGAGAAAATTTTTGTTTGCTTCCTTTGAGAAAGCAGTCTACTAGTACCAAGAATTCTGCACCAAGTAGAACTGTCTAGTGGAGGGGGTGCGGTAGGGGTGGGGGTGGGGCGACTGCTGCCTGGCAGAGCCCGAGCTGCCCCTGTGGAAAGCAAGTGTTGCCTCAGGCTCAGGCTGGGGCCCCACCCAGCAGGATGTTGTGGAGAAGAGCTCTGGGTGTTGGGAAAGCCCGATTACAACACCCCCAGGTCTTTCACTGAGGTCCTGTGACTGGACCACAAAGCCAGCTCCCTTCAGTTCTCAGAGCCCCTTGGGAATGAAGTCCCTCTAGTGGAAAGTTTACTTTGTCTGAGGCTGATGGAGTCTGCTAGTCATTGGTGTGTGTGGGTGTCGATGGCGTTGTGGGGGAGGGATGATGGCCCAAGCTTTCAGGTGAGACAGAAATGGAAAAAAAAATACATTTTAACTCATGCATCCTGAAAAATGCCTTTGCCACAGAGAAAAGACAAGATAGAAAAATGTCTGCTACACCAAATTAGGATCAAATCTAATCCTGTTGTTACCGCTTGAACCACAAAGGTCCAGAAAGGGCTCAGTGATCACTTTCAGCTCTAGTCTTTTAGGCAGGTATTAATATTTATCCCTACGTGCCAAGGATTTATGCTGCCAAGGATACTTTTCCCATTTTGGCATTCACTGCTGTCATTTCTTGACAACTGCTCTCCCTGCCTTTGTTATCACAAAATGACCAGGGCTCCAGAACTTTGCAAACAGGCAGCAGAGGGTTGGGGCGATCCACTTTTTCTGCTATGGAGAGGAAAGGAGACGACCCGGTAGCTTATTTATATTTTTTGCACATGCAACCCAGAGCCAAGAAAAGTAATACTCGGGACAGGTAAGTGATTATTTCTATGTGAAGTTTCTCTAGGTTTAGAGGAAGTGGGAATTGTCCGTGCAAAGGCAGGGAAACTCCCAAGTGTAGGCTCCTCCTTGGAGGTACCTTCTTGGCCCTTCTTTACCTCCCTCCACTCAGCCTGCCATGAAACCCACACTTGGAGAGGTGAGTTGACCGCCTTGAATCTGATCGGGGTGAGAAAAAATATCGTCTCTGGTGGCTTTATGTTCATGGAGGTGCCTGGTCCCTTTCCTAAGAGGATGTGCCAGGTTTTGGACACAACTTTAGGAGGGAAATGAAACCAGTTTCCAGGATCCGCGATCAGAGCCCCTAGACATTTACAAGGACTGTGAATTTCTGACTTTCCTTGTTTTGTTTCACGCTGGCACCGGGCAGAGTGTGGGAACTACTGCCTCAACAGTAAGTACAGGAAGTCCTATGAGGAGCAGTGGGGACACTCTGGGCAGTGACCAGGGTGGGCACTGGCTGGGCTGCGTGGGCCCAGTGCATGCCAGCCACAGCAGAGGGTAGCTCCGGTAAGACTCAGACCCCACCACCAGACTCCTGAGAATCCTCCATTCCAAAGTTCCAGCCCCAAGAGGCTCTTGGCTTGACCTGGGGATGTGCTTGAGTTCCCATGTGAGGGGAGTGGTGAGTGGAGGGAAGCTTGTGGACAGGGAGTGCACAGACCCCTTTTGAGCCCCTATGCTGAGTTGATGTGTGACAAGCATGTCCTGACCGCTGGGCCACAGGCCCATGCTCTTAGCCAATAACAGCAGCCCCGGGTTGCCCATGATTCTCCCCTGGAGAAAAGCCGGAGCTGCAGAGCCGCCTGGCACTTGCTTATGTTGAGAAGGGCTCCTCCTCTTCAGCTCGGACAGTCTCTCTGCCCTTGCCCAGCTTGGCACCAGGTTCTGGAGATTTGGAACCTGGCGACACGCCTTCCCAGTTAATAGCACGTTTGGCCTCATATTGGCACCTCACTGGTTCCCTGTTCTGATTTCTCTTCCTTTGGGTCCGTCGCCTCCCCCCTCTCCACCCCACAGCTACTCCCTCTCTGCTCTCTTTTCCTTTTCCCACAATTCCTAGTCCCTCGCCTCCCCTTTGTCCCCTGCTTTTCCTCCTCCTCTCCCTTGCCATTGGCTTTCTCTTCTCCCTGCAGTGGCCCCGCAGTTCCCCCTATTTACTTGACTTTCTATGTATGCCCCATATTACCTCCAGTCTCTTTCCCTCTTTCTCTTTCTCCTTACTTTCTTCCCCATTTCTTCTGCTTGCACCAGTATGGAGAGTGGCTGGTGGGCTGCCCTGTCTTGTGAAGGCAAGAGCCTTTCACTCTGTCTCTGCTGTCCCTCTGGCTGGGACCCTGGTCTGGGGCTTTACCGCCTATGTCAATATCATTATCTCCCAAATTATCTATGAAGGTTTGATTTTTCTTTGCTGATCTTGTTTTCATGCCTTCTTTCTCTCTTTCCTTTGTTTTTGTGGAAAAAATTTGGGAAACATTTGGTGGCAACTGGCCAACATGGGATCTCATTGTCAATGAATTCTCAGTTTGCTGTAATCCGTCCCTCCCTCCCTCCTTCTCTCCCTCTTTCCTTCTCTTCCTTCCTCTTTCCTTCCTTCCTTCCTTCCTTCCTTCCTTCCTTCCTTCCTTCCTTCTTTCCTCCATTTCTTTCCTATTTTTCTCTTCTTTCCCTCCTTCCATCCCTTCCTTCCTATTTTGGTTAATGTCTACAGGTTGTTTAAACTCCCACCCATTGTTCATAATGTCAAATAATCATACATTTTCCTGGGTTCAGTGCCATCTTTGCAACCGTCGCATACATTTGTAAAGCTATAACTCATTTAGGAGTTGACTGTTCACTCTCATAACGTACATTTCTTTGACATTGTGATTCATATTACTGTAATTTCATTAAGCCTCCAATTCTGTGTCTTTCTAAAAGAGGGAAGAGATATTGTTTTTATCACCTTCATTAAAAAATTTTCCTTATTTTTTCCTAGTGTGTGACACCAAACATGACTATTTAATCCATTCTTTTGCTAAATGTGTGTAAAAGAGCAATTCTTCCTCTTTTAAAGAAAACACAGTGACGAGGAGCTGGGAGGAGGAGACTGCATTTCTAAAAAATTAGAAAGTAAAGAGTGATTTGGGCCTGGGAATCAGAAGAATCCATGCAGTTCTTGTTGTATTGCTCTCTTAGCTGAATTTGGAGCAAATATTTGATATTATTTGGGCCTCATTGGTCTTACCCATAAAATGGATAGAAGCCACCCTCCTCTTTCCTCTCTGCTGCCCCAGTGCTTGGTGGGGCAGATTAGTGATATAATGGAATATGGTTGTACAGAGAAAGTCAGAGATCTTTGTACTCTGCCACTGGTCTCAAGGTCCTGGTCTCAAATCCAGAAATCCCAATGGGCCTGGTTTGGCGATGATCTCCTCTGCTTCCTTTGAAGCACATTTAGAATCATCCTCAGCTGCTCCCTGCTTGGCCCAAGACCTACTCTTTAGCTCCCTAGAAGAATTGGGTCCCGATCATGTTTGTGCATATTGCACATTCTTCTCAGTCTTACTGAGGTCAATAGCAGCAATGACCACTCCCCAGAGAAGGGACATCAGGCAATCACTAGCTCCAGGCTAATGTGGCCAAGGGTAGCCCAGAAGGGAACACTCAATGTCCCCTCCCCAAGGGCTGACCCTTGTTCTGTCCTCCCTCGTGGTTAAGTGCTGGGGTCGAGAGCACTGCAGGCTAGTAACTTCCATTCTCTGTTCTCTCTCAGCTATCACCGAGCCCATTGAGATTCCGCAGTTTATTGGCCGCAGTTACCTGACCTATGACAATCCAGATATCCTCAAGAGGTATGTATATCAACAGATGCCTTTCTTGTCTCTTTGCAGGAAGATGTTTTCAGTATCCTCCCATAAGACTTCTGACTATCTCCCACCTCAGAGAAATGAGCTTAACCAGGGCCCCTCAAGGGAGAGGAGAAACACAACATAAACATAGACATAGAACAGAGTGAAACAAAACAAACATGCATGTAGCCCATCAAGCAGCCTCTTGACAAGCAACCCAAGCCCTTTTGGGTCTAAGGGCCTGGGGAGAGGAGCCTCCCCAGTGCTGGAATGTGTAGGATGCAGGCGGAGAGGGGCAGCAGGACTTGCGGCTTGAGCCTGGCCAGGAAGGCACTTCCTGGCAACGTGGCCCCCTCCATGCTCTTGTCTGACCACAGTCGGGAGCTCTTCCTGGAGTCAGGCACCCTGCAGCCAGATGCCACCCTAGGTTCATGTCCTCCTTTGCGTCTTCACCAGTGGGGCTCTGCTGTCCTCCTCTGGGTGTGAGTGCAGGGCCAGGCATACACCCATGCCACCGCCCTGGCTGTTCATCCCTGGGGCAGCAGAAGCTCCCACACTGAGCCAGACTCCAAGTCAACTGACGCTCTGGCATCTCCTGCTTGCAGGGAAAGGCCAAGCTGGCCCTAGGCAAAATCTTCCCATCAGGGAGCTTGGCTTTGGCGTGTGTAGTTTGACATTCATTTCCTTTCCATCTCTGGTAACTTTTAACATGCTGCTACCCTGTCCCTTTGACTTCGCTGCCGTTCTAGAACTTGGTTTCCCTTTCTGGTTGACTGCTTCACAGAATCAGGCAAAGCGCTCAACCAAAGGCCCTTAGTTTGGTAACTTTGGAACCGAAGTAGTTGAGAGACATTTTCCTTGGGTTATCAGCTATCAGGCTAACTGGGAACCACCTCAGGGCCCACTGTTCCAGCTTTCATTCTGCTTCATTATTTGTCAATAACTTGGGGAAGGACCTCTGATTTCCAGCCCAGAGAGAATCTTTTCCTTCAGTCTGTTCTCCTAAAACATGGGTATGGACATTCCATTCCCAGAAAGCAGGACGGTCTGAAAGGTCACAAGTCTTCAGCCCTGTTGTGTTTAGTGAGCGGCATGGGGTGGTTTGGGGCAGTAGAGGCTTTGAAGAAAGGAGGAATCATGACTCTGAAACCTGTGACGGTGTATATGTGTGTGTGTGTGTGTGTGTGTGTGTGTGTGTGTGTGTGTGTGTGTACACAGGCATGTGTGTGAGGCCCCAGGGAAATGTCAACTTCAGGGTCTGTGTCAATTAGGTGCTTTTAGCAGCAAGTATCAGAAAACTCAGCACAAATTATCTTAAACACAAAGGTTATTCTTTCATGTAGATATAGACCAAACTTTGACTATGTTACCAGAGATTCAAATCTCTCTCCCATTTCTGACTCGTTGTCTTCAACATGTTCTCTTGGGGCTGTTCCCATTCTCAGCAGCCTACAAAGGTCACTCTAAAGCAAGTACATTCGGTAGAACTGAAGGGGGTTGGGGAAGACAGGGATGATACCCCCACCCTACTGCCCCACCTTTTGCTTTTAGTGGTTTTGGTTTTTGTTTTTTAAGGGAAGGAATCTTTCCCAGAATGCTCCTGGTAAATGTTCTCTATCTCATTGGACAGTATTAGGTCATGCTCTCATGTTTAGCCAATCACTGCAGCCATCTGATCGACTTTACTTCAATCAATGTATAGGAAACCTGGGAGAAGCTGAGGAGGCAGTGCTCTGGGCTGGAGCTCTGGGTCCCTGGGTGGGGAAGGAGTCGTGGCAATGCCCTGCTACCCTAGGCCCTACAAGGGAAGGCAAGGCAGGCTTTCTGTGCAGATCAGTCCCCAGAATACACAGGTAAGGTCTTCCCTACTGAATGCGCTCTGTATCCTGGACCTGGATGTGGAACAGAGAATAGAAAGGACCTGCAAGGCGAGAAAAGAAGAGACCGACAGCAATGAGTACTGCTCTAGTGTAGGATTCGATTTTATTCAGTCCTACCTCACCTGTTTCTCTATAAGAAAATCATGCTTCTTCTTCCCCCATCATCCCCCGAAATGCTGAACTGGTCTCGGCCCAGGAGGCCCTCTCTGGTGATCTCTTCTTTAACCTCAAAGTGAGGCCAGAGTGGACATCCTCTGTCAGTACCACAACTCAACAATTGCCAACTTGAGCCTTAGGCAGTCAAGAAAGAGAGCTCACCCTACCGCCTACCAAGAGGCCCTTGAGTGGCAGGACAGGGAAATTGGAGGTGGGGCCTGGGGGTATAGCCCAGGCAGTGGCTTTGGCCAGAGTCTTGCTCGGCTCAGCCAGTGCTGTCCTGAGGGTGGGATTCCAAAGGCTGGTGCCCCTTTGGATCTCTGGGTGCCCCCTTTCAATATCTTTGAATCTCCATATCAAAAAGCCTGGACAGTCTTTATAATGGGGAGTGGGACAGACAGACCAAACTGGGATCACTCAGAAAAGGAGGTTGGTGGAGAATGCTTGATGAAGTGCCATTATTTCTGTGTTTCCTCCAGGGTTTCAGGCTCGAGATCAAATGCGTTCATGAGGTTTAAGACAACTGCCAAGGATGGCCTGCTGCTGTGGAGGGGAGACAGCCCCATGAGATCCAACAGTGACTTCATTTCCCTGGGCCTTCGCGATGGAGCTCTGGTATTCAGGTAACCACACGGCAGGCTTCCCTGGGCGGCACAGATCATGAAGTGGCTGGATTTGACTGTCTCAGCTCCAGACTCCTGATCCATCCAGAATCCACCTGATAGATCAGAGATCGGCAAATGACAGTCTGAGGTTCAAATTCTCCCTCCCTCTATTTTAGTGGATGAGGTTTTTGTGACACCTACTGTTCTTGTTTATCTATATATTGTCTCTGGTGGTATGGCAGTGATGGTGAGATAGCTGCCTTTGGGCTTCAAAACCTAAAATAATTCCCCAGTAACCCAGTAATAATCCAGCGGCCCCAGTTTTAGTAGGAGGCTACCCTGTGGCCCCCATTTGGAAGTGAAGGAATTGGAGAAAATGGACGTGGGTAAGGCCAGCCCTGGACATGGGCTCTCAGCTGTATGCTCACTAATATTTGGATTCTGTTTCTGTACAGTTGGGCAGCCTGGGAAGGAGAGGCCCCAGTTGTGGTTCTCACTTCAAAGAATCAGGCACACACAATCCTTGGAGGTCTGCATGTCATGGGGTTTGCTCATGCTTCGTGGATGATACTGAAATGGCCTATATAGCTTGGACCACACCTGGTTGTGTTCAAGGCTTACTCCTGGCTCTGTGCTCAGAGATCACTCCTGCTGAGGCTTGGGGTCAGTGGTGCTGAGAATCGAACCCAGGTCAATTGCATGCAAGGCAAACACCCTACCCACTATACTATCTTTCCAGACCTTCCTCACCTTTTTGAAGAGCAAACTTAACTGTTCTCAGATTTGTCAGATAGGTGGCAGTAAGTGAAAAACTACCTTTGTCTCATCAGGGTGGGTCCCTGCGGTACACACACACACACACACACACACACACACACACACACACACACTCTCCCCAAGGAATGGGAACTGGCTGGTGTAAGATGAAAAAGCTTCTCCTTGGTTGGGCAAATGGCTCAAAAGCTGGAGTACACACCTGGTGTGTGGAGAGCCTGAGCTATGTGCCCAGCACATGGCTGGGGATCGCCCAGCTGAGCCCGAGCAACATTGTACTGCTGACCCAGCATGCCAGGTCTACAATCAGGCCAGGTATCATCATGCCCTGGGCCCTGGGCCCCCTGAGTGTTGCCTGATGGACTCTCCCATCCACCAAATCACAGATCACAGATCACAGATCATCCTGTTATTCGTCGATTGTCTTGAGCAGGCCCCAGTAACGTCTCCTTCATCCTAGCCCTGAGATTATATTCAAGGCTCTTTAGGAGAAAGAGACCCATCATTGTTACTGGTATTTGGCATATTGGGTACGCCACGGGGAGTTTGCCAGACTCTGCCGTGTGGGCAGGCTACATTCGGTAGCCTGCCAGTTTGTCAAAGTAGGAATGAGATGTTATAATAAGATGTCGCGCGGCCGCAAATGCGGCCGCGCAGTTCCAGGAACTGGTTTTTATAGTCTCTGAGTCTTGGCCGCTGATGGGATTACACAGTGCCAGGGGGCCAGTTGGTAGGTGTGACCCCCGCCTACTGGAATTTGGAGGATCTGGGTGGAGGATGCTCGGCCCCAATCCGAGTAGGCTTGGAGATCTCGGCCCCGGAACCCGCGTGACTTTGTCCCTCTGCCAGTACCTTCAGGTGTGCGGAGAGTGGTCTCAGCATGGTGGTGGCTGGTCCACCAAATAAATAGATAAATAAATAAATAAACCTTTTCTAGAGATTTTGCTCTCAAGTGGGTGAGCCGAGATCACTGATTCTCACCTAGTGGGCCTGGAGCAGGGGTTGGCATTGTTAGAAATGCAAACTCTCAGGCATCTGTGCTCACCGCCCCCAGGGCCATCCTGATGTCTGCTGACCTTTGCACATCCCTGCCCCCTCTCCATCCCTCTGCTGCTTCTCAGCTGCCACCCCACAAGGCCCAGGGGTGCTCCCTATGGGAATGGGGGTTATTTGATCCTGTGAGACAAAGCAACCAAAGGGAGTCAAAGCATAAAGAAGATGAAGACTGAACTCTGGGGTTTCCTTGGGTGTTACGGGGTGACTGGCAACCTCGTCAGCATCCTTCCTCTCTGGCTTCTGCAGCCAATGCAGGGTTTCCAGCGAGGAGACACCAGTCACACTTGCCCCTTGAGAAATACCTGCTGGGGGCTCAGGGTGCTTGTGAGAGCTGTGTGGTTGCAGGTCAGAGCAGACAGACCACAGCCGCTGTTCCCCACCTAGCCCCTCACCCTGCTGGCTGGGCCCAAGGTCACACATAAAGTTCTTCACACCCTGCAGCAGGCTGGCTGCTGCGAAGCCATTTTCTTGTGGTTTTCCTGTGGTTAACCTCACCAAGGCCTCAAGTGCCTGATTGTGCCCAGAAAAGAGAAGTGAAACAGTAGCTCAGCCATGGGTGGGAGGCTCGACTTCCCCCCTAAAACCACCAGCTAAATCTATTCACCTCCCCCACACCCCCGCCCCAGCCCAGCAGGGAAACTTGATCTGTCCAGGAGCTACCCCACAGCTCCCAGCAGCTTCCACACAGGCTCCTGGCCAGCCCTTCCCCGGCCCCCAGGCCCACGGTGAGCCATTGCCTACTGCGTTCCTGCCTGGACACATTTCTTAAGTTACCATTTCTTTCTCGGGTTTGTGGAACTTGGCCCCGTGTGTTCCTCTTAAGCGTGGAGTTGTGGTGGCGCGCGTGGTGCTGGACTGTCCCCCCTGACCAGGCCTGGAGCTGCAGGCTCGCTGCTGAGTTATCGCCAACTCCCAGTCTGAGCATGAGCGCACAGCAGTTTGGCCCTTGAAGAGGTGGGTGGCCTCCTGGCCAGGTGCAGAGACTCCGCCGAGCAGGTGTGGGGAGGTCAGCAAGCACCTGGCTGATGCAATGCCCCGAGCACAAGAAACTGAGTTCGCAGTGGCCACCAGCCTGGACTTTGCCTGCACTCCACCCCCAGGGACCCTGCTGGCAGCCATCTGACTCCTCTAAAGCTCACGTGGCTCTGTCCGAAAGGAGGCCTTAGTTGTGGGGATATAAGTGTGTTCTTGCACAGGGCTTGAGACAGTTTCTGCTGGGGCAAGTTATTAGGGATAACGACTTTTGGAGGATAGCACTCTCAGCAGTGCCCATGGAGACAAGAGCTTCTCTTGGCAGTATTCCACCAGCAGTGCCAGCAGTTCAGGGCTTTAAGGTCCTGCTGTGCCAGTGAAGTGGAACTCCAGGGCCACGTGATGGTATAGATGCCCTGGCGATGTTGGGAGGCCAGGGATAGAAACCTGGTTGACACATGGCTGTCAGATCTCCCAACCCCAGGGGCAGTGATTTTCAGAAATGACCATCCCGGTCAGGGAGATGCCCAGGGGTGGGTGCCTGCCTTGCATGCTCAGGTCCTTGGGACCACGTGATTCTCTCTCCTGTCAAAGCACTGCTAGGTGTAACCTGAGAGGCCACTAGGCACTGCTGGGTGGTCCTGGTGGTCCCCAGCTCACTGGGCTGAGTACTGTTGGGCCCTGGCATTGGTTCCACCAATCTCAAGGTCAAAAGATTGCTTGGAATTAAAAAAAAGACCTGGGGGCTGGAGCGATAGTACAGTGGGTAAGGCATTTGCCTTGCATGCTGCTGACCCTGGTTTGATTTCCAGCATCCCATATGGTCCCCTGAGCACTGCCAGGAATAATTCCTGAGTGCAAAGCCAGGAGTAACCCCTAGGCATTCCTGGGTGTGATCCAAAAAGCAAAAATAAAATAAAATAAAAATTTAAGAGAGACCTGGGCTCTACAAAAACAGGTTGAGAATGCTATTTGGGTCTCCTAAAGAGTAATCGAAAGAGCTATGCTTGTAGTATCACGCTTCACTCAAGTGAGGAAAAGAATCTGGAGTTCCGATCTCCATCGACAATCAAGAATCAGGGATGCTGTCTTGTTTGCCAAGGCATCAAAATTCAGATGGTCTGGACACGTAATGAGATTTGGAGACGCTGGTCTAAAGCCGTTACTGACTGGATTCCACGGGATATCAAAAGATCACATGGTCGCTCACCTACGAGATGGTCAAACTTCTTCGTCAAGACCCTGAACTATCTGTTTGAGGCTCTTCGTGTTCCTGGAGCGAGCAGACGCCACTGGACTACAATAGCACGCGACAGGGATGAATGAAGATGTTACTGGTGCCCGCTAGAGCAAATTGATGAGTAATGGGATGGTCAAGTGATCAAGTGATCAAAAATTTAAAAATACCTTTTTTCCCTAAGATAAAAGGATTATCCTTGATTATGGGTTTTCTGTTTTCTAGAACCTTCCTCCTATTGGTAATGTAAGCAAAGAGGCAGTCTATAATGCTCTGTAAAGTGTAGTTATTATGACTAGACTCCTTTTGGTTTTGACTGGGGGGCTATTCCCATCTTTGTGCTTAGTATATTATGGCGGGGGTGGGTCTATTCCTGGCTCTGTGCTCAGGAGTGACCCCTGGCCAAGCTTGGGGAACCATATGTGGTTCCAGGAATTGAGTCAGATCTACCACATGTCAGGTAGTGCCATATCTTGAGTACCATCTCTCTGCTCCTACTAGGACATGGGCCCTTGCTCTTTGTCTCCATGGGCTGTTCTAGTATGCAGGCAAGCCATTTTTGAGGCTTTGATGTTTGATCCAGGTTCAAAAAAAACAATAGCAAGCTAAATAAAATTCTTTCTTCACCTAAATGCTCCTCCTCCTGCTGCTTCTGCCAGAGGAGGAGGAAAAACAATGGAAATCTTTACAAAGTGACATAGGGCTTTGATGCTGGATTTAGTAAAAAAAAAAAAGCGAATCAGGACACTTGGCTAAGGGCATTGCTTTCTTGTTTTGTTCCATTTGGTTTGAGGATTATCCATGAACCATAGAATGCAGGAAGTGGGTTTGTGAAAAGTCACTGGACTTCCCACTAATTTTCCATGTGATTTCCAGAACAGTTCAGTGCAGCAGAGGGAAGATATCAGACCTCAGGAAAGTCTGACCAAAGAGCAAGGGCCCATGTCATAGAAGGTGCTGCAGTGTAAAGAGAACATTGCTAAGACGTGTCCTGACACGGAGGCTGTTGAGGGGTTTCCAAAAGGCCTCACCTGCCAGTGGGTCCCAGGCTGCACCTGAACTCGGCCATCGCACTACCGCACATTCAGAAGGCCCACTTGGATCGGGAGAACCAATTCATCCTAACCCAGTTCCCCAGATGTGGAGAGAGAAATCAGACATGCCATACATGTTCATTTATGTTCACTTACTCATGCACTCCATTGCCCTAATCTTTCTTTTGGCTGTTGTTCTTGGAGAGATCATTTACATAAGTGCACAATGCTGAGGGTACAATCCTAAAACCTTTTCAGTACATAAACACCTTGAGATAGATAATCACCACCCGGAATAAGAGAGAAAGCACTTTCAGGAAGGCTCCCTCAGACTCTCTGCCAATGAAAGTGACATTTATCACTAGTCATTAATGTGTGACAATTGTCCAAGGTCACATGTCAGGCTGCCTGGAGAACAGGAACTTGCTTAGAGAGTCTGCAATCAAACAGAGTGAGGGGTTGGAGAGTCAGGCCATGGGGGTAGCGACTGTGTGTCACCCACAGCCCCTGCTTTCCATTGGTGTGTGAATCCCTGCGTTCAGGATATAGGTTGGACTCCATGAGCAGTCAGACCCTTTGTGCGATCAAGAATGTCATCATGCAAGAGGGCAGAAGAGAACAGCCTGTCCTTTGTCCCAGCACAGCTGAAAAGGTTTCTAGTTGCTAGATTACAATCACATTCCAGTCAGCCTCCCTGCAGTTACACCAGGACACCTTGATGCTAAGCGCTGGGTGTTCCTAACCCTTTTGGGTTACATATTTACAGTCTGTTGAGAGAGAGAGAGAGAGAGAGAGAGAGAGAGAGAGAGAGAAAGAGAGAGAGAGAGAGAGAGAGAGAGAAGAGGAGAGGAGAGGAGAGGGGAGGGGAGGGGAGGGGAGGGGAGGGGGGAGGGGAGGGGAGGGGAGGGGGGAGGGGAGGGGAGGGGAGAGAGGAGAAAGGAGAGAGAGGAGAGACATACGCACACACTCACACTTGCTCTACCAGGTGCAGCTTGATACCTTTAACTCTTGGTGGCCACTTTCTCCTTTCTAGATATCTTGGAGATTCCGGGCTGCATTAGGTGCTGCATATACTTTGGGTGGAGGGTGTTTCATTTGGTGCTTACTAAGTGTTGTGCTCTTGAGTGAGCTTAACTTAATACTCCCCACAACCCTTCGGGGAAGGCACAATTAACCTCACTTTGAGGAGAAGGACACTTAGGCCCAGAGAAGTCAAGCAAATTTCCCACAGTGACAGATGGTACTTGGTCAGGGGGGTAGTGAAGACAGGCTCCTCTGACCCAGAACCCGGCACTTACTCCCACACTGCGCTCTCCCTCCTAAATGCCAGCCACGGTAATTCAGCGAAGTTCCTCCAACCCACTCTCACCCATTTCGTTTGCATTCATGTCTCCCACAACATTTGGCCAGGAAATCCTGCGAGCTGAAAATTCCACCTACTCCCTGCTTCCTACCAAGAGCATTTGATGTGGGAAAATTCATTAGAAAACAGTGGATTTTCCAGGGTCAGAGTGACAGCTTCGTCCCATGCTATGTCAAGTCCCCCCAAATTCTATTCTTGGGTAAAGGTCGATGGGCTGGGTGACTTCTCTGAGCCTTCTCTCTTCAAGAGTCCTTTCCCTGGAGAACAGTGTGCACTTTCTGGCCTGGCGCTGGGCTCAGAAGGAGCACTTGCCAGCGCTCAGTCACCCACACAGGTTTGCTCACGGCTTTCCCCACTCTTGGGCAGCGAGAGGAGGAGCAGCACGTGCTTTTAAAGGAGGAGCGCAACAGCCAGGCCGTGTGGGACACATTTGCTTTCAAAAGCATGATTACACAGGCCTTGTCCCATTACCCAGGGGAGGGCTGGGCTGCTGGGCCCCTGCCCATGCTAGAGTAGTCATTCACTAAATATTTGTTGAATCCAATTAAATCCGAGTAATTGAATGAACTCGGGGCTAAGAGGACTATTTCTCTCTGGTAAACATGCTCGAGTCTTCTGATACCCTGAGGGTCCCGGGGTGTCTAGGTATCTGGAAAACTGAAAGAGAAAATCAGAAGCGACCTGAGTAGACTTGCTTTCAGAGTAAAATGGGGGCTGGCAGTGGATAATATGCCAAGTTCAGCTTGTACACAGCAGCTTTGGGATTTTAGGCAAATTCCCCTAATACCTCTGGGACTCCCTCCGGCAATGTTCTGTTCTGTTCTGTTCTGTTTTTGTTTTGTAAAAAGTGAAAACAATGCATTAGTTTCCAGGGGCTGCCGTAACAAATGACCATGAAATGGGTGGTTTCAGACAATAGACATTTATATTCTCGCAAGTCAAATGTTGGGAGTCTAAAATGCAGGTACTGGCAACACGGGTTTTGTTTTGTTTTGCTTTTTCCTGGGGACTCTGAGAGAAAACCTGTTTTATGTGTTTCTTAGCATGTCTGGAGTTTCAGGCAGTCCTTGGTGTCCCTTGGCTTATAACTGCATCACTCCTAGTTCTGCCCCCATCTGCAGATGCTGTTCTCCCCTCTGTGTCCACCTGTCCTCTTCTTATGAGGACGTCAGCCTTATTGAATTAAGGGCTGCTGACACTCTGTATGGTTCCACCTTAACTCCATGGGTAAGAACCCGATTTCCAAACCCTCTCTAACTATGAAGCTCTGGGAGTGCATAGAATTCTGGGAAGAAGAGAGCAGTTTATTTAACACAGCATTTTTAAATAAAATCTGGTAATGATTTAGAGTAATGCTATTCCTAACGTCTAGAAGAACAAAACCTGTTCCTGGTGTTGCTGTCTATGGGACTTTGGGGGGAAAATCATACTTGAGAACAATATGCTATATGAAATAAGCCTGTCCAGAAAGGAAAAACTATGATCCTTCTTATAGGAGACATGTATCACAATCAGATTCCTACAGGCACAACACAGAATAGAGGCTGCCAGAGAAAGGGAGTGTCTCTGCGTTGACGGGCAGGCAGAGTTAGCTTCTTTGCAAGGTCATGAGGAAATGTGGAGGTTGTTTGCAAAGCATTAATACTGCTGCCCATGGACACATGAAAGTGAAGATGGTAAAATTTGTTGTGCGTATTTTAATAACAACTAAAAAATATTTGGTCCTTCATGGTCTCCATTGGAAATTGCAACCCTTTATAACTATGTTGTATCCATACAAGAAACCATACAAGTTTGAGGGGCTGGAGTAATAGCACAGCGGGTAGGGCATTTGCCTTGCACGTGACTGACCTGGGTTTGATTCCCAGCATCCCATATGGTTCCCTGAGCACCGCCAGAGTAATTCCTGAGTACAGAGCCAGGAGTAAACCCCCCAAAAACCCCAAAAAACTAAAACAAAAACAAAAATCCAAAACAAAACAGAAAAACAGTTCAAGTGCCAAAATACTCTGTGAGGAGAATTGTTGGTGTCAGCCTGTGCAGAGTTTTATTTTGTTCTCCATCTTCTCTTTCTCTGATGTCTTTAGCTACAACCTGGGCAGTGGTGTGGCATCCATCATGGTGAATGGCTCCTTCCACGATGGTCGGTGGCACCGAGTCAAGGCTGTCAGGTGAGTCCAATGTCCACAGAAGACAGAGCTCCATGGAGATGGGCTCTGAATGCCTTTTCCCTGAGTCTCATTATCCTGCTTGCCTCTCATTCTGCCTCCTGATTGTGCTCAGTTAGACTCCCTTTACCAATCATGCCTTTCACTTACACGACAGGCTAGAGAGACTAGACTCCCACTGCACACAGTGGCCTCAAACGGCAGAGCTTTGCTGGATACAGGACAACATGGTTGCAAACATCAGCAAGGTGTAGTTCCTAGTAAGATGTAGTTATTTCTTGTGAGATGACATTACTGGATGGGAGGGCTTTGAAGATTCCTCATCATTATTATTATTTCTCTTCTTCCTCCTCTACCTTCTCTTTGTCCTCCCCCTCCTCCTTGTCCTCCTCCTCCTCCTCCTTTTATTCCTTTTCCTTTTCTGATTTTTCTGCTTTTTTTTTAAACATCACATTTACCTTAGAAACCTTGTGCACTTGTCCCGATGATATAGTCCTCCTCAAAGAGGGCATTTTCCTCACTTTCCTTGGGTGAATCATTCTCTTAAAATTTCAGTTTTTACCAATTCCAGTTGAAATATATGGCCGAAATGAGAGAAAAAGAAAAAATGGATGGGAGGAATGAGGTGAGGTCTCTCTTTTTTTGGTGGAGGGATGGCACAGAAGTTCAGTGGTAGAAGAGATGATAATTATCCATTTTTAAAATTTTAATTTTTAAAAAAATTTATTTTCCCCTTATACCTTATATAAGGTAAAGGTAAAGGTAAAGGCCCTCCCGTTGTTCATTGATTTGCTCGAGCGGAGCGATAGCACAGCGGGTAGGGCGTCTGCCTTGCACGCAGCCAACATGGCCGACCCGAGTTCGATTCCTCCGCCCCTCTCGGAGAGCCCGGCAAGCTACCGAGAGTATTCGATATGCCAGACACAGTAACAACAAAGTCTCCAATGGAGACGTTCCTGGGCCCGCTTGAGCAAATCGATGATCAATGGAAGGGCCTTTACTTTTTATACCTTATATAAACACTGCGGTTTACAGAGTTGTTCATGATGATTTGTTGCAGACATTCAATATACCAACACCAATCCCACCATCATTGCACCTTCCCACCACTATTATCTTCAGTTTTCTCAACCATCCCTTATGCCTGTCCCCATAGCAGACCCTCGATAATTTATTTTATATTGATTATTATAAATAATTTGCTAAAAGAATGATTAAAAATTGTTTCCTCAGGAGAAATTTAGTGAAGATTGTTGTATCTTACCATTAAGCCCTCGTATAAGTGTTACTAAGATGTTGTTACAGGTTAAGCTTTTTGTGTTGACATTTTGTTAATTGAGATTGATTGCCTTCTACATTACATTCCATCTAATATGGTGTGCTACTCCGGGTTTATCAGAATTACACACATTTAGAGGTATGACGCTAAGCTCCTAAAATCCCACAATGTTGTAAACAAGTGACAAATCAATGGAAAAGTAAGACAAAAATGACAGTTCTGCTGCCTGTGGCCATACTCTTAATGACCTATTTTGAGAAACTGAACTTTGGCCCAAACATAGCTAATAATGAAATGTAAATCTTAACATATTAGAAGTTTTTAGGAGATGAACCATAGAGTGTCCCTGGTTCAGGTTCTGTGAAAATTTTCAACAGCTCCTTCTGAGAGGTCTGTAGGCCATCAGCAAAGCCATGGAAACATGATCAGCTCCCTTGGCTCTCATAAAGTTTGTGGTAGGAGCAACATGGCTCCAGTTCCCCATCCATTGCACCTGACTTTTCATCATAGAGTGTGTCTGAACACTGAAGCAGATCCCTGCCCCTCAGCTGAACAACCTTGCCTAGAATGTCTTTGAGAAAGTCACCTTGATAAAGTCCTAAGTTTGACTTGTTGAAAAAAGAGATAAATATTAAAAGCCACATGAACAGATTCAAGCTCAATTATGTTCTAGAATATAAGTCCAAATGATCATCGTCACACCTGTCTCCCAAATACCCCTGAATTCATGGCTTTAATTCCTTCTTTTCTCTCTCCTGCTCATCCTTAAAAGAGATGATTCAGAAATATACAAAGGAATGTGTAATTCTTCAAGTTCTTACCTTCATACTACACATAATCCTTATAGTCCGCATGGGTGGTAGGTTGCTGTGAAAAGTAAACAGAAGGAACAGAGACCTGGACCTGATGGGTAGGAAGACTCATGCATATATTCCGGAGGTATATCTCAGCCTAGATCTGGTCTAGGTCTAAGAGCCGAGTCAAAACCATGAACATTGGGGCTGGAACGATAGTACAGCAGGTGTGTTTGCCTTGCACAAAGCCGACCTGGGTTCGATTCCCAGCATCCCTTATGGTCCCCTGAGCACCACCAGGAGTAATTCCTGAATGCAGAGCCAGGAGTAACCCCTGAGTATTGCTGGGTGTGACCCAAAAAGCAAAAAAAAAAACAAAAAACAAAACAAAACAAAAAAAAACAAACAAAACAAAACAAAACCCGGAATGTCAAGTATGGCAGGAAGATTTGAATGGATCCTTTAATTCTCTGCAACAGACTCCAGGATAAGAGATGGGGGAAATCAGTTAGGAGGGCATCTCCCAGGGGAGACTGCTTACTATTCTGTCTTTTCTGAGTAATGTTGGTCTTGCTGGCATTCTAGCAAAAAGAGAAAATTCACCCTCATTTAATATCATCTTCAGGACACCAGGTATTTTACACTTATCTCTACAATGCTATTTTATAGATGAGAATGATGATGATACTAAAAACAATAACAACAAAGTCTTGGGACTGGAGCGATAGCACTGGAGCGATAGCACAGAGGGTAGGGCATTAGCCCAGTATGTAGCCGACCTGGGTTCGATTCCCAGCATCCCATATGGTCCTGTGAGCACCACCAGGAGTAATTCCTGGGTGCATGAGCCAGGAGTAACCCCTGTGCATCGCAGGGTGTGACCCAAAAAGAAAAAAAACAAAAAAATATAGTCTTCTGTTGCTCTTTGTAGAGCATGTGTGTATCAGATGCTTTGTTCATTGCTTGCATAACCTCCAGTCTCCACAACAGCCCTGGTCAGTGACTATTGTATTTAATCCTACTTCAAATAATGTTGAAAGCTCCACAGATTTGTTGTTCATTTACCCACTGCTGTGAATCATGCTCTATTTGGGACATGTGAGATACAACATTGAATACCAGCATTTTTAGCATTCTTACCTGAATGTTCTTGCATTCTGGCTGGAGCAGTAAACAGTGAGTAAGAAGCATAATACACATTACTTACTGTGCTGGATGGTAATGTTTTCAGACCACAGTGCCTTTTACTGACCATGGAAAATATAATGAAAGCATGTGCTCTGGAGAAAGTGAAATAATGGATCTTTCTGGAGCTAGCTATCTCCAGGAGATAGCTCCAAGCACTGAGCTTATGCATTACATGTGGGAGACCTGGTTTAATCCCCAACACTGCTGGACTCCCAAGCACAGATACAAAAACCCTCAAGCAGTGGACTGTTGCAGAACTTGTGCACCATTGGGTGTCACCCTATTCTGCCCATCCCAATAATAATGTGCCTCTTGAGTATTATAGACACTAGTAATAACTAAACATCAGATTATTGTACTGTGTACATAAAGATGGGAACTATGGACCAAAGCCATAGCACAGTGGATAGAGAATGTGCCTTGCACATGGCCCACCTGGGTTCAATATCTGGTACCACATATGGTTCCCCAAGCCTGTCATGAGTGATCACTGCACACAGAAATAAGAATAAGCCCTGAATAAGCCCTGTTGTTCTATAGGTATGAAATAGCAACAAAAAGGTTGGTAACTGTACAAGTTTGTATATTGGATATTAAGAAATCTAGCATTTTTCCCTCCTTAAATTCCAGGATGCCAACAGCCAGGCCTATTTGCCACAGCACTGGAGAAGAAAATCCAGAAATCCCTAAGAGAATGATTGACCACAGTACTATGACGCCCAGTACTATACTATGCATGGGCACAGAACCATCCCCAACGCACAAAGGGCTACCAGTCTGCCCCAGTGATACATACGAATCTCTGAAGTGGCGACCAGAAATCACTACACTCTTAGAAAATGCCTCCATTATAGAAGATGGACCTCAGAAAAACTAGACATAGCAAAACCACTTGGAGGAAACAGAAACCTTGAATATAAAAGTGATTTCAAAATACCGGCTATTGATATAATCAGAGAATGAGAGATTATTAACCCAAGAAACAAAAATAGTTACTTGAAAAGGAAAAAGCAACAAAAAAGAAAGTGTGACCTGAGTTGGTAGCACCCCAAGAGCACAGAAACAGGTATATATCCATGAAGACAGTTCATGGGGCTAGACATGTTTGGAAATAAGCTGAGAAAACTGCAAAGCCTTTGCCACAGAGAAAATACTGTCACTGCTCTGTCTCGGAGTCTCTTTGGTGTGGGGATGGGGGTCCTTTAGCAACTTTTAAGTCACTCTTTGCCATCCCTGGGAGTTATCTTCAAACTACAGATGCTTCTCTTTGTACTTTGAGCCACAACCAAATTTATCACAGATCACACTGTCTCAAAACTCACTTTAGACTTTCCTGTAACCAAACTCATTTCAGGCTACACCATCACCAATCCTACCTCAGAGGACCCCATCACCAAAATCACCTCAGGCCACTCTGTCTACAAATTGACCTCAGGCCACCCCCATCACCAAACTTACCTCATGGCACCCCATCACCAAATTCACCTCAGATTAACTACTTTGTCATCAAACTCACCTCAGGCCACTTCATCACCAAATTCACCTCAGGACACCCCATCACCAAACTTACCTCATGCCACCCCTTCAGTTCTCTTGGTCTCTCTTGCCCTGCGGTGCATCCTAACAGATTTGCTCCTTCACCACCTGCTTCTGGCTTCAGTTTTCACCTCCCCATTCCTCACTCTGGAATTCTTTCTGCTCTGTCATTCCCAAACCTCCTCTTTACTCTCTTAGCCTTTTCCTTCTCTTCTTCTCCCAATCCCACAGAACTGATCTCCAACAGGATTTCCTATAAGGTTTCTCCACCCTCTCACCAATAATTTTCCATCCTGATCTTGGCCAGATGCCCCTCCTATGTGTTTCCACAGCACCCTGGCATTCCTCTACCAAGTGGTGAACTATTGTCACATGCAATTAGATATTTTTAGCTTTGCTCACTAGACCCAGTCTCCTGAGGGCCAGGCATAATGTTTTCTTTCACATTTACAGCTCTGTCTTTTAGCACAGTAACTGCCTGACATTATCAGAGGGACTTCAATACTTTATACACAAAATGAGTGCATGGTTGATTGAAGCTCTCAGAATCATGGTGGTTTTTACAGGGATGGCCAGTTGGGGAAGATAACTGTGGATGACTATGGAGCAAGAACAGGCAAATCTCCTGGCAAGATGCGGCAGCTCAACATGCATGGAGCTCTGTACGTGGGTAGGTGTCTTTTGATTAACCTAAATGACTGCAATGCTTTGTCTTGTTAGTCCTGCATTTGTTAGGCTGGGGAACCCCAAAGCCATATTCTTCATTGGATCAGCCAGATACATAGAAATCAGGACATTCTCCAAATATTTCACTCCTCCATTTTCTGAACTTCTGACTCATGCCAGGGGGCAGAAAACACTTAGCTGCTTTTGTGTTTTGGACTTAGGCACGAGCAAAGTCATTCTCTTCTTGTTTATGGGACAGGAATCTACTAAATATAGCTTCTTGAATTCACTTGGAGGAAGGAGAATCTGTCTCCCTGGGTCCTCTCAGAAATAGAATGAGTGGTATTTCTATGAATAGCTGAGACTGTTAATGCTGACACATTAACATGAAAAGAGATCTTTATCCCAGTAATGTTTTTTCAATGTGGAACTTAATCAAAAGCATTGAATAGCAGTGTATTTATTTTTGTTTAAGATGTCATCATCTCTAACTCTATACTACATTTTGTTGACATGACAGAACATTTTGGAACATTTACAATATTTAGATTATACTACATCTACAGCATTTTAGATACCGACAGAAATTATACAGAAGGTATATATTTAGAACCTCTGACTGTATATCAAATTGATCCAGGTCAACCCGAAGATTCTTAGACAAATTAGACAGGTTGTGATGGACTGAACAGTTGTAAGCACTCATAGCCCTTATTTTTTCTATGAGCCAAGGGATTTGGGGGTCAGTAGATATGTAAATGTCTCAATAAGATATCCTTCCCTAGGGCTAACCTCAGCTCCTTCTTACTTCCTGGCAGGTGGAATGAAGGAAATTGCTCTGCACACTAGCAGGCAATTCCTGCGAGGCCTCGTGGGCTGCATCTCTCACTTCACACTGTCCACTGATTATCACATTTCACTTGTGGAAGATGCTGTGGATGGGAAAAACATCAACACATGTGGAGCCAAGTAACACCAGTTGGCCTTGCCCAAGGGACAGAGCCTTCTTCTATCTGGGACTCCCGCCATGAGACCCTGCCTGGTATCATACTCAGAGGCACAGGGATTGAGTGTGCTTCCTCTCACCAAGAACCCGTACACCCTGAGGAGAAGCTAGCACCACACCGAGAGTCCCTGTGAGGCCTTTCCTGCTGACTCTCCGTGGGCCAAACCCCAAGGCTGACTCTGTAGGAAGCACCAGACTTTGTCCATTGAATGTGGAGTGGCTGCCCTAGGTCACACATCAGTGGAAATTCCAGAGCTTGTCTGCTGTAGCTCAGTGACTGTGTTGTGATTCATAGTGCTTTAAAAAAAAAGGAAGGAAAAGTGAGAGAGAGAGACCCAAAGGGCAGTATTAAAATACTTTTCTCCTTCCCTGACTCATAATACTCTTCCTGACAACAGAATAACTGTGTGACCTTCCCCTGAATTTTGTACCTTGTCCATGAATAGTATTAACCCCTTCCAGTCCTCACTGACTGGTTCATTAGTTCATGGAAATAAAGATGAGTGGAGACTCATCTTTATTTGATAAGGAGGCATGGGATCATATCATAATGCAACCCCCTAAGTCTACCTTAGTGAGAAATCCTTGATTTTTATAATGTAAACCCAAGAAAACAGGAACCATCATTTTGTAGCTGTCCTTTTGTATGTGTATATTTTTATAGCTGCAGATTGTCCACACAGGTATACTTTTACAGGTGTGAGTGGACAAGGCTGAATTCTTTGCACACTCCTACAAATGTGCTCCCCAAAGAAATGCAGTAGAGGGTGAGTGGGATTTGCGGGCGCTGCCTCCTGTCTTGGTAAGGGTTGATGGCTTCAGAAGAGGAACAGGAAGCTTTCCCAAAGAAGCAGATGAGTGGGAGCATGTGTGATTGAGGTGGCTCACTGTCAATTATGTTTCTAGGAGGTGGGGCCATGGCACAGTAAACTCGAATAAAGGAGACAAGAAGGCTGGATCGTATTCATCTGGTCATTCCTTTCAGGTGTTACTGATCCTTGCAGAAGTCTTGCTCTGATATGAACTCAGTGTCTTGGTGTTTCTAAAGTGTTCTAAAGTGTCTCAGTGTTCCGTGTTTCTAAAGATGTGTGAGGGGCAGGGCAGCAAGCGCGGAGATAAGGCTGCTTCCCTCTGTGCTGTCACTGACCACGCCTCCTTGCTGACCAGTCACATGACTGTAGGGACAGCTGTCTCACTGGCTAATTGCCAGGACAGGGCTTGCTAAGGGAAAGGTGATGAACAAGGCCACCAAAGAAGGAGGGAAGTACAATCTGATGCACACAGGAGTCTATGAATAGTCTCCTGCAGGAGTCCACTCCTGCCTGTGGCCCGTAGTCAGCAAGGACTTCTGAGCTTTGTACATGGTTTTAGGCATGTACCAAAAACAAAAGAAAGAAACATCAGAGAAGACCTTATGTCTTCACCTTCTGCTTCTGATCTCTAGGAGTTTCGATGACCAGGACTATTCTGGTTACAGGTAGTGACGGTGACAATGACAGAACATGAGGCTCTACTATCCATGTCGCCTATGTAGTACAGTTCAAAGAAGGACACATGAGAGAAAGCTTTATTCACTTCTTTTCAGTGACCCTGTCCTCCACACCTTTCCTCAGAGAGTACTAGGGACAATGCTTCTCAACGAGAAGGGGATTGTTCTCCAAATGAGTGCATTGGGGATCAGTTGTTTCTGGCTAAGAAAAGCAACTCATCATGAGTTTTCAGCCAGCTGAGCTGAAGCCAGAAGTTGTAGCTGAGCTATTGCTCCATCTAAGTGTGATCCAGTGAAAAGTGCAATGACCCAGGACTGGGAGCCTGGGAGAGTGGGTTGAAGCTGCGGAAAACTCCGAACCACCTCCTCCCTGGGTGGTGTACACAGCGAAGTGGGAATCAGCCAGCAGGAGCTGCAGGAGTGGAGGAGGGTCTTGCCCCACAGGGGCCCAGGAGTTGCTATCTGACCCCTGGGAGGTGCAGGAGAGAAAAACAGAGCAAGACACTGGGTAGGCAGACTGGAAGGGCCAGTCCATTCCCCTCACAATGATATAGACAAGGAGAGGTGAGAGGCTGGGAAGGCTCCAGAGTTGGCTCGGAAGGTAAAATCAAGATGATCACAGAAGTTAGACGGAGAGTCAGGTGGCAGGAGAGCTAAGAAGAGAAATGCCCGGGGAGGGGGGTGTCCTGCTTTCTCTCTGCCTGTCTCTCTGTCGCTGTGGCACAGGTGCTCGTGCTCCTTGAGAGTCAGCTTGGCAGCTCTGCTAAGCCTGATGGGTCTTGAGGAGTTGGTTCCTCTCCCTGCTGAACTTGCACCTGTGTCCAAGATTGAATCCATGTGGGACCACCTGGGGTGGCATGGAGAGTGCCTGGACACTTTCCCATGGAGGCAGACAAGAACAACGGAGGAAAGACAGAAAGGCTTCCCACAGAACTAGTACTCTCCTGTGTCACTTCAGCCAAAATTTATTCACCAGAAGCCTGCAGATTTAAGATATGAAGAGACAGACTCCTGCTGATAAGTCACCTGGTGAAGGGAATTAAACTGATGCAGGAAGAGATGAAATCAGGACATTGATGCAACTGAACTGCCACAGCACGTCACAAGATGGAGAGGACAGAAGCAGTAGAGAGGCACATGACCTCTTTTCTCCTGCAGGAACGCTTTGGGGTGGGGACAAAGTCTGTGACATTGTCAGTGACGTGCCCAATGGGACAGCATCCACAGTTTCTCCAGCTTTGCCTCCCGTGCCCTGCTTTCCTTCATCATTCCAGCTGTTGTCTGACACTTGGCAGCTGGGTGGTTATTCTGAGAAGAAGGGACTCATCAGAGTGTGGGCCCTGTGCAGGGTTCTGGAGTCGTGACCCTGTGCAGAGGTTCCTGGGAAGTTTAGGTTCAAGAGCCAGGACTGGAGCATAACCAAGGAATGTGACCATTAATGGCATCCTTGTCCTGGGACAAAAGGGTTTCCTGAAAAGCTTCTGTCTCACAACCAAGATCTTAGAGAATTCCCTGGAACTTCCTGTGTGTTCTGAGCAAGGATGACCGGGAAGGCCGAGGGTGGGGGGGATGAGAAACATCATTTTGCTTTTTCTCTCGAAACTTTGACAGGTTTCCCCTCTGTGGTGGAGTTTCAGTCGGGGAGGTCTGTGGGCTCTTTTTGGTCCCCATTCTTCCCGGGAGTGCCTGGCCCCCGCTGACCCCAGCCTGTCACACACCAGCTGGCCCGCCCTCTTACTTTGCCTTGTGTGATTTCCTGTCCGAGTCGGCTCCAGTCTCCAGGCCGGCTCCAACACAAACAGGCTCTCTGCCTTCCACACGCGAATGTCCGGGGGTCAGAGTCGCTGGGGCTTTCCTTCCGGCTCCCCGCCACCACCACCCACCTCCCTGCGCTCCCCGGGCGAGAGGCGGGAGCTCGGAAACGTGCCCGTTGCTGGCAGGCTGCTGGCTTTCCACTTGGAGGAAAAGCTGCATTTTTCACCTTTAGCCTAGAAAAATATGGTTCTCAGAAAGCTTGTTTTTAGCACGGAGAGTTCCCAGAGGAAGAGGAACAGGGAGTAGGAGGGGGCCCCGCCCCCGCGGAACCCTGACAGCCACCTCCTGGCCCCAGAAGGATGCTGGTTCCTGGGAGGGGACAGCCCGCAGAGCCTCGCAGTGAAGAAAAGAGTGGTGGGAAATCCACTGTCCAGGAGAGACAGCAAATGCTCTAAGAAAGGGCCCGGGCAAAGCCTCCCAGAGTCCTGGCCAGGAGCCCAGGGCAGCTGCCCTTGACGGCCCAGGTGCACCTGGACCCCAAGCTGGGATCTGTGTGATGGGCTTCACTGCGCTCAACGGAGTCCATCATCTCCCAACAACTCACCCAGTGCCTCAGCGACTCTGGTGAGGGGATGGGGGATTCTGTCCCTGCTCAGAGCAGAGAGTCCTGAGATTCTATTGTGAAGGCTGAGCCATCAGTTCTAAAGGGGACAGGAATGAAACAAAGGCAAGAAAGAAATGCTCCAGGACTATCCCCAAGGGGCAGAACCCAAAGGAGGGGACCAAGGCTGCCTCAGCCTTGCCTGGCCCTCACCCCTGGCCTTCCCCTGCATCCTATCAGGGCACTTCTATTGGGGGGGGTGCATTTCTACTCACTGAGCATGGAAGAGGGGAGCTTCTTCCTTGACACCCCCTCTTCCGGCCTCCCGCAGGCATCTGCGCTGGCGGACAATCACAGTTCTCATGAGGGAGTTGCTGCTCACAAGTGGCTGGATCGGGCAGCGAAAAGACCAATGTGACTCACAACACAGAAGCACTTCTAGGACAGGCTCTGAGGGTCATTGTTCTTCAATGTGACCTTCAAAGGCGACATCGTTTTTCTCCCCAAAGTCAGTCAGGAGAGGGCCGGGTGCCAAAGGCTTTCCTTCACTCTCCGTGTGGTTGGTGAGTTCAGAGGCCACCCCTGGCAGTGCTCAGGGCTATTCCCAGCTTGCTACACAGGGTGGGGTTCCTCCCAGTGGTCCTCGGAGGCCTGTGCAGTGCCAGGGGCCTACAGCATGCAAAGCCTGAGCGGCAGCCCTCTGAGCCATCTCCTGGTCCCTGTGTTTATGGATTTGATCTTAATAACAGATTTGACTTCTGAGAGCCAGAGCAGATGGCCTGGCCTCAGGCCCGGGGTGGCAGAGCAACCCAGGGAGCTGGGCCCTACTCAGGCCTCTGCCAGGAGGGCATGGCCCTGCCCGCTCCCTCACCTCCAGTGCCATGCAGCTGCCTGACAGCCCTGGGGTGGGTCTGTGGCCTGGTGTGGCTCCCTCCAGTTTGCTGTCAATGACAATAAAGTCCTGCGGTGGAGTGAGGGGTGGATGGGGCCAAGGCTGTTGGCCCAGTGGCTTTGTAGCAGTTTCTCATCACAGCTTTGAGTCTGTCTTTGGCCCATTTACTCATGTCCTAGCCGGCAGATTCCAGGCTGAGGCGACATGGATGCAGAGACCGCGGAGTCCAGCCTCTTCCCCCCAACACCACGCCACGAGGTCTCAGTTTTAACTTTCCCTTCCTCTCCTCTGCCTCCCCCATCACAAATAAGACACAAGTAGAGAGGGTAGGCAGTGGAGACACCCCCCCCCCCCCAACTCCAGCTGTTCTTCTACCTGAAAAGGCAACATCCCTGTCCTAGGACATGCAGAGCTCTCGGGAGCTCGTCTCCCCAGAAAGAAGGGGCAGGAACAAGGTGTCCAGCTTGCGGCATGAGCACACTGCTTTAGTTTTGTCTTCCTCTCTCGGACTTAACGAAAATTATAGGGGCACAGACACTCCTGACAGGTAGCATGGCTCCCCTCCACACCTCCCCCAAACCCAGGGCCTGCCCAGCTGTCACCTTCAAGGACAGACTCAGCCAGGGGCTACCCTAAGGGGCTACTACTCTGCCTTGACTCCAAGAGGTCTTGGGTTGGAATGGCTCAAAAAAGCAAGGCCAGGGACGCTCAAGGAATTTGCTTATGTACACTCATTTTTCAGGAATAAAAATAACAGGCAGCAGGCCAGATGGATTAGCTGAGGAAAACCCTGCTAAGAAATTGGCTGAGGAAACAGGCTGTCAGACCAAGAGGAAAGGGAGCACGGGACGGCGGCTTCCAAGGCCAGCTGCTTGGGGTCGGCCCTTGCTAACTGCACAAGTTCTCACTAAACTGGGGTGAAAAGGGTGTGGGGGATGGGGGTGAAAGGAGGGTAACTGCTCAAAAGAGCAGAGAATGGAATCACGGATGATCTGAACACATGGAAAGAAAGGAAAGAAAGGAAACAGGAAGGAAACTTCTTCTCACAGGGCTAGGAGAAGGGTGCAGGGCAGGTTCCAGGTGCTTTCATGGCAGGTTGGCTGCCTCTGTCAGAAAGCCTCAAGCTTTCAGGGTGCAGGAGTAAACTGCATCTCCATGTCCTCACGAAAAGCATGGTGGTCGTGCATAGCTTCACGGAAGGTCCCCAACATTTGGTCAGATTTGTTGGGACTCTCTGGATATTGGTTTGGTTCCCTCAGAATGTTTTCTGCCTCCTTTGGAGAAAGACTCGTACTCCAACTCTAAATATGGGATTCCTGTAAAAAGGCATCTTTAAACAAAACCTCTGTCCAGCCTTGTGATGGACACAGGGAAGGCCAGTCAAAATCCTCGCAGGGGGAAGAAATGTCTTTTCTGTTTTCCTGTAAGGAAAGAAGTTTGGAGGAGTCTGGAGCCATGGGTCAGGCTTTCTGGGGACATCTGGTCTGACAGAAGTAAGTCGACGGATAGATAAGAGATGCATTTCACTTCTGATAGAACAGAGTCTGCAGTCCAGTGCAACCTGGAACATTCCAGGGCTCACCTGTCCACGATGTAAGGTCTATGAGATGGGGCAATGGTGGTCTCCTAGGGAAGATTTAGGCCACCGTCGGGCACAGGAGACAGAAACCGTCATTTGGCTTGGCTTGCAAATTGTTATCTGGAAGGAGACAGAGAATCTGACCCAGAGAGTGGTCACTTCAAAGTGGGCAGAAGTGGGTGGGAGAGGCACAGTGGTGGCAGATGGAGAGGGGGAAGGCTCTCATCTGCTGTCACTTCAAATAAAGTCTCTCAACTTCTATCTCCAGTCCTCCGAGAAGAGGACAGACACGCCTTTCCTTCTAGGGCAGAAAAGTGTCACTGCTGACATTTTTCAGTGCCCATAATGCACCGAGCACATGGTCCACTCTGTGAACTGAGCAGGAGCTGCCAACGGTCACTACAGGGCACCTCTGGTTCTCATCCTGGGGGTGCAATTTTGATTGGGGCACCTCTGTTTTTCTGGTGTCGGAGAGATCTAAGGCAGATCACTTTTTGGTAAAACAAACAATTTCTCATATGCAGCGTGACACATGAAACCACTTCATTTTCTTAAGGCATAGTTATTTAAAGACCTTTTATCAAGTGTTGGTGACATATGTTCTGCTAAGCTTGGCCAGGCAGCAACACTGAGATACTTACTGTTCTTTCCTGTTATCAAATGAAGTTTGATAATGATGAAGAGTTAGAATTAGGCTGGGAGCGGCAGAGCTATGGGGTGCTGGCAAGGCAGATGGCTTGGACTACTGCAAAAATGCTCCTCTGAGCTAGTGAAGTTGACCCTAAGACCTGCAGAATGAGGAAAGTTCCAAAGCAACAGGAAAGGGACATGAACCTGGGACCATGTGAGAATAGAACCGGAGGTTACTCTAGCTGGCCTTTTGCAATAATAGTCCTACATGGAAAATGGAGAATTGTAATCCAAGGAGAAAGGTGTTCTCAACGCTACGATGTCGGCCAGGGGCCTGGACATTTAGTACAGTGGCTAAGGTGCTGGCCTCGTCTTGCATGTGGCCAATCAAGGGTTCAAGCTCCGACACAGAGTCCCACCAGGAGCAATCCCAGAGCACGACTGGGTGTGTGTGGTCCCCAAACAAAAACAAAAACATAAAAGCAGCTGGTCAGAAAGTCTGAGGTATCACTGAAGTTTCTCAAGGGACAGAAAAGCATGTGCATCAATCCACTGTATCTTCTGCTGGGACCGTGATACAGGCTCATGCAATGCTCACCAGTCTGGCAAAGGGAGGTAGCAACAGCTTTGGTTGGGGCCGGGCAGAGTGGGAGGCGGTGGGACTTCTCTAAGTTCTCTAGGTAGCAGGAGATGAAATTGACCAGACCCAGGTCTGGTGTGACTCACTGAAGACGGTGGCTGCCCCAGCACCAGTCACCACAGGAAAGGGACGAAACCACAAAGGGTCACTGAGAAAATTAAGATTCCAGGCACATTTCTGAATGGGGTGTGTGGTGTACACTGAGTTATTGGGAAGTAGGCGGGTCTACGGGTTCTTGGCTGTGCTGGTCGATTCTTACATCAGCTGTAAAGGAAAGCGGAAGCTGAGGTGGCTGAAATCACAGGAAGATCAAAGCGCAGGTCCTGCCTGTGAAGGTTCTGTCTAGGGTGAAGACATGACACAGGTCTTCATGCAGCAGTTGGCCAGGGGCAAGAGGGAACTTTGTAATTTTGAGCTGAGACTTAAAATTCTTTATTCGCCTTTCAAATGTCAAGGCAGGTAATTACGAGCTCCTTCGGCTGAAGTTACACCTCTTTCCACATTGCCACCCCACAGTTCTAAGATCATGATCAAAAGTCTTGTCTTCATGTGATACTAAATCACTTCCAAATTCACTCCCATCTCAAAACATTTCATTTTTCATCTTCCTTCGTTCTTGAAGACTTAGTTTTAATTCAATATTTAAGTCGTTCCAGAGGGCAGGTTGGATCTTTACAGGCTATCTGAAACTTATACAGCTCTTTTTGTGAAGAACTTGAGCTTGTAAACTAACTTGGTGTGAAGCTGGATATATTTAAACTTTTATTATTTACACATTTTTATTTTATTTCCTTTAACACTGACATATTTTCTCTTTTTGAAAATAAATTTCAAATAATTTCTGAAATGTTTAGACTCTTTGGAGAAAAAAAATCTGAAAGCTTCATTTTATGGACAGGTTTTTATAATGTTTATAAATTATAAATTTTATAATTTTGTAATTTTATAATGTTGCACTGTCCCACAATTTGGCTAATTATATAGGAATTCCCTGACATATCCCTGATATATATATAATATATATATTATAGACACTGCACTGCACTGCACTGTCCTCCCGTTCGTTGTTCATCGATTTGTTTGAGCAGGCCCAGTAATGTCTCCATGGTGAGACTTACTGTTACTGGGTTTGGCATATTAGATAATAAAATGTATAGAAAATCATTATAAAGCCATGATAATACATTAAAATATCCTAATGTAGCTAAAATCCAATGATGGCTTCACAAACTGTGTCATTTGTTTGTTTGGTTTGGGGACCATACCTGGTGAGGATCAGTGGTTTGTCCTGGTTCTGTGATTAGGGATCACTCCTGGCGGTGCTCAGAGGGCAATATGTGATGCTGGGGATCAAATTGGAGTTGGCTTCATGCACAGTGTCCTAAACCTGATACTATCTCTCCAGCCCAATTACAAATGTCATTCTTATGGGACAGAACCAAAAATATTAATAGCAACAAAGCAGAAGCTACTTTTCTGAGGGTTTAAAACAAGAGCGGAAAAAAAATCAAAATGTACAAATCTATCCATGTAAGTTGTAAGAAAATATATTTATTTGTTCCATGACAATACTATGATAAAATTGTTAAATACATGCATGTTTAAAAAAAAACAGACATTAAGTGACATCTTTAGAGTTAACAGCCAAGCATACAAGTTTTACATTTAAGGTGTTTTAGTAATAGGTTATTTATAGTCTATGTTCTTGCTATAACCATGTTTTCCAAAAGATCTGGAAAACGAATTCCGAAATCACAATGGTACAAAATGTCCAAATTTTTCATTCTAACAGCAATGTGATCTTGAAATTTTCTCAAGGCAGAAAACATTTCAGTTGTCATTCCAGTAAGTGGATCAATCTTATTAAACTTGAAATTTTATGAATCAGACGGAATCACACAAATGTACTGCAATCTATTGTTTACTTGCCGCATATTTCTATTGAACTGTTTTCGTATATAATGCTTTGACTAAGCATGATTTTAAGAACAGAACATAACTGATCAATCATTCAGGTTAAAAAAATAGTCTATAGTGGTAAACATTTCAAGAAATGAAAGAGTTCTGGATCTACGCTCTGTCCCTATCTTTAAGCTGTATTTGCATACACCTGACCAAACAAAAATTAGTAAACAATTACTAGTATTTATTTTTTTAAAAAACTGAAACTATTTAACATATAACATTTCCCTAAAAACACTCATTCTACAAACAACCTTATAAAAGACAAAAACTTATATCTGTTCACAGTATGTGTAATTTGTAAACAGTAAGTCAGTATAGTGAAATTTTGAGAGAGAGAAAAAAAAGGTAATTTCCTAGCATCGTAAAGGCCTCTCTCTTATGGCCACCTAATGAAAAAGAAATGTTAATAAGAAATATCGACCTTATGAGAAAAGTGAATAGGTTTCAATGAATTTTATGTTTGGACATACATTTAAAGTGACTAACACAAAATTAGGATGTCTTATTTAGGCCAGAATCATTTTAAGCAATTCTGAATTGAAATGTATTGAAGAAAAACATATGCTTTTTTTTTTTTAATAAATAACAGGATTAAAAAAAATCTTACAGGATTTTATATTAGAGTGATCCTACAACTGTTGTAAATAAATGAACAGAATTTCTTATATATTATGATTAACTATTCATAATATTGATATGTTCTGAACATTAGGCATGAAAGAAAATTAAGTGGAATTATGTCATAAATATGGTGAAAGTATCTGAAATAAAACTGGGAAAGAATATCTGAAAAATACTTTTACATGAGTATCACTCTGTATCTTTTCTACAATCAAATGTAAAAATGCTAATCTTAAATCTAATAACTAACATGTCCATGTTTTAATGAAAATTGTTATCACTATCTAGAAATATTCACATTATAAAAATCATAACACCACTGGAATGGTCAGGAAAAACAGTGAGTTCAGAAATGGAAAGTTATCCACTTAAAATGGAATCATTCTAAAGGGATGTAGCTCTTAAACATAGAAGGAAATTTAATACACTGAGTGAGGCATTCAATCAGATGTACAAATTGTTTTTGGCTTAAGTGCAATATAAGGTCTATGATGCTAAGTCTTGTTGGTTTTAAAAATGTCTTATTGGCTAGTATAAAGGCTATCTTAGAAGATACAAGTAAATAAAATAAAAATTTCCTTATCAATTCAACATTTATAGATTTCCTATTCATCTTTTAATTTTTAGGACATTCATTATAGCAACCAAAAAGTATGTTATTACTGCTTTGAACATGGTTAATATTCAATCAATATAGATTATTTAAGAGAATATGAATTTATTGTTTCTCTGGTTCCTTAGCTAGGCACTTACATATAAAAAAAACAACATTCAGAGGTCTTGCCCCCTTAAAATGCTACTTAAAATTTTCATTAAAATGCTGTACAATTAAAATTTGTTTTGCATAGATAAATTGTTTATAGCTTTGACACATATAATCCCAAATATTTTCAAGCTTCTTAATTTAAGGAGAAACAAACTTTACTCATGGCTAAAAATTGAATTGTCATAACTCAATGACATAATTAAAAAACTATGGATATATTCTAGATCAAATCATATCCTCTAGTATTTTAGGTTAACCCTAATAAAGCCTTTACATACTAATTGAATGCTGTTCATAATCCTTCATAAATGACATTAAAAACAGCTCATATGTATTGTAATTAGCATGAATACAATCATGTAACAGTTAAGAAAACTTTTAATTAGTATTAAAAGAGGGCTGGAACGATAGCACAGCGGTAGGGCGTCTGCCTTGCGTGCAGCCAGCCTGGCTGAGCCGGGTTCGATTCTTCCGCCTCTCTCAGAGAGCCCGGCAAGCTACTGAGAGTATCTCTCCCGCATCGCAAAGCCTGGCAAGCTACCCATGACATATTTAATATGCCAAACACAGTAACAAGTCTCAAAATGAAGATGTTACTGGGCCCGCTGCAGCAAATTGATGAACAACGGGAGGACAGTATTAAAAGAGAACAGAAATCTTATCATCCCAGTGAAACGAGGTTTCATGATTAATAGCCCTGATGTATAATCCATGAAGCTACAGATCAAATTCAAACTGAGTAATTTCCAATGATTCTTCAGTTCTAAGATATGATAGTAAATTTAGTCATAAATAACTTTCTTCCTTGAAATATTTTCTTATAGGTGTACATGATCAGATGGGCATGACACCATGAAACTACGCTTCATCAGGAAATACCAGTTTAAAATAAATGCTTGGAATCAACTTATCAAAAGAATGAATGGTAACACCATTCAAGGAAGCTCACACATAATGTGCTGCTTTCCAGAACACAGGCTGGGTTGTATAAATAAACATGCTCCAAGCAGTGTCTCTTCTGAGTACAAAGAAACAATGAACACTTAGGGAGAAATTAGTTGCTACTTATGCTTTTAAGCATGAGTCTCCCAGGTTTTCACTCACAGCAAGGAGCCACTTTTGGGTGAGGTTAGAATCTATCAGTCTGCTTAAGTCAGACCCAGACATATATACCACCCATCAGGAAAACTGTTTAATGCTGGGACGGAACTCAGTGAACAGTTACTGAACTTCCACTATGAACAATGTAATTGGCTTAAGATCTCACACTTGATTACTGAGCTATCCAATTTTTATACTTTAAAAATAAAGAAGCATTTTATAAAACGTAGGCAAATTTTAACATGGTTCAAAAAGCAAAAATTACCTTAGGATAAATAAAAAAATTACAGATTATGTGCCTGAGCTGTAGAAATATTTGAGAGAACATTTTCTGCATATGGACATGTTAGGGAGAACTTTAATTTCAAAATACCCTAAATAGAAGTTTCTTTCAGAAAAAAAAAATATTCCCTGATCTCCTTCATTAATTACCTACATATAGAAAAATTGCAATGTTCTTTAAACACTTAGAGTATGAAGAAAATTAAGAATTATAGGACAAATTTTCAATAAAAATTTGAATTGTATGAAATTTTAAGAATAACTTTACCACTGTTTCTGAGAAGGCAGCAGCAGTGCTAGGGGTTCTAAATGTAATCTTTCTGATCTGTGAACTGTGAAAGAAAGGCTGGTGTGGAAAATGAGGCAGCTTCTTTCACCCATAAACTTTTCTGCAAAGGGTTGTCTCTGTGTCCACTCTGAGGAACAAAGCACATCTCTACCTAAGCACATAATACAGGTCCACCATCCAGACACTCAGGCACAATCTCAAATCCAGGTGTCTCCAGACAGTTCCAACATGCCAATGACTTCCATGACACACTGGTGTTAATCCACACCAATACATAAAGTACAAGGCCTATCTCAGGACCATAACTTTGCCAAGCCCCCTAAGAATAATTCTATACTATTATTTATTTAGGATGCCCTCACACAAGTGACAGCCAGCTGCAATGACTACCACCATAATCTCCACTCCTCGCAAAGGACTTTGGACCTGAAATTGGTTTATAAGTGAATTGGCTTTGGCAAGATGTAAAAAATGCATTCTGTGTTCAGTTCAGCAGACATCATGGAACATAATTCTAGTTCCAACATTTACAAGTTTCTAACCAGTGACTGGGCTTTAGATGAGGAAAAGAAGGATTTCTCAATTATTTCCTTAGTTAGGAGCCCCCCCCTCCTTCCCCGGGGGAAGAATGGATCAGACTGTACAGAGTCTGCCCACTGACTGCCTTTCCCATGTGGGCACGGTCCTGGCATCTGCCAACAGTGCACAAACACCTGTGTCTCCAGTGCCACCACCACCACCAGGGGCCATAGCAGAGCACATTTCCTCTCTCCCCCCCACCCTTCCAAGAGTCGAGGATGTCCCTACCACGTTAGGCAGGGCTGGGAGCAAATGCTGATATGCACACTGGGGCTGGCTTGTCTTAAATTCAGTGGTGGTGGTGCTGTGGGGGGGGGGGGGGGAGGGAGGAGGGAAAGGAGGAAATGTGCTTTGGATCCAGATTTACACCACATGCCTCAAAGCACAGAGCACTTTAAGGAGAACTCGCCCTGGCTTCTGAAGCATTAACTCAGCTTCTTGTTGAGCTAGTGCCCTTGGGGTTTGGGACTCTAGCAGGGGAGTAGTGAGCAGACACTGCACCCATTCAGAACAGGCAAAGTAGGAAGCCCTGGACAGAGGAAGACTGAAAGAGTCCCAGAGATGGTCACCACTAGCCAAACAAGTGGGCTATTCTGTAGCACAGAACCAGGGCTGAACCCTGATGGCTGAAGCTGAAATGCATATACCCTAAGGGCAGAAATGAAAATTCTCATCTGTTTTTTTGCCTGACCTCAAGTTAGTTTATTGGATTCATAAATTCTTACCTCAGCCAATACTTATCACGAAGACGAGCTGTTGGGAATATGCGAGGGACACAATGAGGACAAAATTTGGAGCACCTCTCCCTGCCCCATGCCCAGTTCAGGAGTGGGAACTAAGGGAGAACAGATGGAGGAAACTGTGTTTAGGAACAACTCTGGCTTGAAACCTGTGTCACGGCAGAAAACCTCCATGAGACACTGCAGAGGTATACGATGTTACGTGTGAGCGTTGGCAATTATACTTTGTTCCACCTGTTCGTGTATCTCAAGCCTCGGAAGTTAAGTTAGATCCTGGCAGGTTAAATCAGTCTGCACACTTGGGGCATCTGGACCAAACTGACTCTCTCAGTCACACCGTGGCAGCTATTTCTGCAACATGCCTGTTATGCAGAGACATTCATGAGCTAGATCAAGAACCACCACCAGTAAGTCCTGTGCAAATATGCTACACCACCTCAGATGACCCAGGTCTGGCCTGGCTTCTTCAGCTGGGTCAGACTTTTCAGTACCAAGGCCTTCACTAGCACAGGATAAAAGGTAGGGACGAGCAGAAGATGGGGAGGCTAGGGCAGGGGAGATGCACTGTTGGGTGTTGCATTCAGTCTCTCCCCCAAAACACACTCTAGAGACTGTTATGGGCAGGCAAGGGGGCTGTGCACTGCCCCCTGGACTCAGACCCAGTACTTCACATTGAAACAGTCATCCACTAAACCTTCCTGAGAGCAGCACTATCTTTGGAGGTTTATGTTTAAAATTTGAGGACCAGGTCAAACAGTTTAAGGATCATGAATGAGGAAGGACCCCAGGACCCACAATAAGGAGGAACACTTGCTTGGAGAGCAGCGGCCTGGTCTCCTGGGAGCCAGAGCCAACCAGAACTGTGGGGATCACTAATGCCATTAGATATTGCTTAGTAGTCGTATCAAATAGTAAATCATTGGAATTACATGCCATGAATAATATTGAATATTCTCAAACAGCTAAAAAATGGACACTGTGTCACAAAAAAAAGATTTAAAAAACAAAACAACAAACACAAATCTTAATTTCTCTATACAGTCTTAGAAATCTAAGTTTTATACGTTAAGGTGACCAACTGCATAAAGGAAGCTAGGGAAAAAAATTCTAAGAAACAATGGAAAGGCTTAGAATAACCTAGCAAAGCATGAAAAACACAATTCTAATTTGGGCTGGTCAGTGTCACACTCTCTTTCCAAGCTTGTACCCCTGAGACAACTGTTTGATAACCATTATACAGTAGGTACAGAAATCAGCATACTTTATCAAACAGAACTAAGGAACTGTTGCTACATTTTAAAAAATCATAGTTGTTTTTGTAAATGCTGTGGACAGAGGTGAACAATGTAAAAAGATATAAAATCTGTGCTTGGTTTTCATCTAGAATGGAGCGGATGTCAGGCAAAGAAAGGTCACCTGTTAACTTGTGACACTTGCCTCCCTTGCTTGCAAACCCACCTGCAGCTCCATAACGTATACATATAAGTAAACCATCAACAGAACAGAATACAGTTGCCGTGGAATTGGTTTTGCACACGTGGACTTGGACAGGATTAGCCTTGAAATGCTTCTGAAAGGTAGAGCAGTGAGAACTCTTTGGCTCGAATCACAGAGAGCTGCAAATCTTGAGTGGAGTCGGCTGAATTCCGGGGTGACTATGCCTGGGCGCGGAGACTACACAGAAAGCACGTGAACACTGAGACTGTCACTTGCAGCAGCGACGGCCACCTCACGGACAATACTTCAAGGACGCCTCCGGGAGGCCCGCTGCTGACGTGGCAACACTAGCAACAGGAGCTTATGGAGATGGCAGACACGGAAGCGACAGGGTGACACGTTAGTCGTTTGGTTTGTTCTGAAAGAAGTTTGTAAAGGACCACCCTCCCCCGTTGGACTTCGGAGAGTCTTCATCTCTGGGGGGTAGCAGAAACTGCCGGGAGTTAATGGAGCACGGGCTCCCGAAGGAGACCACCTCACTGTTGCTGTCTGTGGACCTCGGAGAGTCAGGGGACACTAAGTTCCAGGCACTGACATCTGCCTGAGGTCGGTAGCCAGCAGTTTTGTCCACGTCCCCGTCAGCAGCAGGCTCTCCAATGAGAGGAGTTATGGGGAGGTGCATCTGGGGCTTGTAGCCTGCCGCCCCAACGGCATCACTGTCCTGCTCGTCCTCGGGCTGGGCCTGTGGCTGGTACATGGACTGAACATCGATGTAGATGACCTGGGAAGTGCCGCCGGCCTCCTCCACGCCTGGCATTGGCACTTCCTCCTCGATGACCGGCGGGCAGTAGGACACGGCCACATGGCTCTCAGGCTCTGCATCAGAGCTCTCTTCTGGGCGCTCGGCCACAGGGGAGATGATCTCTGTATCTTCTATTTTAGAAACCGCTGAGGGTACTTCCAGAACCTCCACGTTATTTGGGGTACACGGATTCATTTCCAATGTCTTAAGACCACTGTTGCCCTGGAAATGAATTTGCACACAGTGATTACAGGTGGCACTCAGGGCTGCTGTAGGAACACTCTTTCGCATACTGTTCCGCGGCACAGTGTTGGAAAACTCGACCAGAGAGCTGTCACTGGGCAGACCAGAGCAGTGCCTGCCAACCCCTTCTCTGGCCCAACCCACCTGCATCCATGATTTCTCCCGGAGCCCCTGAAGTCTTAATGGGTGGAGAACCAGTGCAAAATCACACCTTTCCTGCAAATGGTCAAACACCCCACATGCCCCCATTCCTCACCCACTTGCCCCACTATTCCCGTGCTATTATTAATAGTGGGGGGCAGGGGGCAGGGAGGATAGTGTATAGCCACGACACTGTAATTCAGCAGAACTTTCGAACTGCTATCTCCTCAATGCATTTGACTTAGAACAGCATCTGGCTATAAAAAGCTCTTCCTGAAAGACTGAAAGACAGAACTTCAAAGACTAATAATGTAAGAAAGATTACCTCACAGACACTCTTCTGAAACTGCAGAGCTTTACAGTTTTCTGGATTTGGAATATCTGGGTAGAAGGTTTCTTTAATCCTTTAAACAAAGAATAAATGTTATAAATATAAAATCACAAACAGGCTAATAAACCATCACACTAATCTGAATGTCTGCTCTGAGCACTATGACAAACACCTGAGATAAACACGAAAGATCCTGGAAGCTGTGGCGATAGCACAGCAGGTCAGCTGCTTGCCGTGTACATGGCTGACTGGGGTTCTAGCCCTGGCACCCCATATGGTCCCTTTAGCACTATGGAGTGATCCTCGAGTGCAGAGCCAGGAGTAAGCCCTGAGCACCACTAGGTATGGCTCAACCACAATAAAGCCAAACCCAGGAGATCCTCTCAGTGACCCCTTCGGTAGACCTTTCTGGAAAATGCCTGGGAAAGTCCCTATCTGGAAGCCAGAAACAATCTGTAACTTCCAATAAGCAAAAAATTTTACGTTTCTTATAACATTAAAAAAAGCCAAGAATTATAATGGTGACTGTGATACCAAGTCCAGAGTAAGGCCCAGGCACTGCTCCTGCAAAACAAGCACAGCCCATGCTCAAAGCGTATGTGAGCAAAGCAGTGCAGACTTTCTCCAAACAGATGCTGCCGTGACAAAAGGAGCTTCCAAGCCTGAGCAAAACTGAAACACAAACACAAGATCTGCTTGGTTATCATATCACTGTGGGACTGCGGGGGTGGTCTGGGCCATAGCCAGTGGTGCTCAGGAGTCACTCCCAGTAGAATTCAGGGCTTGGGGTGGGGTGGTGGTAAAGCACATCATTTCTAAACTATCTCTGGCTCCTGTATCATTTTTATAGCTGAAAAAAAAATTTTTTTTATTAGTCCTCTGCAGAAAAAATAAAACTGTCATTGTAAGTCTAAAAGAATCTAACTTCTAATCTATTTGCTTATCTTTTTGATACTGAAATCATTTTTAACATGTGATTTCTCTAGAACAGTTACCCCAATAGGACACAATGTAGTTCCAACTACTGCTACTCTGATTCATAAGTCAGGACGGCTGGAATCGGCTCTCCTCTTGATTGTAGAGGAGGCCCTTTTGATCAGGGAATGTCTCAGCAGGAGCAGACACAGACACTGGCCCAGCCCGGCCCAGAGTGGCTACCTCCAGCGGGCACTGGCTCCCAGGAACCTCTTGCTTATCTCGCTTCACCTCCTCTGACACTCAGGACTCGCCTCGCCCCAAGTTTTCTACACTTCCCCCTCCCATCATCTTAATCTCTTCTTCTCACCTCATCTCCACCTCACACACATGCCCCAACCTCTCCTCCCCCAACACCTTACCTCACAGGGCACCTCCCCACCTGAACAATCCCCCACTCGCCTCATCTCAGCCCACCTTCCCTACCTGCTGCCCTCACTGTCCTGCTTTACCCAGACACGAAGTTCTCGCTGCTGCCACAAAATCAACCTCCTTCTCACTTCTGCACCCACTTCATATGCTGTTCTCTCTGCCTGGCACATTCTTTCTCCTCTTGTTACCATTTGGAGTGCTGTTCAAAGGTAATCCTGACAAGGAAGTGTCTTCCCACTTCCAGAGACAGGATTCAACTCTGTCCTCCTGACTATGCACCTTCACGCTCCAACGTGTTCTCTGGGAGGTCATGGGTTTGTTTGACTGGGTTTGTTTAGGGGGAGAGGCTCTACCTGGCAGTTCCCAGGGCCTACTCCTGGCTCTGTGCCAAGAGATTGCTCCTTGGGAGACCATATGGAGTTCCAAGGACTGAAGCTGGGTCAGTTGTGTGCAAAGCACACGCTTCACCCGCTGTTCTGTATCTCCAGAGGTTATTGGTGTAACATCTGCTTTCCCCATGTCACTGGGTCCTAAGACTAATACTTATCTTGCGCCTCACTCTATTGCCCAGCACATAAGAGGGGTCACTTACATTTGTCAAATAAAAGAGAACATGACCAGACTTTACAAACAGAACACCTGGAAATGTGAGCCCATACTCTGAGAAAAGATTCATTTACTCTGAGTCCTACATACAGTTGTTTCCCATTTATGATTATTTTGGGGAACAACCACTATTACTTTAAATGAAGTTAATAAAGTCAATAAAGTAGGGAACAGTTACCTTTCTACTCTGAAACCTTTAAATGGTAGGCCATATGCCATGGTAAAACCGAAAGAAATTCTGACTGAAACAAGTACTTTTGTTTTTTTCTTTACCGGTTTCAACCAAAAAGATGCACTTGTTTGCTCACACATAAACCCAATAAGCAAGGAAGTACGAATGCAGGTACCATTACCATTCTCGTTTCCGATAGCAAAGGATGCTGGTGACCACGCCCACGGTGACAGCCACAGCCACTGGGATGAGAATGGCAATGATCAATCCTACGGCTGAAAGAGAGCATTGCAAACACTCAAGTCATCGTTTTCTGTCTGAGGTACAGAAAAGTTTTGCACTAGAAGATACTTAAGTTAGACTACTTGGAGGAGGAAAAAAAAATCCCAGTCCATTCTCCAGGACACTGAAAAACTACTGAAACAGAACCGTAAAAATACCATAATAACCATTACACGAACACTGTAGGATGGGGCTTCTCCACCATGACACTACTGACATTTTAGACCAGTTATTTCTTCACTGTGCTTGAGGTGGGCAGAGGGGGCTGACCCATGCATTACAGGAAGTTTAGCAGCACCCCCCAGCCTCCACATGCTACCAGCCTGGAGCACTTCTCCTTTATGAGAATCACTGATGTCAGCAGACATGGCCAAGCACTGCTAAAGGACAAAGAAGCCATCCTCCTGACTTCCTGTGAGAGCTGTGTGTGAGCCTTAACTCAGGGGCAAGGGAAGTGCCAGGACTGAGGGGAGGCAAGTCCATTTCTCTGCCCTTCTCTGCTTCTACTCTTCAGTTCAGGACTGCTGTGCTTTAGACACCAATGCAGGTTATTTCACAGAAAGAGTCAGGACAAAAATGCTTGCTCACTGGAAGACCACTACAAAATCTCAACACAAATGAGAACTCTGGGCTTCCGATGTCATCAACCATTAATTTCTTAGGTACTCAGGTGGGAAATGGCTTCAAATAATCCACTGCATAAATACAAAGTCACCTCATGGCCTTCTGAGCATGGCCTTCCACCCACTACAAACATACAACATGGTGTGGAATTTTAAAAGAGGATTTCTACATAAACAAAAAAATCACTAAACAGCGCACAGTGCATTTAAGAAAGGAAAGCATCTCAACAGCATAATCTGACTCACAATTTTCCTTTGTTACCACAAACATGCTCTTCTCTGGGCCCATTCCGCCATCCGTGTAGGCTCGCAGGACCAGATGGTAACTTGTTTTACCCTGCAGGTCAGCAATTCTCAGCGTCTTCTGGGACGTATCAGTTATATTCTTGACCTTAATGTCAGAACGGCCTGTTTGCAAAGAGAAGAAAAGCATCCCTGATTTCTCCACCATTTTAAACACATGCTTCCCTGACCTGACAGGCCCGCCTCCCTTCCTGGTGAGCCAGACTGCTGCTTCCTGCAGGGGCAAGGCCCAAGGAGCAGCTGGAGCCATGCTCAACCTGCATCTCTGCAGTCAGCCACGCTGGGAACCTGGGTGGGTAGCCTCGTATGTGCGTGTGCGTGTGCGACTGCCTGCAGGATGTCCGGGGGTGGAATCCAGGGCCTCACACATTGAGGTATGCACACTACCACAGAGTCACATCCCTGGCAGTTGGGCCCATTATTCTTAACACCCGAGTGTGAATCTACCCATGAGTCAGGGCATGACTACATGACAACGTGGGTTCCTTGAAGTTCTAGTGGGTGTCCTCTAGAAATGCCGGGCACATAGCAGATAATCACCAAGCCCATGTCTTTCTGGTCTTAAGAGCAAAGCAATCCCGCATGGCCATGGGGCAGGAGAAGCTGTTGCTGAGACTGATGGTCCTTATGAGCTGAGTTGGGCTTCATGAAAGCAAGTGTATAAGCAAGGGAGTACTCACTCCATGTCAGAGTGAGAACAAAGCAAGGAAGAAGCTCCCTTCTTTTTTATGGTGGTGGCGGGTGAGGAGGGGGGATGGTCGGGTCACACTGGTGGTACTGAGGGACTATTCCCGCCTCAGTGTTCTTGGAGAGGGTCACTCAAGGCTGTGCTGTGGGGGGGCGGTTATGCAGTGCAGAGGACCAAACCTGGGTCTCTGTAAACAAAGCATGCATTTGACCTTCTCTGGTTCAGGGAAGTCTTTCAACCACTTCCACAGTGTGAAAAACTGTTTAAATAAACTATTCAATTTCTTTCACCCAAAAATTCAATGAAAAAATTAAGCCACATGATGACTAATAACAAAATGTAACAAGTCCTGCCAGCACCTGCGCCTGCTCTCAACAGCCATGGGCAAACCACGTTATTGGCTTCTGGGGGTGTCTACTTCCCTAGTTTGAAATACACCCAGACTAGTCGTCCTGATTCCTCTCAGTCTTAGACACCATCTACTCGGTCCCCGCCACACTGTCATTACCCCACTCCCGCTCCGCCAACACCATTCATACCGCAGCAGTAGCACAGTGAACTCAGTGTTTATAAGTCTGTGATCATATAAATATGGAATTGCTGCGCAGGCAGATGGCCCGGCATGCTCATTCACGCTGCCTTTCTTGTTTCCTGTTGTTATGACTGCTTTTTCCCCTCATTTGCTTGGTGGGCCAATTCCTAATTCTTCCCACATCTGCCAATGAATATTCAACACAACATCTCATGTGGTACCACACAACAAAATCTCAGTGCAATCTCTTCTCCACCCCTTCCTGAACCTCCTTTCCTACGGCTGGTGGGGGAAGGAAGACACAAAAGGCCACCTTCGGCTGCTGCCACCCCCGGAGCTTATGCCCTGCCTCACTTCCTGAGGCTGATGCATTCTCCCCCCCTCGCCCCCCCCCCCCCCCGTGGGGCCATACAGGGCAGTGTTCAGACATTACTCCCTATTCTGTGATTCTGTGCTCAGGGATCATTCCTGATGATGCCTGGGGTGGGGGGAGGGGGTCCATATGTGGTGCCAGGGATTAAATCCAGGTCGGCAATGTGCAAGTCAAAAGCCCTATCCTTCTTTATTTTACTTTTTTGGTTTGGGGACCTCCCTCTCCACCTATGCCATATCCAGAAGCAAAGCAAGGGCTCCTACATGCAGTGAGCTCCAGTCCTCTGAATCACCTGGTGGCTTTAAAAGGAAGCCTGAGGTAGCAAAAGTTTGCAGGCTTGCGCAACTCAAAATGCCCTCATTCTGGTCTGGCCTTGGTTGACAGATGGGCTGAGTATAGAATTTTCGGTGAACGAATTTTCCTGCAATAGGAGCAATAGCACAGGGGGTAGGGCGTTTGCCTTGCATGCGGCCGACCCGGGAGACCCAGGTTCGATTCTTCTGCCCCTCTTGGAGAGCCCAGCAAGCTACCAAGAGTATCTCGCTCGCACGACAAAGCCTGGCAAGCTACCTGTGATGTATTCGATATGCCAAACACAGTAACAGTAAGTCTCACAATGGAGACATTACTGGGACGGCTTGAGCAAGTCGATGAACAACAGGAGGACAGGGACAGTAACAGCTTGACGACACGACTGTGATCTCTTCTCCGAGCTGGTGTGCTGATACATCTGCTGCGTCCTCATTGCTGAGCCTTTGCACAGGAGCTACTTTTCTCTGCTCCAGGACTTGTTCTATTATACACTATGTGCTCTGGAAATCCGTGGCAACAGACAGAGGTGCAGATCTTCTTTCCTGTTTAGTTTACTATGTTCTGAATGACTGCTCTTATTCTTACAGAGGTAGGTTTTTTATTTCTTAGTGATGTCCTTGTACCATTTCTTCAGGAATTTCTTACTTTTTTGGATGCTGGGGATTGGACCACAATCGCAGGCAGTGCTTGGGACCACTCTTGACTCTGCTCAGGGATCACTTGTGGACCATGTGATATTGGGAGTCAAACTGGGTGGGCTGCATGAGACACAAGTTCCTTAACTACTATATTAGGAATAGTTTCTGAGTATAGTGGGAAGTAGTCCCAAGTCCCTCCCAAAACAACAACAACAATATCAACAAAAAAAAAAACATGTCTGTAATCCAGAAGTTTCTTTCCTGTCCTTGTTCCCTTTCTTCTTGACCTAAAGCATGATCAAAACGGCAGGTCATGGGAGCTAGAGAGACAGTATAGTGGGTAGGGTGTTTGCCTTGCACGTGGCTGACCGGGTTCGATTCCCAGCATCCCATATGGCTCCCTGAGCACCGCCAAGAGTAACTCCTGAGTGCAGATCCAGGAGTAACCTCTGCACATCGCCAAGTGTGACCCAAAAAGCAAAAAAAAAAACAAAAAACAAAAAAAAAACAAACTGTAGTCTTTTGACTCATGATTTAGCTTGTCATCTTTCAACTCTGAGTTTACTCACTCAGCCTCTAAATTGGGGGAAACATCCTCTATTTTTATATTTAAATTTCCCTATCTTCTCTTTAATCCTTTAAAAAAAATTTCTTGGAGCACAAATTAATTTCAAGGCGTTTTCTGAGCACTGAGTTTTAAGCATGATGCCTTCCCAGAAAATGCAGTCCATCTCCCTGACTGTCCAAGGAGTCTTTATCAAAGGTCTTTCCTCATCTGGAACTGTTTCCTTAGATGTCTTGCTTCTTCCTCTCATGTGAGACGCTTTTCTCAGCTCTTCTGTTGGCCCTGGTTGCGTGTCATACTTAATGGTGAGCCCCAGAAAGGCTCACGGGAAGCACCGCATTGTGGGAATTGGTGCTTACTGGTAGGTGACTTCATGGCTGCTGGTGCAAGTGATCGAGGCCATCCTGGGTAAGTCCCCTAAGTATCCGCACCTTTGATGTCTCTCCTCGGAGACCATTTAATTTTTCCAATGAAAGATCCGCTCACTTCCTGTCCCAGGCCTGGCTGCAGATATTCTATTAGCTGGATGGGACAGGAGGAAGTGCGAAGGTCACCCCCACATACTCTGTCCCCCTGGGCAAGGCTGTTTGGTTCAGTTTCTCTGAAGAAATTGTTCAGGCGCCAACAGAGACCCTCACATTAGCTGCCTGAAGCTAGTGCAGGGCTTGGTGGTCCCCAACTTGTCCTTCCACGGACAATTCATTCAACCAGTCTCCACTCTCTGGGGACACATCCTCCCAGCAAGCCTTCAATTCTGTGCCCGCAGGGCAAGTCAAGCTGGCAGCTCACGGGATTTCACCCCCGAGGCTCCTTTAGGTCATACACACCACTTCTCCTCTCCCTCAAATGCCAATTTTAGCATAATCCTTTCTTTTTTTTCTTACCACAATTAGGTTGGGAGCGGGGGCGTTGGTGGAGGAGACCAGGGCCACCCATCACGATGCTGGACATCCAGAAGCACAAAGCTCCTGGAGGCAGGATGGCTACACTGGGTGGCATCGGGAGGCCATGCGGTTCTGAGGATCAAACTCAGGACTTTCATGGGCCTTTGGCTGCACTCAGTGTGCCAGTCTCTTGCCCTCTGTGGCTCTGTGTGCAATTATTGTTTTCTCTGCTCATTTCGCTGACCAATCTACTGGGTCTCATGTTAGAATTTTACTGGTTCAAATGTGAAATGTCTGAACATTAGAGTCAAAGGAGTCGGGTTGTTGGAGCAGGACACCAAATGTGTCCTGGGAGGTGCACAGACCCTGCAGCTGCTCCGGGGGGCAGGAGGGACCCAGCCCAGGCTTGGTCTCTCAGTGTCAGGGCAGGAATTAAATAATTAAAATGGCTTCTTTCCAAGCAGCAATCATTTAAAGGTAATGAAAGTCTCCAGCAGTGGAGATGATGGGCTCGTGGTAGGTGGCTACGGACAGGAAACATCTGACTGCCAGGGAAGCATGACTTGAGAAGGAAGAGCCAGCAGCTGACATAAACATTTCTGCATTGGTAAGCCTGAGAATTCTCTAAGGTCCTCGTACATTCACTCAACAACTGTCAAGAGTGACTACTGTGGGAGTCCTGCTGGATCCGCGCATCCCCTGAGAAGTCACTGGGGCTCCCAGCTCAGCAGGCTCTGGCTCACTCTGGTTAACACAGGGGCATCCCGGGCTACTGAGTTCCCCCCACATTTGAAGAGGAGGAAGTCCCCCTTTACCCCCTCCTTTCTCTCTTATCCTCCCTCCCTCCCTCCCTCCCTCCCTCCCTCCCTCCCTCCCTCCCTCCCCCTCCCCCTCCCCCTCCTCCTCCTCCTCCTCCTCCTCCTCCTCCCTCTCTCTCTGTCTTCCCCTCTCTCCTCTCTCTTCTTTCAAAAATCTTCATAGATACCGTAATGGACCATGTGAAGAAATAGTCTCTATCCTATGGAGCTTAGAACCAAAGGATTCAGAATAAACGATTTCTGAAAGGACCACCCATGTGATTTATCACATACTAAAGTATTAAACTTCTATCCATCACATGATTGTGTTTGCATTTCTCTATTTTTTTTCAAACCGCTTTGGAAAACAGGACTGAACCACTTTGCAGGCCTCCCTTTCTTCTTTTCTCCTTTGTCTGCAGTTAATGAGGAACATCCATGAGATGCTATGCTCAGTCTGGTAATTTACTTACCCGATTCCAAAGCCCTCATCTTTGATGTGTCTCTTTCTCCTTTTTCAAAGTAAAATAAATATCCTCTTAAAAATCCTCTAAGTTCTTCCACAGGAATGTCCTCCCATCTCACTAGTATTGAATCTGCAGATGTATCCTCAACAGTGAAATTTGGTGCAACTATTGGAGCTGTAAAAGAAAAAACGTCAACAGCTGAATGAAGGCTTCTGAATAAAGAACAAGATAATGTTTAATGAGCTTTCCAGCCTCAAGAGTGAAACATCGGGTTAGAATTTCCACTTAATCATAAACCTTCAGAGATTTTTTTATGACCAACACTTTCGCTGTAACCAGAGACAAAAAACAGATCCTAGAATTTTTTGACAAAATAGCCTAAATTTTTTTTTAGTATTTTAATTTTTTTTCCAGCTTTTATTTAAAATGTTTATTTTTGTGGTGCTGGGGAATGAATCCCAGGACTTCACTTAAATTTTTTCTAATTTTACACAAAAATTACTGTTAATACTGCAAAAGTTACCAAAGCCTTTTTTTGGTAAGCTTCAATTTTATTATTACTACTTATTTTATTTAATGGCACCAGGCATCAAACCCAGGCTTCTCGCAAGTCAAACATGCATCGAGCTATCTCTCTGGCACTGTTTTAGCTTTGAAGCAATAAAATCTTATTTCTCCTCATTCTGGGAGTTAGAAGTCTGAAGTGAGTGGTCCCTGGGCCTGCCTGAGTCTGGTTCCCAGCTCACAAGCTGCCGCCTCTCCGTGTCCTCTACGCTGAAAGGGGCTCTCTGGGTGCTCATGGTTCCAGATACCCAGGATCTTTGACTCTCAGAAACAAAAATTCGTGAGAGGCCAAAGTTTCCCTGCAGACATCAATGACTGAGGGGAACGGCCTGTGGGAGAGTTGGGGAGGGCACTTGTGCTTGAGCACTGGGAGGCTGCACGGGCCAGGGGCACCAAGGCCAATGAGGAATCCTGGAGAGTAGGGGGTGATTTATCTGTTTTTTTATGTCTGTGCAACTTTTAATCAGAGAGTGAACATTTATGCTTCTGGTGTCAAGATCATGCCTACCATGTGGAGAGCACCCTGTCTGAGTGGCCGCTGGACTGCACAGTCTCAGTGGGGGGTAACCCGGGCACTATGGTGAAGGGATGGGGGGAGAGCCATGGGCCTTGCCAGGGGAAGCCTTGAGGAGCCCTGGAAGGGAGCTCACTCTCGGCAGCTCCGTCAGTCTCCTGCTCTCATGCTCAGGCACCATCAGCCTCACTCTGCAGGAAGGACGGGCTTTTTCCTCCTTCCAAGATGAGAATAGGGAAGGAGATAATGCACTGGTTATAGACTCACTGTTTTCTTGATTCACATCATTTTCAGTGGAAAGTTTCTTTATGCTTTTTTTTTAAAATGCTGTTTGAACACACATTCTTTGAAACAATACCTTGTCATTACCAGGGGGGCTGACAGCTAAGTAGACTAAGTGGATACTTTACAGGTTTGAATATTAAGATATCCCAATATAATTTCCCACAGATTAATTTTACAGAGATATAGATGAAACTGTTGATTTTCAGTTTATAATGCTTTAAGTAATGCTAATATAAATATTAATATATTAGTAAGAGAACTGTATAATAGATTATGATTTTGTGTCATCTCAAAGAATTACTTTCTATTCTCTTATTTCCTAAAAAAAAGTATTTAAATTATTTATGTATACTATTTCTATCAACATCTATCATTAATAGTCTCATTAAAATTATCAAACACACTTTTCTAGAGTGTATCATCTTTACATTCACGTAATTTTTGGTGACTCAGTATCCACATATGATGCTATCATTGAAAATTTTACTATAAATAACATGCACCCAGGTGTGCTTTACGTATTTAGGCAATAAGTATTTGCTGAGCTTGTATTGTGGACTGGAAAAGTATCTAAGTCATTTGTATGTGTTGGGAGCAACAGTGACAACCTTATGAATATAAATTCTGATGAAGTTTCCCAATTCTGTTGGGAGAAGACAGACTAGTAAATAAGGATGGTCTGTGAAATGCTATGAAGACAAAGGAAAAGAAGGTTGAGGCTGAAGATGCAAAGTCAGATGACTCCTTAGGATGTCAGAGAAAGTGACTTTGAGGATTTCACAAACTGTATCATTTATCTTCTATATCCTGATGCCCTGGGTTAGATTTCTAACCCTATCCAGACTACTTTAACCAGAGTCAGCCATTTCTAGAAATAATAAACAGCTCTCTGGTGTGCATGCTTTTCAAATACAAATAAACCAGTCCAGGGTCAAACATTACAACCCTAAAATAAAATTTTTAAGTGAATATTCAAATTGAATGATTTCATTTGACTTTCCCTTTTTAATCAACAGTCCTGAGCAAGCCAACTCTTTATAAAAACTTGTGTAAGAGGAAATCTAGTATTTTTGTCATCCAAGGTTAACTTTTCTCAATGACAACCATAGATTTATAAAATATAAATATTAAGCAAATGGAGTAAAAGTAATCAAATAATAAAAAAATTATTGTGTAAATTATTTTTCAATCCTTAAGCTAATCTTCCTATTTTTATAATTCAGTCTTGGTTTAGAATTTCTCATATTACCTCAAATTCAAAGAAAATTTATCCACTTAACTTACCCAATTCTTCTAGATATCCAACTATAGAACGCAGTAATTGATATCCTTGAGCTTTGCATCCATATAGGTAAAAATTGTATCTCACGCCTGGTTGAAACTGATCTATAGGATGAACACAATCAGTAAACTTCATACGTAAAGATTACTCTAAAAACCTATTTAAGGAATACCAGATTTGTAACAATTTATTCTGATAGTTCCAATGTTACCTTGAAGCAGATGCCTTATTATAAAAAATCTACCTGTATTTTCAAAATTGGTCAACACCGAGTGAAACCTGAGTGAAACCTGAATAAACCACAATTACAGGCACTTCTACTGCCATGAAAGTTTGGTGTTTTTTTTTTTTTTAATAGTTTATTTCTTTATTGAATCACTGTGGGAAAAGTTACAGAGCTTTCGGGTTTAGGTCTCAGTCATGTAAGTATCAAACACATTTCCCTTTACCAATACTTATTTTTAACCGCGAGCCCCAATAGAACCCCACCTCCCACCCCTCCCAATTCCTGTGAGGCAGATGAGATCTAGTTAATACTCTATCTACTTTGACTAGATACATTGTTTCGATAGAAGATACACAATTATTGTTTAGAGTTTACGACCCCCCCCCCAATCAGATATGCTGAAACAGTGTTGTGAAATGATTTGCTTTCTACAGCTTGGTTTAAGAATAAAATGCTATCGCGGCCGCGCGGTTTTGGATTTCTGCTGTTTCACTTATTAACCCTGGAAGTATTTCTATTAAAAGTTAGATAGTTAAGAGATTGGTTTCTGTGCTCTGGAGTCGTGGCCGTGCCGGAGAGCCGCTCGAGGGGGGCAGCTGGTGACCTCGGTCGGGCGTGAAGGATGGCCCAGAACGCCCCCCTTCCCATGAGGCCCCCGCTGCCCCCCGCCCCCGGCTGAAAGTTTGGTGTTTTAAGAGGACCCCACTGCGAAGTGGGGGAAGTCATGATGAAGGTGTTCTCTGTTTCTGCAAATCAAACCATGATGCTTTATTCCCAGATAGGCTGTCCACCCCGTTTCTTGGTTTTGGGGCCATACCTGGTGAAGTGGGATGAGTTCTGTCCTGGAGACCATATGGGGTGTCAGAGCTTGAATCTGGGTCAACCCTGGACAAGACAATCGCTCTACCTGCTGTGCTATTGCCCTGACCCCTTATTCTGCCCAAACAGGAACTGGGTTGGTTGACTAACCACCTAGGATCGCATCCTGCTCCTATGAACCCCTCCTCTGGAAAGCAGCTCTCTGCTTGCTGTAAGGACCAGACACCGGAAGCTCCATGCTCCCGGGAGGTGCCTGTGTGGAAGGAGTAGGCCACCAAGTTCTCTTCAGGGAAAGGCCAGGGATCGACCTTGAGGGAAACTATTGGACAGCCACAAGAAGCACCCTGATTCCAACTCAAAGAGCCCTTTTGAGATGCTCCCTCTTGTGAAAAGCCAGAAGCACAAAAGTATATACAATGAGGCTCTGGTCTGGAGAAATTGGCAATTAGACAGTGGTAAAATCTTCTACACTACTTGTAATACTATGTAACACCAGGGACATTTCATAGATGTTCCATAATTTATTCTTTCTCCTAATGGCTCTTTGGATTGCTTTTGGATTTTCCAGCACTAAGCAAGACTGTAGTGGGCATTCGTAGATGTCTACCTGTGTTATTTCCTCTAAAATTTTTCTGGAAATGTACTTACTAGGTGGAAGGATATGAAAGCTCTCACACAGAAACTGCCGCAAAGCACCTGCCAGAGAAGTGAAGCCAACACACAGCAGGGCCAGAGGCTGAGGGCACCATGACTTGATTTCACCTGGTCTCCCCATGAGATGCTCTTTTTAAAATGTTCCCCAGTAGCTTTCATTGAGAGGCATGGCCATATCTCACCAGATTCAATGGTGGCTTCCGTGGAGCTTGGAAGAGCCTTCCTCCAGTCCATGAGGCAGGGCTGGGGCTGCGAGGACTTACACCACTTGATGACATAGTCGCATGTCATGTTGGGGTTGTAATTCCAAGTGAAGAGAAAGCCTTTCCGCCGCCCAACAGTCTGCTCCACTTTGATATCATCTGCAACAAGAAAGGAGGAGTAGAAGGTTACAGGCATGACTTCAACCCCACAACAGAGAGGGAAAAATCCCCAGAATATGGGCAAGAGGTCCAAATCAATGTACGAATGTTTGAAGAACAGGGCTCAGTCAAGACAAACCTGAGGTAAAGTTTTAAAGTTTTAAAACTGAAGGAGAGTCACGAAAGAGGGATGGAGTAGGGTGGGACCGGAGGGTCCCTGCTGGGCTGCAGGAAGGAGCAGGAGGAGGGAACTGCAGGGAAGGTTGGATGCCCTCTGCTCATCATGTTCTATGGACTTGAGTGCCCACCATGAGCGCAGATGGGGCTTGCACCTGCACCCTGGCCCTGGGCACAGAGTCCACAGATGGGCATGTGTTATCTCCGGGTGAATGAGCAGTTGGACCTCCCCATCCTTCTTTTCAAGGATGGGGCTGAGGGAATTCTGGAGTCAGAGCTGCAGGGATCTGCCGAAACCCCTGTGGGGTTAGGATGGCTCTAGGGACAGTGCCAGAGGAAAAAGCCTAAACGGTCCAAAGTACGGGAGGCCCACAGTTGGGGAGACATTTAGGCCAGGTTAGGACACTGTGTTCAAAAGGGGAATTCCCCACCCTTCCTTTAGGAAAGACACAATTTCCATAGCTGATATACATACATAAAGCTATTGCTGGACACAAAACAACTTAGCTTTGAGTACAGAGAGCCTTGGGCATCAGAGCCTGCTGGCTCTTTGTTTTTGTTATGGCTAGGAAATATCCAGAGAAGACTCCACTGAGGACACAACTGGAGAAATCTGAGGAACAATGTTCTGAGGTTTCAGAAGCTGTGTGAAAGCGACTGACCAGACCACTGTATAATTCTGTAATCACTATCTTTTGAAGGAAATGTGAAAAAGGTAGGAATATAGCTTATGAATTATGAGGACATCCTCCCATTGCTCATCGATTTGCTCAAGCAGGCTCAGTAACACTGTGAAACTTGTTACTGTGTTTGGCATATCGAATACGTCACGGGGAGCTTGCCAGGCTTTGCCGTGCAGGTGGGATACTCTCAGTAGCTTGCCGGGCTCTCTGAGAGGGGTAGAAGAATCAAACTCGGGTTGGCCATGCTGGCTGTGTGCAAGGCAAATGCCCTACCCGCTGCGGCTATTGCTCCAGCCCAAGAGAGGACATATAATAATATATAGCACACAGAATACAGTACTATAAAGTGTAGGGTGGCCTAAAATTATAAGAGCTGTGAAATCTACAAATTTGATTATCATTCACTCATCTTTTGCTTGCTCTCATGAGTCTGTATTTTTGCACCCATGCGTGAATGCCTGAGGGCTTCTCTCCACTGCTGAGTTCGGCTCTCAGGGCCATGGTCAGTGTTCTGAGACTGAGCACTGTGAGCACTGTGGGAGCACTGTGGGAGCACTGTGCTACCCCTGGTTGGTAACCCTCTGGTCACAGAAACAAATTAAAAACCCAGTTAAATGGCAAGCCATAAGGTATGGTCTTGAGTGAGGGCCGAAAGATTAATTCATTCTACCTCTAAGAGTGAGAGGTGAAAGATGACACCCCATACCGGGGCAGGCATGACCCAGAAGCAGAGTCAGCAAGGCCAGGAGGTGGATGAGCTCACGTAAACCCCTGGCTCAGAAAAAGGCTAAGGCAGCGGAGGGCTGGATGCACCACAGGTCATCCGCCAAACCGAAGTCAGCTGGGGAGATGCTCAGAGGGTAAATTGCAGCCTTTCACATGGAAAGGGTTAATTCCTAGCACCAAGTAGGTCGCCCAGAACTGAAGCAGTAAGTGACTCCTGAGCACTGCTGGTATGGTAAAGAAACAAAAATTTAAAGGAAGGTACCAAGCAACTACAATAATCACACCATGGGAGCTGGAGTGAAAGTACAGTGGGTACGGTGCTTGCCTTGAATACAGCTGACCCGGGTTTGATCCCTGGCATCCATATGGTCACCCCAAGCACTGCAAGGAGAGATTCCTGAGTGAAGAGCCAGAAGTATCCCCTGAGGATTGCCAGGTATGGTCCAAAATCAAAACCAAAAAAATGATACCATGGTCCTATTTTAAAGCTTATACTGAAAATTTAGTTTTGGGGGGGGAAGTCTTAACAAAAATGAACTCCTGTTAATAAAGAATATTGAAGGCCAGAGTGATAGTACAGCAAGAAGGGCATGTGTTGCACACCAGGTTTGATCCCCAGCATCCCATATGGTCCCCTGAGCACCGCCAGGAGTAATTTCTGAGTGTAGAGTTAGGAGTAACCCCTAAGCACTGCCAGGTATGGCCCCCAAACAGACAAAAATCTTGGCTTCCAAGCTGCAATTTAAATGAGCACTTTCCCTTGCGTGACACTTTGTTACCTAGCGCAGTTGGTGTAACATCAGCACTCACTCATGTCTTGGAGAGATGTGTGAAAGCGCCATCTGAATAAGCTGCTAAACTAATTCTTCTTTAGAGCCATATCCACCTCCATGGTTCTCCCACATACTGCAAGAGTCGCTGGGGACAGCAATGATTTCATCCATCAGCGTCGATGATTTGAGTCAACATGACTGCAGTGAGTGAATCCTGACTAGCCACTGCTAGTCAGTGTGTGGCCCTGCCTCTGTATCAGGCAGCAGGGACACAGAGAGCTACTGGGTCAGGGAGCCAGCACCAGCTGTAGGCATACCTCACTCTCATTCCCAGCTCCCAGAACTACTTTACCTGAAGTACTCACCATTGGGAATTTCCATACTGGTTATCTGAGAAGGTGGCGATGCGCCAACAGAATTCTTTGCCACCACACTGACGACACAGTCGTGCTTATCAAGTGGGATTTCCGCCTTGTACTGGGGCTCAGGGATCTCAGCGAGGGACTGGGTTTCCTCCGCTGATGAGCATGAGACGTTGTAGAAAAGTATTTTTCCATTAGCTTCGTTAATGGGCAAAGGCTATGGGGAAATAAATAGAAGAAATTAACTTAACGCCGAAAGAGACCAAGTGACAAGGTGAGATCCTCAAGTCTGAAGTTGACGCTGCACTCATCCTGACCAGGGAACCTGAGAGAAGGGGAAGCGGCTGCCAGAGCCAACACTGGCCACGAGCCTGTTGGCATCTAGCAAGGGAACCTCAGAGAGAACCCGGACCTGTGGTAAGAGAACATGAACATTCGAAATCAGGACAGACGGCACAGTGTTTGTCCAGAAATGAACTCCAAGCAAGGGATGTGAAGCATCCCCCATGCTACTCACACACACACACACGCACACACACTCTCACACACTAGGGTATTGCAGTTGTTTGGAAAAAAATAGTTTCCTTTCTCATGGTGGTCACTTGCCCATGACAGAAAATTTAGAAAATGAAAAGTTGGAAAGGAAGAAGTTTAAAAAGATCTCATCAAATCCCATCTGCTGGTCTCTGTGACTCTGTTTCTCCCCGGTCTTCCCTTTCTCCAAGACTGACCCCTCCTTGGTGGGTCCTCTGTTGCTGTCACCACCATCCCCCACCCCCGCAACTCCCCTGCCCATGGTCTCTTCACTCTGCAGGGGGCCCCCATGTGCTGAGGTGTCTCCCCTTCCAGACCTCCTATGGCCACCCACTCAGATGGAGGTTCTTGAAGTCCACAAGCCCCCAGCAACCAACCCCCTTCCCACTCAGGAAATGAGCACCCTACCTACTTCTTCACTCAGTCGATAATCACCCCAGTATCTTTGATCTTGGTTAAAAATCTGTCTGATTTGAACCGATGAATATTGGATTTTGCTGCTGTTGTTGCTGTTTTAGTTTTGGGGTCACACCCGGGGGTGCTCAGGGATGATTTCTGGGTCTGTGCCTAAAGATCACCCCTGGCGGGGCATGGGGTAAGGGAGATCAAACTCAGACCGGCTACAAGCAAGGCAAGTGTCCTAGCCGCTATACTATCTCTCTAGCCCCAAAGAACGATTATTTTTTAATATGGCCAAACATATTCAACTACTTTGGAAAATATTCCTAGCTTTCTCTGCACTGAAGCCATCTGTCATACTCTGAGCACTCAACAGGATGCACTCCAGGCAGTGGCCAGGGGTGGGCGTTAGGGCTCTTCTGCGCAGATCCCAGCTGACCCACCCTTTGGATGCAGGCTTCACTTTCCGTGGTGTTGTACAGATGGCAAATTTTTGTAAAAACAAAATTAGGGTTTACTTTCAATAGCAAAATCTAATTACAACTGTTCATATAAGATAGGGCATAAAAAACGAATTGTTCCTGGTGTTCATAAATTAGATTTTTAAAAAACAGCAACAAAAATGTTTGCTACAGTCAAGAAAAAAATGTAATGCAATTTGTATTTTATCTAAAAATTTTGCTAAACCATGCAAGACTTTGTAATTGGCATGTTATTATAATGTAATTTATTTAAGGGGAGGAAACTACACATGAAATTGATTACAAACCAGTTTTCTGGATTGGGGAGATGGTTCCAAGAGCTAGAGTGCCCTTTGTATGTGGAATCCTAGGGTTCAATCCCCAGGCGCTGCACAGAGCCCTGAGCATAGTTGGCTGTGGCACAAATAGCGAAGCAAAACAACACAAAAATCAAAGGTAAAGGTAAAGGTAAAGGCCCTCCCGTTGTTCATCGATTTGCTCGAGCAGGCCCAGTAATGTCTCCATTGGAGACTTTGTTGTTACTGTGTCTGGCATATCGAATACGTCACGGGGAGCTTGCCAGGCCCTGCCTTGCGGGCGAGATATTCTCGGTAGCTTGCCGGGCTCTCCGAGAGGGGCGGAGGAATCGAACTCGGGTCGGCCATGTTGGCTGCGTGCAAGGCAAACGCCCTACCGCTGTGCTATCGCTCCAGCCCACAAAAATCAAAAAGCAAAAAAAAAAAAAAAACCATGACAACTTTCTATTCTTAGAAGAAAAAAAGGTAACATAAACATGGGATTCTAACTTGTAATGAGCCCATGTTTCTGGCTAATCTGAGAGAGAAGGAAGCCAGAAAATTCTCAGGTCCTTTGTGGGCCTCATAAAATCGAGTTTTGAGTGCTTGGAGACAGAATATCTCCTGGTGGCTGGAGGTCCAGCCACAGGAGAGGACCAGCAATGAGCAGTCAGAGTTTTAGGAGTTCAGGCAGATCCCAGCAGGTCTGCAAACTAGCCTAGTTTGGGGAACGTCTAGGCATCTTGAAAACCAGAGAACCTTAAGGAAGTTAAACAGTGAGTTAGCTAAGTATTCAAGGAGAACAAGAGATGTACCTTCCAATAGATGATTAACTTCTTTCCATCAGCACTCCACTCTCTCCACGTATCTGGTCCCTTTGAAGGAACTAGGAAAGAGATTTGAAAGTTAGGACTGAAGATGCACATGACTCATCTGTAGACAGTGGTCCCTGAACTCTTCATTTCCAGGTATCTGGGATTTTCAATAAAAATGTGAAGCTTCCACTTGGGAAAACAGAGAGATGCTCTCTGAGCGGTGGACGGGTACTCGGCCTACCCTTAAAGTCCACTAGGGATGCTCGGCCAGCAACCCCCAGGCCCTCCAGCTGCAGGGACCTTCTCTCCCTCTGCCCAGCACTCCCCTCCCTGCAATCAACCCCTGGCTCCCCTCCTCAGGCCTCTGTTTCTTGATTAGATGTCACTTTCCAGTGACCAGCCACCCTATTTAAAATGGAAACCCTCCTCCCAACCCAGGGCCACGTCTTAGTTCCCAAGTCTTGCTTTTGTTCTGTGAAACTCGTACTAGTATCAAGTAGAGTTTTTTTTTTTCTCCTTCTTTTTGGTCTTTAGGCTATACCGGGAGTGCTCAGGGCTTACTCCTGGCTCTGTGCTCAGGAGGGGTCACTCCTTGGGTGGGGTGGGGTGGGGTCTCTGGGGACCACAATGTGGTGCCAGAGATCAAACCTGGGTCGACGCATGCAAAGCAAATGCCCCATTGCTGAACCAACTCTTCAGCCAATAAAAGTTTCACTTTTAATCCTATTAATCTCCACGGCATAAACTGCAGCTTTAGTCACTGTATGCTCCTGGTAACTAGAACTATTTCTTATTACACAGTAAGCACTTAGTATTTAGGTAAATTAACACCTTTCTTTGAATAAGGTGTAAATAAAACATTTCTTCCCAGCCACAAAAGCTTATCTGAAGGCAAGAAACCATCGAGGATGCCCAGGTCTCCTGATAATATGCGTGTGTTTGTACCCCATCCCCCAATCAATCACAGGCCCACTTTAGGCCAGTGAGACCAAAAAGGTGAAAGAGAAAAATAACTGGGTCAACATCTATGATTTTTTGTTGTACTATTGGCTAATTTTTGCAAAAAAAATTATATTCATTAAATGATAGAATATTTTACTATTTTTTGCTGAATGAGTCCTAAAACTTGCGCCTATCCTATCCTACTCTTTGTGATGTCTCTCTCTGTGTCTCTCTATGTGTCTCTGTCTCTCTCTTTCTGTCTCACTCTAGGAACCCACACTGTGGGGCAGTCACAAGTCAGATACTTTACCCCCCCCCCCCATGGTTTTGGGCCACATCCTGCAGTGCTCAGGGCTTTGTCCTGGCTCTGTGCTCAAGGATCACTCCCCAATAGGCTTGGGGATCTAGAGCAGATGCTGGGGACTGAACCCTGCCTGACTGGCCACATGTGAGGCAAGTGGCCTACCTGCTGCACCATCGCTCCAGCCACAGGATTCAGATACTCTCCCTGGGGAGCCCTAACAGCAGAGCCGTCAGGATCACCTCAGCACATGCAGGCAGCACTTGGATTAAGACTCTCTACCTTTTAGTCATCCTCCAGGTCCTTTTTGCTCGGGACCAAAAAGGGACTTTCCTGAAAAGGGTGCATGAGGGGTTTGACCAGTGACCTGGTACTAACCAGGCAAGTGCAGTACCCTCTGAGTGCCCATCCTTCCCAGCTCAATGCCTCCATTCTTTCATTTCACTTTGACTCTTGAGTCATAACTGGCCTTCGGAAATTATCATCATTAGAAAACTAGCACCTGTTTTTGTATCGACTTTGACTCAAGCTTAACTTCAGAAAGTAAAATTATGTGTATTTCTGAAGGTTGGACTGCAGATAAGAGCTCCCAACAAATTCTCGACATTAGTAACTGTTTTCAATGAAAGGCAATCTAAGTAGATTACTAAAATTTCTAGAAAAGGAAGTCTAAGAAAAATCATAACTTGCATGAAAACCAGTTTGATTTCCTGGGCATAATTTCAGAGTTGCTGAAGTCATGCCATAGTTGGCACGCCTAGTCTTTTGATGAGCACATGCCAAAGTCTTTTCCATATTATCACAAAACTTTAAACACCATCATTTAAAATTCCTCTTTGGGGCTTGAGAGACATTCAAGACCCAAAGGCATAAAAACTAAAAAGCTTCCTTTCCTTGCATGAAAGGGAAAAAAGTCTATCTTTTCTATCTTTAATGCATTTCCTAGCATCTGGGTTTGATCCCTGGCACCGCATGTGGTGCCCCAAGTACCAGAAGGAGTCACTCCTGAGCCCAGAATTAAGAGAAAGTGCAAAGCGCCCTACGTTTGGGCCCAAACTCCACCATCCACAATAACAATATATAAAATGACATGCCTACAATAATATACTTCTCACAGAGGTTATCATTTACGTAGTATAAGCATTCTCCTTTGTCACTTTGGTAACATTTTCTTTTTTCAGAACAGCATTAAATTCCAGGATCCACAATAATAACTGGACATAAATTAGTAAACTCACTGGCTTCTGTGGTTAAATAGTGCATTTCATTACTCCATCTGCTCCATTTCCAAAAAGGTTCAGTAAAACAACGAATCCGGAAAGCATACATGGTATATGGGTTTAACTTGTCCACAGCAATGAGGTAATTTGAATTGTCTACTCCCTTGATTGTGACATTCCGCTGTTAGAAACAAAATATATATACATATGTATATATAAGGTGTATGAATACAGATCCACATCCACAGACATTTCTGGATAGGAGAGTCTTCCAGTCCATTTGTAATACAAATGGGCTAAATTTCTATGACTCTGCTTCTTTACAACCCAAAATAGTTTCTTGGTTTTTAATATTTTTCCATAAATGCAAAATCAGTGAAATTACAGTCATATAATAACGCATACAATTTTTAAATAATAAATCATGCAGAGGTGATCTAATTTTGATAATCAGCCAATAGCTAATGGTTAAGCAGTAAACCTTAGCATCAATTAGCAATCTGAGATGAGCTGTAGATAACATGCATTACTCTTATGACATCTAGAAGCTTTCTGGAGGTAGATGTTGCCTTGCGCTTGTTTCACTCATTTGCTTGTTATCTTATGCCAAATACCAGTAACAATGATGGGTCTCATTCTCCTAAAGAGCCTTGAATATAATCTCAGGGCTAGGATGAAGGAGACGTTACTGGGGCCTGCTCGAGGCAATCGACGAATAACAGGATGATTTGTGATTTGTGATTTGCTTGTTATCTTAGGGATCTCCCCATTGGGTGCTTGGGCAATGTAGACCATTAGGGCCATATCCAGCAGAACTGGGGGAGGGAATCTGCAGTTCTGGGAAGGCACTTGGGGCCAGGCCTCTATGTGCAAGGGCACAGCTCCACAACAGAACCCTCATCAAACTGCCAAGCCACCAATTTCTTTCAGATCTGTAGCTCCTAGACTTTGCAGCCGGAACTTCAAATTGTCATAGTACTATTAGCCCCATAGAATCACAGCAAACCTGACAGGGGGTGGGGAGGAAGCTGCATAGAAGCCCACCAATCTCCAGGAGCCTAAACAATAACACTGAAGACTCAACTAGCACTAACCAGCACAACAGATTTTCAGACAATGACTTCTGTGACACCACTGTGAGATAAAACAATCTTCACAGACTGATTCTTATTGATCTAAGTTTTAATAATTCATTCCATTTGCCTTTGTGTTGCAACAAACAATATGAGTAAAGTTTATCATGCCTCCAAGGAGGCTTGCTGGCATGGTAGATAGGAAACTGGAAACATTGGTTGAGAGACGGTCACAAAGGTAGTGGATTGGTGTTGGAACATTTAATGCCTGAAACAACTATATTATGAACAACTTGGTAAACAGCAGTGTTGTAATAATTTTTTTTAACTAAGTTGAAATGAAGGTAAAGATAAAGGTAAAGGCCCTCCCGTTGATTGTCGATTTGCTCGAGCGGGCCCAGTAATGTCTCCATTGGAGACTTTGTTGTTACTGTGTCTGGCATATCGAATACTCTCGGTAGCTTGCCGGGCTCTCCGAGAGGGGAGGAGGAATCGAACTCGGGTCGGCCATGTTGGCCGCTTGTAAGGCGAACGCCCTACCCGCTGTGCTAAATGATTCGCATGCCTCAAAAATTAGCCTGAGAGGTCAGGGAGATAGCACAGGGGATAAGGCACATGCCTTGAACAATGCTGACCCTGGTTCAATCCCCAGCACTGCATGATCTCCAGAGAATAAATGAGGGTACCTTAACACCACCAAGTGGGCTGGGTAATCCCTGGCACCACAGGGCCCGAGTAGTCGTGTATTCTCAAGCCTCTACATGGAACACCGAATACTTGCCTGATTGGCTGAGAATCACCTGAGGTGTCCCCTGGGTGCCACCAACCACCCCTTGGGAGACCCTCCTCCTCGCATTTAGGAAAAAAAGAACACCTCTGAGCTTCTGATTTATTTTATTTTTTTGCTTTTTGAGTCACACCCGGTGATGCACAGGGTTTACTCCTGGCTCATGCACTGAGGAATTACTCCTGGCGGTGCTCGGGGGACCATATGGGATGCTGGGAATTGAACCTGGGTTGGCCGCGTGCAAGGCAGATGCCCTACCCACTGTGCTACTGCTCCAGCCCCTGAGCTTCTGATTTGTTAATACAAATACAAAGTGGATCACATTTTCCATATGACTAATATTCTAGAAAGCAACAGTAAATTTCCAAATGGATGCTTAAAGTATCATTTATTTTGAATGTACTACACTTGTATAAGATGGTACAGTATAAAAGCCAATCTAATTATTTAAAATGCATTAAAAAATCATGTTCTGACTCATAATGACCAATTATTACTTGCTCCTGCTGTTGCTTAGCAGTTTTATAAATCCCATCATTTCTCTGGTGCCGGTTAGTCCATTAACTGGTGCTGAAGGTTACAGCCCAAACTATTCATTCATACACAAATGTATGGAGTGCCAGCTACCTGTCAGGTACTATAGCAGACCTGGAAACATTCTGAGTATAAAAGCTAAGCTTATGTTCCATAATATCAGGCATTATACTTGTGTTCAAGTATCAAATATGATGCTGTTACTGGACTGATATACAATGTCCTGATTCTTAGTAAAACTATATAATAAACTAGGTGTTTCACATTTAAAAAAATTCACTCAATTATTCATATAAAAGCATTTAATACAAAATATATCAAATATATATATGTAAGAGCCTTACCAATTCTTGTACTGAATTCATTTTATTAATTTCAACTTGACATGAAAGTTTTATCTTTGCAAAGTTGCCTGGTAAATGCCAGGAAAGCACAACAGCTGTTGAATTAATATCCTTCACTTTGATTGAAGTCGGTGTGTGGGGATAAACTGCAAATAGAATTTTTAAAGATGAATGATCTTAAAAGCTACTTTCTAGGGGTCAGAATGAGTGCACTGCAGTTAAGGCCTGTGTGTGGATCCCTGGCACCTTGGGGTCCTAAGCACTGCCGTAGTAAGACTGAGCACAGAGCCAGGAATAGCCCCCACTACTCCAGGTACCACTAAGTGTGGCCCAGAAAACAAGACATCAAATAAATAATAAAAATAAGTTACTCTCTCATATGACCAGTGGAGAACCAAGGAAGGTATGTCGGTGTTATCAATAATAGTCTTTATCGAATTCACAAACCTGTTTTTATGATGATACCATAGCGTTTTTAAGAAAAATTTTAAGACCAAGTTAAAGGTTCTTCAATTAGTGTCAAATTTACTAAAAGACAGTAAGATCATAATCTTACTTCAGATATGACCAGTAAAATACAAAGGAAATGAAAAGAGTACAATATACTAAGTTCTAACTCTATGGCGGGCTGGAGCGAGAGCGCAGCGGTAGGGCGTTTGACTTGCATACAGCCAGCCCGGCCAAGCCGTTCGATTCCTCCTCCTCTCTCAGAGAGCCCAGCAAGCTACTGAGAGTATCTCGCCCGCACGGCAGAGCCTGGCAAGCTCCCCGTGATGTATTCAATATGCCAAACACAGTAGCAACAAGTCTCACGATGGAGACGTTACTGGGCCCACTTGAGCAAATCGATGAACAACGGGAGGACAGTGACAGTGACAACTCTATGGCACAAACTTAACTATGAAAGGAATTAAGTACAAGCATGATGAGGTTAAGTCTCATAGTGAAGATGGGAGACTAAGACTAAACTTGGCAAAGTGACTGTGGAAAAGCCTTTCAAGCTGGGATCAAGGCACTATGAAGCTAACTGACTATTGCACTAGTGATGGGAAAGAGTCATCAGCAAGGGAATGAACAAACTATTTGTTGCAACATACAATGCAGATGGATCTCAAGGGCTTTTTTTAAAAGCCAGAGATAAAATTTCTTTTAAAATCAATCTCTGGGGGCCAGAGCGATAGTACAGTGGGTGGGGCATTTGGCTTGCACACAGCTGACACAGGTTTGATCCCATCATTCCATACTGGACCCTGAGCACCACCAAGAGTAATTACTGAGTGCAAAACCTGGAGTAACAAAGAGAGGGATAGACATAGAAAGATTGCATTCATCTGGGGGGATATAAAGTAACAAAGTATGAGATTAATACCCAAGAATAGCTGAGATCAGCACCAGGAGGATTACTCCATAACTTAGAGGCCAGCCGGGTATCCTAGAGGAAAGGGCAGTTCAGATAGAGAAGGGAGCACCAAATAAAGGATGTTTGGAGGATCCTCCCAGGAGGGGAGATGCATGTCGAAAGTAGACTATGGACTGAACATGTTTGCCACTCAATGCCTCTTTTGCAGACCACAACACCCAAAAGGAGAGAGAGAACACAGGGAATTGCCCTGCCACAGAGACAGGGGGGATGGGGGGATGGGGGTGGGGGGATATTATCCATGGTGGTGGAAAATGGGCACTGGTGGAGGGATGGGTATCTGATCATTGTATAATCGAAACCCAAGCACAAAAAATTGTAAATCTACAGCTGTAAAAAAAAATAAAATAAAGGGAAAAAAAAAGTAAAAAAAAAAAAAAACCTGGAGTAACTCTTGAGAACCACTGGGTGTGACTCCAAGAAAAACAAACAAAATAAATATCTAAAGGTTATATATGTCCACACATCCTATCTACTCTGTATGATTCCTTTCTCAGGATTGCCAAACAATGGTCACAAGATTGCCAAACGACATTCTCAAGATGACCAAACAACAGACATGAAGCAAATATCGAAGCCGACTGGGTGGGAATGTGACAACCTGGAGGGGGGTGGTACCAGGAGTCCTAAGGAGCTCCTTTGTGGTGGCAATGCTTTCCTGCCTCTGCCTGGGCTAGGCTCAGCTGCCTGTTTGAATGAGACTCCACAGGTACAGGTAAGGTACTACCATTGGGGAACCTCAGGTGAAGGAAGGAGTCACAAAGGCTCTAACCATCAACATAGTATTTTTAAAAATTTGCAAAAGTTTTCAAAAATCGAAAATTGTTAGTTATATAGAGTTTCTACCTAAATAACTAATTAAAATTTTATTTTCATTAAATAAAATGGTCAAATCAGAAGTTAAAATTTTTAAAGGTTCTAAAATAAACTCACAAAATTCACACTTTGTAACTATTAAGAAATTAGAGAAATATAATCCCGAGAAGTACTTTTCACTAGTCTCCAGACCCTCCACTACTTTTAAAGTTATTTTTAAGATACTGATTTTATTGCAGTGGCTTCTTACCTTTTTCAGTCACATTAATTAAAATTGTAGATTCTGATCGACCCAGAGGATTTTGAGCATTCAGAGTAAAATTATATATTTCTTGATCTGGAAGCACTTGAAAGAATAACTGATAGGTTTCATTTATGGGCATTTCATTTCTTTTGAAGACAACATATTTCCCTGAAAAGCTGTAAATTAGAAGAGCAATAAAAAATATCAAAGGAATCTGAGAATGGCAAGAAATGAATGGGTAAATCTCTAATAAACTTTTTAAAAAGTCTGTACTTCTAAGGTTTATACTTCTAAATTATGGACTACTGCATACAGGTTAGAAAATGTATATGAGATAAAAAGTAGAAGAAAATAATCAGTCACAAGCTCATCACTCAAATAGTCTCTGTTCATATTTAAGGTTCCTTCTCAGGAATTCTTTCTTTTTCAAAGGAGACAAGAAATCAAGACTTTCTAACGCATTTAGAATTATAATAGAGAATCAGAGAGATGGTACAAGTAGGTAGTGTGCATTCTCTGCACCAGCTGAACCCAGCTTCCATCCTTGACACAAAGGTCTGAGCCCTATCAGGAGTAATCTTGAAGCACAGAGCCAGGAATAAGTCCTGGGCACCACCAGGTGTGGCCCCAAGACCCAAAAAAATAAATAAAATTGTAATATAACCAAATTTGAATATTCCTGTACAATATATCTCGTTCAGACAATAAGAGCAATAGTGCCTTTCTTCCCCACATCATCTGACATCCATCCACGGTACACCACTGAGTGGGCATTTCTGGGGACCTTTACCTTTCCAATAAAGTGTAATTTGTATCACGTGGGCCCACCAATGATGTTGGTCTTCCTGGATTCCAAGTACATATAATCTGTTTTAAATCATATGTTTCACAATTCAGTTTCTGAGGAATATCAGGTGGATCTAATAGGAAAATAAAATTAAAAAACAAACATAGTTACTTATGGTTACATGTTTATTCTCTAAAAACATGATACTTCATAAATATTCATATATTTTCTATACTGTCCTTTGAAACTGGGGAAACTTGGGACATTAATGGCGGGAAATGTACACTGGTGAAGTATTGGAGCAACCTATGACTGAAACCCAATCATAAACAACTTCGTCACTTGTATCTGACAGTGATTCAATTAAAAAAACTGTGACGCTAATCCAACTCCCGGCAGATTTTTCTAAGTATGAATATGTGTGTGTGTGTGTGTGTGTGTGTGTGTGTGTGTGTGCGCGCGCGCGTGCGTGTGTGAGAAACAGGGTGATTTTAAATTTCTTTCCGGACTTTTCAAGGAAAGGTCAGGAGAGAGAATAAATGAATCTTAGCCTCATACCAAAACCTTCCCTGACTCCCAAGTTCCTAGCAAGCTCCCCTGAAGGAAAATACTCCTGCCCCTGTGGGTCCTACTGAACAAGAAGATTACAGCCCCAATGTTACATATGACAGGCAAATACGAATCAGAGTTGGCCTAGGGAGTGCTGGAGAGAATGAAAATAATAAACACGTTGTATCTTCATCTTTTGTTTTCTTTATACTTCTAAGTAGGTAACTTACTTTGTGGTCATTACAAACAACTTTACTGCACTTATTGCTGGTTCTCAACTAGTCTGCATGAACATTTAGGAGGAAAGCTCCAAGTTAGGCCCTAAAATTCCAAGAGGCAAGAAAATACATATTTCTTGGATTTTTGATAGTCAAGGTTTTTTTTTTAATGTAACCTTGCTGTCACTTGAATTATGAAATGCATTACTGGGAAGTCAAATAAGGAGACTAAGTTATTGCCACCAAGCTGAGAAGTGCATCTAATCCTGGTTATACTCTGGGGAGAATATCACTAGCTGGATATAATTCGTCCTGAATTTCTATAGAAGTGAACAAAAATTACTTGAGAGCTGTTATCCCAGAATACAAGTGAGAATAAAAACACCTGAAGCAATCAGAAAGCACAAAATCTACTTCGCAATAACTTTTTTCATGATGTGCTTAGTTTTAGCTCTGAGACTTTTAGCTAAATACTCAGGGAGGCAAAGGCACCAAGGCACTAACACATCATAGTGTCCTGGGCAAGAGAGCAAAAACAATAATATGAGGTTATCTGTGGACAACTGGCATAACCATGAATCTACAGATACAGCACATACGCACTTCAATTACTTGTGGAAATAGTATAAAACTTCTAAAACCGAGGAGATCAAAGATGCATTACAGGGCACAGTGAGTGAGAATCCCCTCACCCATTTCCAGTTACCCTCTTACTCTTCAAATATATTATCTTAAATGTCAGAAAGAATAAATGTGCTACTAAAAGGTTTTGTGTTGAATTATTAAATACTCTTTAATTCAGGAACTTAGAGAAGGCATATTGGGGACATTATTTCATAGGAAATAACTCCTAAAACAATGAATAATTAAAAATATCATATCGCTAAATTCCCTAATCAGTAGCCAAATTTTCAAATCTTATAAAAACCTATAAATTATATAGATACAGGTAAGTAAAGAACAAGTTTAGAACTAATCTTAAACAAGCAAAAAATCTGGTGCCTCCATATATTGCATTTATTGAAGAATAAGAAAATAGGAAAGAAACAAAACAACCAATACCTACCTCCAACACAAAAATGTATTACAGCTTTCAAAGAGGATGAAAAAAAGAACAGAAACTCTTTTCTTAATAGTATATACTTACATCCAACAAAAATAACTGTCCCAAAAATGTCATTTTTTGTCTCAAAAATCACATTTGTTCCACTACTTTGAGAAGCAGACACGTTCCGGATCTTGATTGCAACATTTTCCCCATCAAGATGGATCAGAGGACAGGAAGTTAGGCCAATCTGGGCAGATATCACTTTTTCTTGGGTAATACAACAAATTGTGATATCTGACCCTACAAGTAGTATACTGTCTAGTGGAACAACCTGATTAGTGTGAGAAACAGGAGACCCTGGGGAAAGAAAAAGTAATTTAGTAGATGCTTAAAAGGTTCAAACTCCTGACATCCCATATGGTCCCCCGAGTACCATCAGGAGTGATTCCTGAGTACAGGGCCAGGAGGATGAGTATGGCCAGGTATGACCCAAAAAGCAAAACACCAACAACTATCTTGCTGCACCATTTACTTCCTCTGTGAAGAAAAAAAGATAAACTCAGGACGCCTGTGCTGACGTTAGAATGGACTTTCCTTTCCCACAAGGTTTCCATGGTTCCCCAAGTGATCAGGGGGCAGGGACCATCTTTTGAGAAGTGGGCTTGGGGTGCAGCTTGACAACTGCCTCAAGGGGTTGGCGGGACATGAGCATTGGTGACGAGTAGGGGCTTGTAGCTCACTTTGCCCAGTCCTAACCCAAGGCAGAGAGGTGGAAGGACTCTTCACTAAGTCTATCTCCCTTGCTCCCACTCTGCTGAGTCACCGGCCACAGAAATACATAAGAATGTTTATAAAACAAATGCAAAGGAAAAGGACAGTGATTGCTACTCCTATTAAAAACCTAAATTAAAAAATGATGAATAAAAATAATAAAAAATAAAAGTGTACATTCCTTTGGTGGAAGATGGAGGGGAAAGAGGCAGACTAGACATCACCTACGGACATTGGTAGAGGGACTAGATGTCACCTAAGGGCACTGGTGGAGGGACCAGAAATCACATAAAGACACTGGTGGAGGGATCAGAAGTCACATAAGGACACTGATGGAGGGCTTTGGGCACTGTGTAAGGTGTAGCAACTGTGTACATCAAACCCATGAACGTTAACATTGTGACCACGTTATCTAAACTAGAATAACAATTTTTAAAATTTTAATAAAAAAGTCTCCTGCCCCCGCGACTGGCTGCCCTCGCCAGAGCCCCTTGGAGGGGAGCGGGTCGAGCTTTCCTCCCCGCCCCGACCAGGGCTCTGGCAGCCGAAGACCTCCAGGACCAGCCACCACCATGCTGAGATCACTCTCCGCACACATGAAGGTACTGGCAGAGGGACAACGTCACGCGGGTTCCGGGGCCAAGATCTCCAAGCCTACTTGGATTGGGGCCGGGCATCCTCCACCCAGATCCTCCAAACTCCAGTAGGCGGAGGTCACACCCACCAACTGGCCCCCTGGAGCCGTGTAATCCCATCAACGGCCAAGACCCAGAGACTATAAAAACCAGCTCCCAGACATCTTATTATGACATCTTATTATCTCATTCCTACTTTGGACAAACTGGCAGGCTACCGAATATAGCCTGCCCACACGGCAGAGTCTGGCAAACTCCCCGTGGTGTACCCAATATGCCAAATACCAGTAACAATGATGGGTCTCATTCTCCTAAAGAGCCTTGAATATAATCTCAGGGCTAGAATGAAAGAGACGTTACTGGGGCCTGCTCGAGGCAATCAACGAATAACAGGATGATTTGTGATTGTGAATAAAAAAAATTCAGATTCCTAAGGCCTGTCTCAGACCTAATGAATCAAAATCTTCTGGGACGGTTGCAAACTGTCAAGCAAGATCTCTAGGTCACCCTCACATATCCAAATGGGCTTCATAAAACTTAAAGCTTAAAAAAAATAAAGTCAGGGGGCCGGAGTGATAGCACAGCGGTTAGGGCATTTGCCTTGCACACGGCCAACCTGGGTTCGATCCCCATCATCCCATATGGTCCCCTGAGCACCGCCAGGAGTAATTCCTGAGCGCAGAGCCAGGAGTAACCCCTGAGCATTGCTAGGTGTGACCCAAAAAACAAGAAAGAAAGAAAGAAAGAAAGAAAGAAAGAAAGAAAGAAAGAAAGAAAGAAAGAAAGTCATTGACACAAGGATTATCTAATTCACTTGAAAGAAGAATGTTTTGACTCAAACTTACCAGAAATGCTCTTCAAAGGGCTCCAGGCACTCCACTTTTTGTGACCAGAGAAATGAGGGTCATCGATGTAGCACCGAATTCCCACATAATGACTGGCGCACTCCAAGGGGATGTCTGAGGTCCAGTTCCAGTAATGCACTGTTTCTGTCCCACCACTCAGAGTTGTATTGAAGGGTATCTAAGAAAACAAACACAAACACAAAATGGTATTTCCAAGGAGTAACTCAATTCTTCTTTCCTTTAGGATTAAAATACAATAGATACGAGAAGTAAAGGCAGAGCACATATTTTGTCTGCCTGATGCCCTGGGTTTGATGCCAGATAGGTGGTGGTGGGGCCCTTCTATACCCAGCATTACCTTTGCCTTACATGTGAGCACTGCTAATATAGTCTTTACATATCACTGCCACAAACAAAAATGTCTAAGAGTCTGCAGACATTCACCAGAAAAATGAAGTTTCGTCCCTTTGAAAAAGTATGTGAGTTTTCTAGAAAGCCAACAGAAGAGTAACACGCATGTCACTGACTGCTGTTTGACCCCCATCATCCCATAGCACCCCCAATCACCACCTGGAGAGATGTGAACACAGACCCAGAAGCAGGGCTTGAGCACAGCAACTTGTGGCACCAAACTCCCCAGACAAAACAAGAGTTTCCAGTATAATAGGTGGAAGATGAAACAAGAATAAATGTGACAATGCATTCAACATGTTGAGAAAATTTCCCAACCAAAATTTCAATGCCCAACTGAACTATGTACCATAGTGGAAAATAAAGGTACATTCAGAATCGTGTCTGTCTCAACGTCTACAATCAAGAACGTTTTACACTCCCACCAGCAAAGCATGCAAGTCCCAACTGGCCTGCATACTGTCAATAATTAGAAAAGTCTTTGAAATTTCATTAGAAACTCATCAAAAAATTTAAAAATAAAATAAAGTTGCAAGCCAACTATTATAGGCAGCCAAGTCTATCTACAATAAATAGTAAATTATTAAAATCCATGTTTCTGGGGCTGGGAGATAGTAGAGAGGTTAGGATTTGATTCTCAGCACCACATGGTCCCAGAGCATCACTAGGGGCAGCCCTAGAGGGCCCTGTCCTGGCATTAAACTGCCAGCTTGGATAGCCAAGAACTGCTGGTGACACCAGCAGGGCCCTCCTCCCCACAGAAATAAAACACATACTTCTACCAAAATAAGGAAGTAGGAGGAAGAAAAGGAATTCAGGAAAAGGGGATTTATCACCAGACAAAGGAGAAGGGGGTCCCTAGGATGAGAAGGACTCCTTGGACTACAGCCTCCTAAACACCTGTGAGTGTCTCAAATGGGTGATGGCTATATCAAGGGCACTCCCCTCAAGCCTAGGGGTGGCTGGAAGGAGCTGAGTGCTCCCGAGACACCTCTGACCATAAGAATCCCCAGGTGCAGGTCCAGAGCAAGAGGACGGCAGGCGGGGCACTTGCTCTGCACATGGCCGACCTGGGTTCAGTATGAAGCCCTGCCTAGGATCCCTCCACACAGCTAGGAGTGATCCCTAAGCTCAGAGCCAGGACAGTGCCAGGAGTGGCCCCCAAACCCCACACCCACCATCACCAGAGAATCCCCGGCTGCTGTTCATACTCTGCACTCACGGACATCGTCAGTAACTTCGACAGCCCTTACAGAAAGGGGGCTGGAAATCCAGGAGCCCTCAGAGAGACCCAGACAAAGATAAAATGGGTAAAATAGTGATTCTCTTTAAACATTTCAACAACTGGGGAGAACTTAGGATCCAACCAAGAAGACAACTGTGAAAAGGCAAGAGAATTTAAGCTGCACGACAAGATGGAAAAGTAAGAAAAGCATATACAAACACTTTGTGGTTCCACTGTGGGTAGTGTTTATGGTCCTAAACTAAACAACAAATACTGATTTACCAAAAAATTTAACACATCAGTTTATGTATTGGTGTGTTACAAATATAACTCACACAGAGAGAGAGAGAGAGAGAGAGAGAGAGAGAGAGAGAGAGAAGAGGGGGGGAACAGAGAGACGGGAGAAGAAGAGGGAGGGAGGAGGAAAGGAGGGGGAGAGAGGAAGGTAGGTAGGAAGGAAGGAAGGAAGGAAGGAAGGAAGGAAGGAAGGAAGGAAGGAAGGAAGGAAGGAAAAGGAAAGGCAAGGCAAAGGGTGAAAAGAATGGGAAACATAAGCTAAGCTAACTCTTTGGACAAATGGAGATAGATAATGAAAACAGCAGCCACGAGACTCCCGGGTACTGTCCATCCGCTCTGTTCTGTGCTGTCTACAGTCTCAACCACTTAGCCTGAGGCTCTAGATGTAAAGCATCGATCCTACGTGGTGAATGCTAGGACTGAGGCTGACCAGAGCATTCACTTATAGGTCTGCCCACTTAGTCACAGTGTCTACTCAAAGCTCAAGGATGAGCTGGGGAAATAGGGAGGAGGCATTAAGCTCCATCTCTCAGAGAAGATGTACATGAATTACTTGTAAGGGACGTTCCTCTCTTATCTTCCATTTTCAGCTTAACTCACATGGACCAGTATATTGCTATCTTAAAATTTTCCTGTTTCCTGCCACAGTCTTAGATTACTTTTTTCTGGTAAAAATAGCTCCCTAGCTCCTTTTCCTTCTGAGAAGCAAATTAGAAATCAAAAGAAATAACCTATATTATAACATCTGCTTCTGTCTTTGGAAGATCCCCCCCGCCCCCGCCACGATGGGATAAAATGTCCTGCTAAGGGAAAAATAATCATTTTTTCCTACTGCTAAGTGCTTTTTATTTTAAATCTGATGCTAAACTGATATCAAACATTCGATTAGTCTTAGACACACGAGATAATGACTTAATATCTGTATGCGCTATAAAGAATGCAACAATAAGCCAACAATTACAATGGTTAAATATTTTTCAAGACATTTTTATGTTTGTAATGTTGGACAAAGAGAAAATAGAGAAAGTTATATATAAAAGTGTATTTATATACACTTTTATTTTTGTATGTAAATGCATTTATTTACATACACAAAGATACTCTTTACTGAGTGGCCCAATGCTAGACCAGTCCTCCTTTAAATTTCCAAAACTTTCTATAATGGTTACACATAATTTTAATACTATGATTTCTGAGTCAGTGCATAGCTTTTTAATGAATTCTTAAAGGATATCTGCTTTGCTTCTTTACTACTACAAAGTTTCACTGGTGTCACCTGAAAAATCTTTTTTAGAAGTATTCTGTTTTCTGGGCTGGGAAAATAGTAGAGGTGTTAAGGCAAGGGCCTTGCAGGGCTACTTAGGCCAGCCCTGGCTCAATCCACAGCACGGCATCTGACCCCCTAAGCACTGTTTCGACTGATTCCTGGGCATGGAGCCAGAGTGAGCCCTGAACACAGTGGGTATGGTACAAATACCCCTCCCAAAACATATTCCATTTATTTAATGCTATAGGGGGACAAATCTACTTTTGTTGAAACTTACCAAGTTTACAAATTCCTTATTCTCTTTACGCAGAATTTTAATCTCCCAGGTCACATTTGAGTAATGTGGAAAAGCAGAACCCTTATCACTCCACTTCAGACGTAATGTTGAAGTTGACAAGTCAGCAGATAAATTCAAGATCTCTGGAGTCTCTGGAATCAAGGCTTAAAGGAGAGATTTATCCTTATTAAAATCATAGTATCTTTCATAATTAAATTCCATTTATCAACTAATTTTAAACTATCAATACTGACAAAATAATTGAGTTAAAAGTAAACTCTGGAATCTAGTACTTAAAAGAGTGTTTGTGTGTGTGTGTGTGCCTTCCATCAGCTAAATCTGAGAAAATGATTTATCATCCGGTGGTTTCAAATCCATAATATTTTCTGATACAAACGGTAACTAGGTTCCTGAAATACTCTAGCATCACTTGGTCTGAGACCTACACTATGAGAGAAGGAGAGAAGTCAAAACTTCCTCTTTTAGAAAACAACGGACCACGGGAAGCTTGCTGCTTGCTCCACAGCCTTCTCTATCACTTCTCAGCCTAAGTGGCCTTTGAGCTGAACAAAATCACCCACGTGAGAGATATTGTGCGCTACACCAGCAATAGCCATCAGAAAATAGAATATATTGAGTGGAGGAAAGCAATGGGTTTCTGAGTAGATCCAAGATGTACTGAGCAGATAAAACTCAGTTCTTCTGCAAGGCACATCAAGAAGCAATGTGCAATACAAGGTGATGAGGTCTGCAGTGCTGGAGAAAGCCTGGCCAGAATAATGAGGACTGGGCTGAAGTGATACAACAGGCAAATAGAACACCTTCCTTAGAGGGCAGCCCAGGTTCAATCTCTGGCATCCTATATGGTTCAATCCCTGGAATCCTATATGTTCCTCCATCCTATATGAGCACCAACAGAGTGATCACTGAGTGCAGAGTTAGGAGCAGTCTCTGAGCACTACCAGATGTGTCCCCACCACACACATATACACACACACACACACACACACAAAAGCCACAACAGAACAGTGAGGATCATTGTTATTTTTTTTGAGCTTAGAAAAATGTATGTTCTTTATTTTGTTTTAATTGAATCACTGTGGATTACAAGGTTACAAAGTTCTTTATAATTAAATTTAAGGCATACATTGTTCTGACACCAATCCCTTCACCAGTACCCATGACCCTCCACCCATGTCCCATGTCCCCAGTTTCCCCCCAGCCCCCAAGCCTCCCTCGATGGTGGATCATGATGTTCTAAATGGAAAGGAATGAAAAAAATCTGATGGGGAAATCGCTGAATGAAAGAAATGAAGGACTAGAATAATTAAAAAAGAGATATGCAGGATTTTGTTCTCAGCCCAGAGAGAGGCAAGCAGGACAAAAGGAATGAGAACATGGTCAGCGGAGGTGGGAGTGCTGGCCTGGGATGACTAAATGTCCAGCAAGGAGAGACCCTAAGTGGAAGGTCTGTGGCCAGGTGAGTGAGGACTGAGCAGGGTGAGTCAGAAATGGACCTGGAGAAACCAACAGTGAACCAAGAAGGCTATGACAGATGAAACCAGCAAGAATCCCAGGGAAGAACAACACAGAAGCAGAAATCCAAAGAAAACCTAGAAACAATGGAACCAAAAGCAAGGGGTTGGCATTTAGACTAGAAAAACAAAATAAAACATACAATGTCCCAGGGGCCTGGCGCAAAGATCACTGACATTAGCTGATGATACTCTCCATGTTGGAGACATAGACCAGGGAGAAGAGTGACTCAAAATCTGTATTACAAAGTGAAAAGAAAAAAGAAAAAAAACATGTTCAAGGATGGGTTTCTCACAGGAATAAATGGGTAAACCAAAGGGGGGAAAAGGCAGGCAAAACAAAGAATCTTCAAGTTTCCCTATCTAAAAAAGGGAAGGTAAATTAAGGAGAATTTTTGGATCGCTGGGAAATTTACAGGAAATGAACCTGTTCTAATCTAGGAAATGCTGGCTTTCTGGTATGAGGGGCAGAGAAACTTGGGTGCTCTTTCTGGCACATTCTTTCTTCAATAACAACTAGGTGAAATTAGACTGAAAGAAATCCGCAGACAGAGGTTCTCTGGCTTTAGATCACCCCCTGTGCTTCCACACAAAGCTCAAGAACCAATTAAAGTCAGGACAAGCATAAACTACAGTCTCAGAGGCCGGGCACCTACATGCACTAAATAAAACAAATCGGCAGGACAAATCCACGTAACCATGTTGGTCTTGGATCTTAAATACATACCCTGAAATTTAGAAATCTTCCTCTATCTTGGACTCATGGACAAAGTCTAGGACTGTAAAAGAATGGATGCAGCCTCTCTACTAGGAAACAAAGTCTGCAGTAAGCTGGCTCTCTAGGGTGGGTGAAAGGATACTTTATAGAACAAGGTTTAAGTGAGATGCTGCTGTAGGCAAAGCAAGCAAGCAAGGCAAAATGAGAGCGCCAGGCGAGGGAGGGTTCAAGGAGCCTGTGTGGAGCAGAGTTTCCAAGAATGTGGCTCTTGTTTCAAACGTTTCAACATGCTGAGCTCTAGTGACTTAGCAATTACGTACAGGGGACTATTTCACTGAGCAACACTCATCTATTAAAATACCCCCCGACGAAAAGTCCACACAATTTATATTTCATTTAAATAGCTGTGGGCTACTCTTTGAAACACAAGTCACATCCAGTATTCCAAGATAAAGACAGTGATAGCTAGAATTACAAATGAAAGAATTATGGACACACATGGACACACACAAACACTTTTAAACTTGCTTTTCTTCACAGCATGTATGGGAAGTTTCTCCAGCGTTCCTAGGAACCACTGACTGCATTTCTTTCCAGCTAAAATAGATTCTTGAGGACAATGTTAACTTGTTTTCTAGAAACCAGGAACTTCTCATCTAGGAAAGGCTCTTAATCAAAGCCTTGCTTATTTATTTCTTTAAAGCCATGAGAGCTCTACTTGTAACCTCCATGACCTTAGACCATCAGGATATGTGAGTTGTCCCAAGGCTTTTATGGGATCCACAATATTTATTCTACACCTCTGAACTACCATCATAATTTAGTAGTCACAGTAGTAGTATCTTAAGAGTGGGGGTAATATTACCCTAACAGTCAGATGACAAACATGCCATTATTATTACAAATATGTTCAGCAAACTGCACAATCTACAAAAACAATCAGACAAGACACCCAGAATATATCTCAGCTTGGTTTTCTGATTCATTCTCTCCACCACACTCATCTTCAAGAAGTTTCTCAAAGCTCCAAATGCCTTCTCAAACAAGCTGACAGCACAAACTGGCTCTCTTATGAAGCCCAGGGAAACTTTTGAAAAGTCTGGAATAAAATTAAAAGGGTTTTCAAATCTATACGCAAAGATAAGACAGAACAGGTCTGATAACAAAATCATAACCCAGAGGAAAATAGCAAGAAATTTGTACTATAAAAATGAAAACCCAGCATTGGGAAAAGTAGCACAGTTTAAATTTTTAACTCTGAAGACTATTTCAGCATATATAATAGCTAATATCCATAAGAACAGTACTGCATGATCCCTACGAACTCAAAATGTGAATAATATACAGTCTCACAAACATCTGGCATAGAATTACAAAAGGAAAATAACTAATACGGTTCCTCTCTCCTCAGTTTGAAAGATTACCCTAAATAAATACTTTGCACAGTGAGACTACAGTTACAACACAGACAGATTCTAAGTTCCTGGAGAGTATGCTTTGTTATCCTTTTGCAATCTGTACTAAACCAGATCCAAATCACTCCGAATACATCCATAAAATTAAACACATTACCAAGTGAATTTGATTTTCTTTCCCTTGCTTCAAAGTTAGTCATCCCTATCTGGCACATCATCAGATCATCATGGTGCCACCCTCCAAGAGGGGTCAAACAAACTTGTTAATCAGCCCACCATGAAAAACAGTGAGGACGCCTGAGAGTGTGTGTGGGTAAGGGGCTAGCCCTACATGCAGTCAACCCCAGCTGGATCCCTGGCACCACAGTATCACCCCCTAGGCACCACCGAAGTGGCCCCAGTCCCTCCATCATCCACTCCCTGCCTAAGCAGTTACTGAGGTTTCTGGAGCGTCTGGGGAGACAAGTGCCAAAAACCAAAGCTCTGCAGCAGTGCCCATCCCCACTACAGCTACCAAGGGCTCAACTTCACTGCCTCACAAACACTCTCTCTACAGAGACACCAAGCTCCCAATAAGTTCAGGGACTGTGCCCAGATTGAAAACACTTGTTTTTTTTTTTTGGGGGGGGGAGTCAGGGTCTATAGTGTTTCCCCCTCCCCTGCACCATCTGCATCTGCTACCTGGTCGACTCTTTGACCATAAATGTCTGGACCTCCTGACGCAACAAAATGCTGACAAAATTTGTAGACAAAGACTTACCAACCCTGCAATCTGATATAACAATGTTCACATAAATTTATTTTCTAGACCTACTGATATGAATGCTGCCACTCTGTTATCTGATCAACTCTCATCCTAGAATTGTATCAAAAGCTTCTGTTTTTTTTTCTACAGTAAATAAAAAAATTTAAAAAAGAGACTACTGAGGTTTTCAGGTCATGTGGTCTTAAAACATTTCTATCTTTGTCACACTAGGTTTAACTCTGTGCACTCATTTAGCCAGTAGGTCATATGCTAAGTCAGCAATGGTGTGAAAGACGCTGCTACAAGCAATGCACTGGCCTAGGTGTTCACTATAAAGTCTCTCCCCGGGTGGCGGAGCAGCACGGCAAGCATCTAATTACAAAGGGAATCGTTAATGCAATGTGAGAAATGCCACAAAGGGAAAATCAAGAGTGCCCAGCAGAATGTAAGAAAGGAATGGGGTCTTCTCTAGGAGGGGAGGGGCAAAGATTATTCCTAGAGTCAGAAGCACCTGAGAAACTCCAAACAGGATGTAGCACTCAACAAGGCAAAGGACAAAGAGAAAAGCAACCTATTGCAGGAAGACTCCTGGATTTTGTGATACTTAGTCTAATGGATTAGAAGAGCAGCTTGCTCTCTGCCAGACCCTGGTTATGCCCAACCCACACTATGATAAAGTGAAGCACGACTCTAACAAATAAAATTTAAAAGATGGGGCCAGAGTGGTAGTATAGCGGGTAGAGTGCTTGCCATGCACACAGCTGACCTGGGTCCACCAGGAGTGATTCCTGAGTGCAAAGGCAGGAGTAACCATTGAGCATCACTGGGTGTGGCCCCCAAACCAAACATAGTAAACAGCAACAAAGAAAGAGAAACCCATAAACGCAAGTCAAAAGAATGGGGAGGAAGGGGTCAAGGGCCTTGGGAACACAGGTGGTAGAGTGGTGATACAGCAATATATCCAAATCAGAGGCAACAACAACGAAAGCAGGAGATCCAAACCACAATAACCAATCTAAAATGTGCGTGTCAAGGAGGCAGGCTGGGGGTGGGGGGAGGCGTTGCATGGGAGGGAACTTGAGGGCACTGTGGAGGGAAGTTGCCATTGGTGATGAAACTGGCAGTGAAGCATAATATACCTAAAACTCCACTATAAATAACTTTGTAAAGAATGATGTTTAAAAAAATAATAAGATGTGACTCAAAAAATGATAAATTTTTAAACTAACAAAAAATAGTAAATTTCTGCCAACTGTAAAGCATCATAATAACATAGGTTTTATTCGCAGTTGCTTAAAAATCATCTTCTCAAATACTTACAAATGTCTTTTTCACTTAGTATGAATTTACTTATAGCATTTCCAAAATCAAATAAAGGTCTGATTGTTATTTCATGATCACCAGGTGACAGAGCTGGGATACTAGCATTTGCTTCCTCAACTTTATAGCAGTGGATCCTGCAATATAACAAATATATTTTAGTTAGCAGTTTAAGTGAATAGTACAACTTTCATTAAAAACACAGTAAGCACAAAATGTATTGGGAAAACTATGCTAAGCCCTTTTGTGCACAAACTCATGATGTTCTACTGAATTATTTTTAATTAAAACATGAGAAGTTTGTGGGTTCATTTACTATGCAGGGGCAGGAAAAAAAGAGCCAGACTGCACTAAAAGTCGAGTGTAAGCATCCATGAGCCCTTCAAGAAACATAGCATCCTGCATGCCTTTTCAGCTCCCACCGCTTCCCTACTGCAGCAGTCCCCCACTGCACAATCCCACCCAAATGCCCACCACTTTTCACCAGACTCTCACTCACCCCTCACTGAGATGGCCTCACCACACTGAAATGCTGTCAAAAATGAAACTGGCCTTTAGCTGAAGCAGGGAGAAACTTGGAGGGGATTGCCAAAAGAGCAGCCCTGGGCAGGTCTGAGTCCATGGCCCATGGTACAGACTCACCCTACACCTTCATTCACTAACCAAAGACCACGGTGGGGGGAAAATGGGCCAGAGTATGGGTTTGTTTCCATCCTGACTGATGCAGGACTAAGAACATTTGGAAACAGGGACCCAAGACATAAGACTTCATGTAAAAAAAGTTACTGAATAAAAATTCTATGTCCCATATCGCTTGGATTGGCCTCCTCCCAACTAGCAAAAGCTAGGTGTTTTTGTTTTTATTTTATTTTTTTCAAAAAAAGAAAATTTATGTTCTGTTTGATCTAATACAGGATCTGGATGTTCAGGTGGTAGCTGTCTGTTGATCACAGTTTTCCGATTACCTGTTATCGATGCATATTTCATAACGGGTACCACGGCCTTCTCTAGAGGGGGCTTTCCAAGAACAGTCCCACACTTGTAAATTTCGAGTCAGACACTTCAAATCACGAGGAGTTCCTGAAGAAGCAGAAACAACACACACACACACACACACACACACACACACACACACACAGCAGGCTTAATAGAACTGCACTGTAAAAGGTCAATGAGCCAAACTGCTTTCGGTCCTAGGTATAAGCCTGTGTGTTTGGGGAGGGCCCATGTTCTTAGCACACAGACGAACCTGCAGTGACTGAAGGAGACTGGCTGTGTATTTCTTTATGTAGCTTTGGTCAAAAAAAAAAAAAAAGCTCAAAAGTTAACTGATGAAACTAAGCACTCACTAGGCTCAGGAGTTATGTGCTGGACAGAAAGTCTAGTTTGAAAAGAGGGAGTGGCTCAATTTAATGATGGCCTCATGAGCAAGCCTGGTATTCTAAATTCCAACCGTCCCATTCTCTGTCTCTTTCTTTCTCTCTCTCTGTCTCTCTCTCTCCTTTCTGTCCCTCCTCTCCCTCCCTCTCCCTCCCTGATTCTCTCTCTTCCTCTCCCTCCCCACCTCTCTCCTTTCTCTCTTACCCCACCCCATTTTTCTCTTCCCCCCGCCCAGTCCCCCACTCCCTCACTCTAACAAATAACATGTGTCACTGAAGTACTCCTGCACCCCCAAACTCAACACTCCTAGCCAATGCCAGTTCCCTGCTTGCTACCTGGCTGCCCCCTACAGCTCTGACCCATTTTTAGGTGTCTTATGAAGCACATTACACACTCGAAGAAATGAATACTGTGTGGGCCTGAACACCCAAGTAACAATTTACTTAAAAGATCACATTCCTGGCAATTCTTGTTTACACATATGAACTTTAATTACATCACGGCCCCTGTACTATACATTTCTTTAAAGTATAGTTCCAAAAGAAAAATGGAAAGGAAGAGAGTACAGGGTGGGGAACAGGAAAAAAGAAGAAAGGGAGAGGACAGAGAAAAAGTGCAATGTGAAAACGATATCCCAGCTCACACTTCCCTTCATGAACACCTATGACAGTTTACATGTAGTAACATGACACAGACTATAACAGTAAATTTATGTAAGATGGAAAACAGGAACCTTTGAAGTATCCACTTTAGAGGTCATCAGGAATGGTAATGAGGTTACCAATCAATGGTAGTCTTGGGGAAATAGAAGAGCTAATTTTGAAAATAACATAAAACTAAACTCGGGGTAAAAAGGATAGTAATGTTCTTATACAAACAAGAGAGGCAGCACCTTCTCATTAATTCACGATATTTTAGTAAGATAAAAACAAGGTATGTAGATTTCATTTATAGAGGTATATAATATACAATATAAAAGAGGTACATAGATTTCATTTATAGGACACAAAAAAAGGCAAAATCGGAAAGATGGAATAAGAAGAATGTGGGCTGGAGGAGAGGGTGGGGGCAACTGACTATGGAGGAACTTGTACTTGATTATACTGGTGGCTCCATCACTGTCTGCATCTGTCAAAACACATAACTTTATCCTAAAAGGGCGACTTTTATTAAATGTAATATGTCTTGTATGTCTTAATGGAGATAAGATATTTAGGGCTTTCAGAATCTTTTTGTAACCGAAATCTGGCCTGGAGATACAGTATAGTGGATAGGGTGCTTGCCTTGCTCGCAACCAACCCCATACAGTCCCCTGAGCTCTGCCAGGAATGCTCCTTGAACAGAGAGCCAGGAGAAAGTCATAAGCACAGCTGGGTGAGCCCCCTCCCCAGCAAAACAAAAATACACGAAAACATGTTAACAGAAAATGCATTCTAACCACCCCAAACCTGAAGAGTTCCAGACAACACAAGACTCTAAAGATATGCGATCAGAATGACTGAAGCAGTCACAGTGTAATCAGTTCTGAGGATGCACTTACCCCGCCTCTGGCTGTTTACTTGATTCATCAAATAGAGAAGAACAAACGTGGCTAAGAGCCAGCGGAAATCAGAAGCCATCCTTATTCTCTTGATATCCACCATCCGGAGTGATCGCCTCAAACACAAGGAGATGTACATAGTCACTGCAGTGGAGTCAGTCCTGTATGGGGAAGAGAATTTCAAATGGTGAGCCCACTGCTCCCGAAGCGTGTCTTGTACCGTGCACATCCAGAAAACAGACACCGGTGCATGGAGAGTGGACACGCGCTTCCCACAGGGACAACACCTGATGCACTGTCTAGGAGAACACAACTTTCAGAAACAGCAGGTATAGGAGAGATCGGTTCAAAAGATCCGATTTTCTGGGACCTGAGAGAAAGTACAGTGGGAGGGGTGTTTGCCTTGCACGTGGTCAAGGTTTGAGCTCTGGCACCCCATATGCTGCTCCCGAGGGCAGCACCCACGGTGACCTCTGGGTGCAGAGCCAGGGGTAAGGCCTGGGCACCACTGGGTGTGGCTCAGAAGCAAATGGCTTGATTTTCACAGTCAGGCATCAAGCTCAAGACGATCGCTGACAACATGTGTTCACTCCACTCCGGAAGAGCAGTACAAGAAGCTTCAGTCTGACAAGCTTAAGTGATGCATAAAGTGCATCATTCTTTTTTTTTTCTTTTTTAAGTTTCTATCCAGTAGCTTGTCCAATTACTCATTTAGGAGAATAATGTAAAAGTTACATTTCCACTGTAATATAGTTTCCTTTCATATCAATTTAAGTATTTTTTTAATTTCTAAATTTTTGTTTTTTACTTTTTGGGTCATACCCAGTGGTGCACAGCGGTTACTCCTGTTCTGCGCTCAGGAATTACTCCTGGCTGTGTTTGGGGGACCATATGAGATGCTGGGAGTTGAACCCGGGTTGGCCGCATGCAAGGCAAAAACCCTACCTGCTGTATTATCACTCCAGCCCCAATTTAAATATTTTTTGAAGAGAAAAACAACACAGGGTAAAAAAACAGCAGGGGAGATTTGAAGATTAGACAGAAATATGATGACGTCACACTGAGGTCTCCAGTTGCAGAGATGCTCTAACAGCTGTCCAGGAGAGGGAGGCGTCTCAGAGGAGAGAGCTCAGCGGGGCTGCTGTGGTGTCCAGCATGGCAGGCACTGACATGAGCAGGCACCAGAGGGCACTGGTGCCAGGGGCTTGTAGGGCCTCTCCCTGGCACTGGGGAACACCCTGGAAACTGACAAAGCCCCTGCCCACAAGGAGCATACCCTCATTCAGAGATGCGACATGGGCAAGAAGCCTAAGATCCCACGGGCATAAGTCACCTTGTGGGCAGAACTGAATGCTTCATGATACTGACTCCGCAGGTGGCCTGACGCACTGGCAAAGAAAACAAAACCAGAAATACACAATTGGGACTGCAGCCAACCAAAAAGTTTCTGCACTTCAAAAGAAACCAGGGCTAAAATTAAAATAGACGTCGCACTGAATAGGAGAAAATACCCACACCCCATACGTCTGACAAGAGTCTGATATCCAAGATATAAAAAGCACACACAACTCAACTACTGTAAACAAAACCCGGCAAAATATGGGGATAAGCACTGAACAGACAATTTCTCATAGGGATGGCCAGAGAATCAAGGTTTATGAGGTTATGAGAATAAAGGTTTACCTTCCTCTATTACGAGGGAAATGCAAATCAAAACCATATGAGACACCAGTGAGAATGGTCTATGTCAAAAATAAGCCTGAAGTGACCACTGTGTGTTGGTGGGGCTGCAGGGAAAAGGGGACCCTCATTTACTGTTGGGAGGTTATTATCTGATTCAATCTCTAGGAATAACAGCCAAAGAGGCTCAAGAAATTAAAAGTGGCAAAAATATAACACAGTGATTCTACTCCCCAACATTTGTCTTTAAGAATACAAAAAAGAAGTTACTTAAAAAAGATATAAATAGGGGCTGGAGCAATAGCACAGCGGGTAGGGCAACTGCCTTGCACGTGGCCAACCCGGGTTCAATTCCCAGCATTCTATATGATCCCCTGAGCACCGCCAGGAGTGATTCCTGAGTGTAGAGCCAGGAGGAACCCCTGTGCATCACCGGGTGTGACCCAAAAAAGCCAAAAAAAAGATATAAATAAATAGATCTATGTTAGTTGCAGTGCTAATTACAATAATCAAAGTCTGGAAACAACCATGCCCAGCAACAGATGAGTGCAGAAAGAAATTGCTGTATATATACAAGACTCAGCAACATGAAAAGAAGAAAACCCTATCTTCACTGCAAGGAGGGAGGCTGATGTGCTAAATGCAATCAGAGGGACAGCTCTCATCCAAACGTGGTTGAGAGAGAGAGGGGAGGGGGGAGGAGGGAGAGGGGGAAGGAAGGAAGAAGAATGAAGGGAGGGAGGGCGGGAAGGAAGGAGGGAGGGAGGGAGGGAAATGGCAAAAAAAAAATCTAAAGCCTTGCACTCTGACAACAGAATTGGGGTGACAACAGAATTGGGGTAACAGTGGAAGCCTGGGGGACAGGGAGAGGTGTGGGAGAGGTTGGAAGGATAAGGCGGGACCTAAGGACAGCCGTGGACTCTTGGGGGCATGCAGGCGGTAGGTCACAAACATCAGTACTACTGCACAAAAGCAAATATCAAAAACTACAACATACATGTGAAAAATGAAAATGAAACATGAGAACAAGAAAAGTCAACGTTTCTGAGTGAGATCTGACTGATGAAACCCCAGGATCAGGTCAGGGCAATGAATAGCAAAAGACAAGTGCAAAGGCTGGCCTGGGTTTTCGCAGAAGGAACCAGAAAGGAGGGGATCTGGTGAGGCCAGAGGGGCTCGTGTCCACCGAAAGGATTTCAAGTTGACCGGGGCTGAGATGGGAAGGCGACTGTGTTTTTAGCAAGGGAGAGCCATACTGCAGCGTGCACCTGGGGAAGCTTTTCCTGCCTGTCAAGTGGAAGGTTGAGACGGGAAAGTCACAGCAGGGAACATTGGCGAGAGGTGGTCAGATTCAGAAGCTGTTCACAGAGTGGGCCTCAATCCCCTTCTTATGTCACCTGAACCTCTGTGTCTCGGTTTCCTCACTGGAATAATAGCAATAACTATTATTCCAGATCTGGAGTGGAGAGATAGCACAGCGGTAGGGCATTTGCCTTGCACGCAGCCAGCCCGGCCGAGCCGAATTCAATTCCTCTGCCCCTATCAGAAAGCTCGGCAAACTACCGAGAGTATCTCACCCATGCGGCAAAGCCTGGCAAGCTACCCGTGACGTATTTGATATGCCAAACACAGTAACAACAAGTCTCAAAATGGAGACATTACTGGACCTGCTCGAGCAAATCAATGAATAACGGGAGGACAGTGACAATGACAGTCATTATTCCACATCTAATACTATCATCCAAATCAAATGCACGGACATGCATCCAGCACGTAGAGCCAAGCACACACAGTTACATTCCGTCCTGTATTTTGAGGAGCAATCTGAGGTATGGGCAGAAGAGAAGAAGCAAGAACAGTCACTAGATTTGGTGGGAGGGGGGAAAAAAAACCCAGAACAGATAATGAGGCCATGTAACTCCTTGCTAAGTGCACAAAGGAGAAGCAGAGATTTATGGGGCTAAAATAAGAAAATTTAAACATCTGTTTATAGAAGACAACCTCTGCATGCTTCCACTCCCCAGCCCAGTCAGAGGCAGTCTCCCCACAGAACTACAAGCTGTCAAGGCGCCCAGAGCAGTTAACACAGACGGGGGTGCCAGACGGCAGAACCTTCCACATCTGTCACACAGCGATTCCTCGAAGTAATGATGCTCCCGTCCACTTTCTTTCCCCTGAATTTTGGGGCCACACCCAGGGGTGCTCAGGGACTCTTCTGGCTGAGTCCTGGGCGGGAGACTGCCCCTTGGCAGGGCTCTGGAGGTCGCTCCTGGTAGTGCTCAGGGAAGCATTCCGTGCCAGGGACAGAACATGGATCTCCTGCCTGCATTTGTTCTAGGCACTGAGCTCTCTCTCTGGGCCTCACACCCACTTTGGCTGAAGCCAGTCCAGGGTCCAGGCATCCCTCCTTCCACTGGCCTGCATTCCTTGCACTCTGCAGACTTTGCCAGCAGCTTGCGCTCACTCTAGGTCTGTGTCACATCAGATGAAGGCACGTAGGCTTTTTTCCCCCAGGTCTAAGGTTATTCTATAGTTAATGTCCTAGAGTATAATGTAAGCATTATCATATATATGCACTGGTAGATTAAAAAAATATGTGTGCCTGGCTTTACTGTGATGTTATCTTTAGGGTTGTGATCTGGAAACGACCCACAGTGTCTCTTGGGATGTGCCTGTACTGAGAACTCTTGGTCAAACCTCACATTGCCTCATCATTGTTATCCTGAAACAGACAACTGAGGATGACAAAATATATAAGCAAAGTCCATGAGATAACAAGGACAACCAAAAAGAAGATAAAACTTACTTCCAGTGCAGAGGGATCATGTGTCAAGAGAGGAAAAGTGAACTAAAAAAAAAAAATAAACAGGTTTTGGAGATAACTCAGATGGTAGAATTCACCCCGCAGCATGGCCCCATATGCTGAGTGCAATCCCAGAGGCTCTGACATCTGGGGACTCCAGCTCCACCACCCCCGAAGTGCGTGGTCTCTGGTGAACCTCAGCCGTGTTCAAGCACCACCAACACAGGGCAAGCCCTGGGCAGAACCACAGTTAAGTGTGCAAGCCCTTGTTATCACAGCAACAGAAACAATGAGAAGAGAAGTCAAGAGGAAAAACATGAACTATCTTCAAAGCATCCCCAACCAACGTGGCACAACCGTAAGAAACAGGAGATGCAACGCACAGGGGATCATCAGAAAGGAAAATACACCATGGGCTGATGTTTAATTCTTAAAAGGCAGATAAAACACTGAGCAACCTTGCAGAAGAAGGTGGAAGGAGAGGGCTGAGAAACAAAGACATCCTGAAAGGAGATCCACATCTGCGCAGAGCCGGAGCTTGACATGAGAATTCTTCTGCAGGAAAGCAAAGGCCTGGACCTCCTCTTGGTTAGTGTGGAGGGCATGGGGGTGGGAGTGCAAAACCCAGCGAGTCCCTAAAGAGCTTAAATAAGTGTCACCAAGACATACAGGTAGTTT